ACATTTTATTTATCGACTTTTAATATTTATTTTAATTCATTCCGAACTTTTACTACTTTTAATACTATATTATTATCCTTAAATCTAGTATATTTCTTATTTATAACTTCATTCAAATAATTAATTCTTAATTTTTTTCTTTAATCAATACATTGTTTTCAATATTGATTTATAATCAATACTTCTTTTTATCTTCATTTTTAATCAAATAATGCTTGATTAATGATGTTTAACATGCACTTTTAGTTTAATTGAAGACATTCTCTTCTCTATTTTCACTTATATTACTTTAAATTGTAGAAAAAAAAACATAAAAAATGCGCTTTTCATCAATTACACATCATACAGAAATAAATAAGCAATATCTAGTTGCCAGAATAAATATCAGGCAAAGGATAAATACGGGTCACAAAGAGCTCATTTTTATCGCAATGTCTGATAAAATTAACGAGAAATCGATAGCTTTTTTTGATATTAACATTAACCCTAGTAACTCATAAAACCTATTTTATTACATTTTTATCGATAAAATATAAAAAATGTTAACCCACCCATATAAAGTTGCAGATATTTCCCTTGCTGAATGGGGACGCAAGGAAATAGAATTAGCTGAAAATGAAATGCCCGGACTCATATCTTGTCGTAGAAAATATAGAGTACGTTTTTTATTTGTAATACAAATCTAAAAATATTAGGATTCCAAACCACTAAAGGGTGCAAGAATTGCAGGATGCCTTCATATGACTATACAGACTGCAGTGCTTATTGAAACGCTTGTTGAACTTGGTGCTGAAGTAACTTGGTCATCATGTAATATTTTTTCTACACAAGACCATGCAGGTAAATCTAAATCTAAATCTAAATATATATATGTTATTAAGTCATTTATAGCTGCTGCTATTGCTGCTTCTGGCATTTCAGTCTTCGCATGGAAAGGAGAGACCGAAGAAGAATATCTATGGTGTATTGAGACACAACTAACATCTTTTAAAGACGGAAAACATTTAAATATGATCTTAGATGATGGAGGGGATCTTACATCTCTTGTTCATAATAAATATCCAGACTATCTCAAAAATTGTAAAGGGATCAGTGAAGAAACAACTACAGGAGTCCATCAATTGTATAAAATGCTTAAAGAAGGAAAACTTAAAGTTCCTGCAATTAACGTTAATGATAGTGTAACAAAAAGTAAGTTTGATAATTATATGGGGTCAGTTTAGTCTTAATATATAAAATAATATCTAATATAAAATAAAGATGCCGAGAATCCTTAATCGATGGTATTAAACGTGCAACCGATATTATGATTGCAGGAAAAGTTGCTATTGTTGCAGGCTTTGGAGATGTTGGGAAAGGATGTGCTAAAGCTTTAAGAGGGATGGGAGCCCGTGTTATTATAACTGAAATCGATCCTATTGTTGCTCTTCAGGGTATGTTATTAAATAATTCTTCTTTAAATTAATTGGAATAGCAAGCATGGAAGGTTATCAAGTAGCCGTAATGGAAGAAGTCGCAGATCAAGCTGATATTTTTGTAACTGCGACGGGTTGTAAAGATATCATATGTGAACGCCACTTTGAAGCAATGAAAAATGATGCTATTATTTGCAACATTGGTCATTTTGATGTAGAGATCGATGTTGCATGGCTTAAAAAAAATGCAGTTAGTATATCAAATATTAAACCTCAGGTAAGTTTCTATAAAATAATATTAGTCTCACATATTTAGGTGGATCGCTATCAAATGCAAAACGGTCGGAATATTATTCTTTTAGCAGAAGGTCGATTAGTTAACTTAGGATGTGCTACAGGACATAGCAGTATGGTTATGTCTATGTCTTTTACTAATCAGGTTTTGGCACAAATTGCATTATGGACAGCCCAGGAAGGTCAATATCCTTTAGGAGTGCATTTTTTACCTAAAAAATTGGATGAAGAGGTTGCACGTCTTCATTTATCTAAACTTGGTGTCAAACTTACCAGTTTAACACCTGAACAATCTGCTTATCTCGATATTCCTATCGATGGTCCATATAAAAGTGAACACTACCGTTATTAATATTTGATTATAATTTATAAATGAATATTTTCAGATTTTATTATTAAAAAGCTTTTATCAATATTATTTACATATATTGACTGATATTAAATATATTTTTTAAATTTATATAGTTAGTTTAATTTTTATTCTTTTAAGAAAATAATTACTTTTTGTATTAAATTTTAATGTTTTATAAATTTATTGCTTTTTAAAATTATTTGTATCATGGATAAGTTATTATAAACTTATATAATAATTATCTCTTAAATTTAGAATTAAGCCCTGCTGGCGCAATGGTTTAGCGCATCTGACTTCTAATCAGGAGGTTCTGGGTTCGAGTCCCAGGTAGGGCTTTTGATGAGTTGAATGTTTTAAGTAATTTAAAGCTTCTGTTTTTAGGCGAGTCCTTATTTCTTGAGATAATATAGTTCTTTTCTAAATCTAATTATTTGAAAAATGCATCGTTTAATTTTAATGAAATATATTTTATTTTTAAAATAAAAATATCCACAAAAAGATTAATAGTAATTTCTATCCATATAATCAAACATAAATTTATTTCAAAAATAAATATTATAATAATAATAATATTATTATTATTAAATTATCATTAAAAAATTGAATACAAAATATTTATTTAAAGTATTACTAATATCAACAAAAATTAGTTTATAATATAAATATAAAATGAACCGAAATTAATCTTTTATAATAAAACCAAAATTTCTAATATCCTATACCTTATAATTAAAAAAAAAATTAATAATGTTCTTTTGCCTTAAATATCCTTTTTATTTATTATGAACATATAGATTAAGAAACCGCTTTTTATAATATTTTTATTTAAAATTATCTATTTCTGAAATTTATAATAATAATTGTTATCTTTCTTATCATTATTTTCTATTACTGATATTTCTTATTCTAATTTCTGTTTTTTTTTTAATTTAATTTAGTTTCTCTTAATTTAAATTTTTATTTTATTTTTCAGTATCTTATATAAATAATGATAAAAATTTTATATAAAATATAGAAATATGCTTGGGTTCAGTGCAATTTAACATTGTTTTAATATCTAACTTGTTTTTTTATAAAAAATCATACATTTTCAAGCATCAAAATATGACTTGATCCTAGTTGTAACATATCGAAAACCCCAGTGGAGTCCTTGATATCCCATTGGAAAATAACTAATCAAATACCATAACAAAGCTATAAATTGTATTATAGAAGAAAAAATACTAAGGATAGTTGATTTTACCTATCGATAGTCCATTAAAACATATTTACTTTTTTTATACTTACATGTAAAATAAAATATAAAGTTAAAATCATACTTCCTAAGTAAATACATGTAAATGGGAATCGTGGTGCTGAAAATAAGTGTTTAATATAAGTCCAAGGACCTTGAAGAATAGAAAATCTGTTACAAATTAAATTATGTCTTAAAAATTAATATCTACACAACGATGTAAGAAATAAAAGATTTGCAATTGTCCATAAAAGAATCACTTTTCTTGGTTTGAACAAAGTTATCATGAAAAAAATAGCGAAAATAAAACAAATAACAGAGCTTAAAATACATATAATAAAAATAATCACCCGATCTGTATAAGATAATTTATTATATTGTTGTACATCTGTTGTAGATGATTCTAGATCTTGATTATTTATACTCGATATTTCAGTATATTTCTTGTTGAATAAAGGATACGAAAGAATTCGATCTATCATCGTTCTTTGAAAAGTTTGCAGATATTGCAATAAACGTTTTATGAGCGAATTAGAATAAAAAATAACAATGAAATATGAATTATATTTATATTAAAAAAATATTCTATATTTAATTTCTAAACTTTATATATTATATAATGCAATATATATGTTATATATATGTTTTCCATGCACTTTTCATATATTCTATTTAGCTAAGATGAAATAAAGTCAAAACATGAATAAATATACCTTTATAAACCTTTTTGTATTTTTAAATTTTTTTTTGTTCTATAATTATTTTTTATAAATTAATATCAATTTATTTCAAATGCTATTTAAAAACTTTTCCTCAATATTTATTTTCTTTATTTACAAATTGCACTTATTTGCGTTTTATAATATTGTCCATTGATTTCAAAATTTATTTCCGAGTCAGTACTATCTGATTCTATTTCAACTATAGAATTTAATTACCAACACATCTATTTGTACCCATTCTACCTAATACAATTTCTTTATCAAGTAACTGTTCTTCTTCCAAATTTTCTTGATCTTCCATTTTTATTCTTTTTCTACTTGTTCAATCTTCTGTGTTTCTGAATGTAATTTTTCAAATCCTAAATCACGCATTTCGTATGACTGAAATAGCGATCTTAACATGTTAGATGTTTTGATTATTATGAAGATTTTCAAAACCTGTCCATTCGACATTGTAAATATACTTTTGCTATATTTTTGCACTGTGTTTGTTCATAGTTATTTGTTTTAAGACAATGTAAATAAGCTTTCATTAAGGACGTGCATTCTCCTATATTTATGAATTAATATTCATAGAACTGAGGTAAAAATACCATCATGATCTAATGGAAAGCTTCCATATAGGGGAGGAGTTAGCAAAGTTTTAGAAGCTATTATTTATTAAAAATAGGAATTAAGAAAATGTTTAACTTTGTATAAATCCCATTTATATTTAAAAAAGTATTGTAATAAAGTCCATTAAATATCTTAAACAGTGCAAAATGTTTATAAACAAGATCTAATAATTAATTGAAACAACTAATAAATGAGTTTATTTTTTTTTACTAGATATCGACTAAATATAAAAGGAATAGGTTACAAAAAAAATATTATTTACAAGCTTTAGAAGAAAATATACGTATGTTATAAGCAAAAAAACGTCTATATACATCTTCAGATGGGAAATAAAAATAATTAAAATAATTGAAATAAGTAATTGAAATAATTGAAATAATAATTAATCAACAATTTTATACTTAATAAGGAATTTGAATATATATTAGATATTTTCTTTTATCGATAAATTGACGATTATCTTTTAAAGAAAAAAATGTATTAGATATGAAGGAACATTATTCTTTCATAGGATCGTCTAATAAACATCAATCAAGAATAAAATTAAAAACATATAATACAGTAGAAGATGTTCTTTATTTAATTCAAAAAAGTCAACGTATTTTGGTTATTACAGGAGCTGGTATATTATTTCTTTAGATTTATTGGTTTACTGTTTAAAAAGGATTTTTTAGGCATAAGTACTTCATTAGGAATACCGGATTTTCGAAGTGATACAGGAATCTATTCCATATTAGAAAAATATGGGTTAAGTGAACCACAAGTTTGAAAAGAACTCAGATGATCTATAATTTATTGACAAAAAGTTAGGAAGTCTTTGATATTGAAGTTTTTCGAGAAGACCCAAGGTATTAGTACTATATTTTAAATAGATTTATTTAAGATTAGTGTTTTTTATTCTTTTGCATCTGAATTGTTTCCTCCAGAGAAATTTAAAAATCTTTTTTATTCTCCTACGCACGCTTTTATAAAGCTATTACAAGATAAAGGAAAACTTTTAGTCCAATATACACAAAACGTTGATAATATTGAAGAAGTAGTAGGTATTAAAAAGCAAAAATTAGTTCAATGTCATGGTATTTTTTATATACCTTATTTTATAATCTAATCATGTAGGATCATTTAAAAATGCAATTTGTATTATATGTGGACATATGGTTTCTGGTGAATCTATTCTTGATAATATATTATTAAAAACAGTTCCTAAATGTTTAAAATGTTTAAATAATAAGAAAAATAGAAGAGAAAATGAAAATGATTATGAAATAAATCCAGGAGTTTTAAAGGTTTTATTCTATATTTCTATATATTAGAGCTAATTTTGTAGCCAAATATTACATTTTTTGGTATTTATTTCATTTATTTTTTTTATATCTAAAATTAGTAATAGGAGAAAAATTGCCAAAGTCATTTAGTGATAGAATAGAAAAGGATATATATTCATGTGATTTAGTTATTTGTATTGGTACATCTTTGAAAGTTGCTCCTGTTTCAAAAATTATAAATACCATTCCTTCAAATATACCTCAAATATATATATCTAGGGAATCAGTTAAGCATATCGCATTTGATATAACTTTACTTTCAAACTATTGTGATGATATTGTAGCTAATCTGTGTAATCGTTTGGATTGGTATGAATTTTATGATATTGCAAAACTTGGTCATAAACATGCTTTTAATAGAATGATAAATAACGCTAAATTAACATGGAAAAGAGAATCAGAATCAATATGGAGACTAGACAAAGATACATAATAATAATTATTTAATATTTCAAATGTATTTTAATTTATAAAAAGTACTACAATAATACTTCGTATTTTATTCTAAAAGTTATGTATATGATTGTACTAATTAACCCAAAAACATGCAATTCTTTATATAAACTCAAGAAATTGTTTCAAAAAAAATGAAAAAGGAAAAAAAAATAATAGAATAATTTAATAATTTAGTTTTTAATCATTTCCCAAAGTTTTTAATGCTGTCTTAGTTTTAAATTTACTATTATGATTTTTATCAAGGTTGTATGAATTCTTATTTGATAAAGAATCGATGTTTAATTTCTTTATAGCTTCAAAAAAATTTTCAATAAATTCTGGCCTTATATAAGAAATGTGCCTGTCCATACTTTTACTATCACTATTTGCATCAAAAAATGATATAAGTTTATCGCCGTTTTCAAAAGATGTGTTAAAATTTAATTCTTGATAAAATTCCGGTATAAGTTCATAAGAAATTCCATTGTCTATTATTTTATCGTCAAAAAATAATGCTTCATTTATTTTAGAATTATCCTCAGTTCTTAATGTAGAATTATTAAAATCGGTGTCTGTTTTTTCTAAATTAGCTGAATTTGATCCTTCTATTTGCGAATTAGGTGTTTCTGAGTATAATCTAGGAAACCGCGCCATTAATTGTTTTTCAAATATCTCAAATTCTTCATTTAAGTTCCTCTCTTTTCCATGATTTTTTTCCGTACTATTTAAAGAACTGCTTATATCTTTTTTTTTCATTATTTTCGACTTTTGTTTTAAATACTTCATTGAATACGGTTTCTTTAAAAATTTAAAATGCCTCTTCATTTCTCGTATATCATCCCTTAACTTTAATACATCTTTTACTACTTGACTTGTATATTTTACATCCTTTGTTATCTCCATACTTTGATCTGAGCTTGTAATTTGTATAAAATCCCCTCTAGAAAGCATCCTTTTCGCCTTTTCTAAGCGTTCTCCAAATATATCAAGATGCTTCATAGCTGATTCTATAAATAACTAGTTAAAACATTTTAAAAATTTATTTTAAAATGTTTATTACTTATTGTTTCTTCTGTTTTTTCTGAAATATCTAAAAAATTCTCTTGATTCGTCGTATCTGGCATATACAAAACAACTTCCTCAGTTTCACTATTGTTTCTGCTAAGAATAATCTCGTGAATATAAAAAATTTCTTCTTCTTCTATATAGAAACAAACAATAATTTATTATTTTTGCTTGTCTTTCCATGCAAATTCTCTAATATCCATAGACAAAAAAACTTTTCTAAGTATATAAACACCTTTACATCTATTTCCAGTAGATAAGGTATTTTTATGCTTTAATAGTCCTTTAAATATTGATTTTTTTCTTAAATCTCTAAGATGGTCTTGTTGAACGATATTTTTATTAAAAACATTTTTAATAAATTTTTGGGAATAAATATTAAGTGCTATTAATTAGAAAATATAAAAGTAAGTGTATTTTTAAGTGTATTTTTAAGTGTATAATAAGTGATTTTATAGAACAATTTCAGTTTAAGAACATTAAAGATTATTAATTTTTTAAAATGGCTAGCAAATTGTATCCTTTACAGAAAGGATTTAATGAAAGACAACCAGAAACAGTACGACTTTATCCTTTATGTTTGTTAAATATGCTATGATAAGGATTTGTTGAATTATTTGTAGCAAATTATGTTTTTTCTACAAAAGAAGCACAACCAGTATTGAAGATTAATGATAATTATTTTAAAAAATTAAGTATAAATAATAGGAAGAAGATCCGAGTGTTATATCTCGTTTGGAGCGATTAAAATCTCATTATGAAAAGAATGGGATGAGAAGAACATGTGAGGGAATTTTAGTTGTTCATGAACATAAGTAGGTTTAAAATTAGATAAAAAATCTAAATTTTTTAGTCATCCACATATATTGATGTTACAAATTGCGAATGCGTTTTTTAAACTGTATTTTTTTTTAAATATATATATATATTGATTTTTTAAGTCCAGGTGATTATCTACGACCGAATGAACCAGAAATACAGGGATTTGTTGCTAGATTAAACGAACGATTAGCACCAACGACACCAGAATCTCCAGAAGATATGAAATGGGAAATTGGAGATTGTCTTGCTCAATGGTGGAGACCTAATTTTGAAACGTTTATGTATCCATTCATACCTGCACATGTTACAAGACCTAAAGAATGCAAAAAACTCTATCTTATAAAATTGCCAAAAACAAGTATTTAAAATGTTTTTTTTATATATTAAAAACTGACCATTTGATTAATAGAAGTTTTAGCTGTACCTAAAAATATGAAATTATTAGCTGTACCTCTTTTTGAGTTATATGATAACTCGGCTCGATATGGACCTCAATTAGCAGTAATTATTATACTTATTATGTTAATATGCTTTAATAAATTATAGGCTATTCCTCAATATTTAGCAAAATATAATTTTGAATTCGTAGACTCTAATGATAGAGTTATTGTACAAACACCTGGGAATACAATGGGTGATGGTACTGTTGTAAGAAACAATGTATATTAGAATGAATTAATCATGAATATATATATTGCAAACTTTATTTAATCTTTTTTTTTCTTAACCAACGTTTTATAATTATATAAATAATAGATATTATTGCAAATACAGGAATTACTCTTTCAATTAAACATCTTGCTCGACTAGGCTTTATATTTTTTATTAATCCTTTAATTTTCTCTTCCAATTCTTTTTTATTTCCATCATTCCATATAACGATATCTGCTAATTCAATTTTATCACATAATGGCATTTGGCTTTCAATTCTTTTCATTGAATCTTCTTCTGCATACCCATTTCTAGTACGTAACCTTTCAATTTGTGTATTTTCTTGACATGCAACACAAATTATTTTTCCACAAAAATAATCAAATCCACTTTCAAATAATAAAGGTACATCTACTATTATAACATCTTCTCCCCTTATCCATGCTTTTATTATTTCATGAATTGTTCTCTTTAAAACCTCTGGATGTATAATTTTATTTAAAGTTTTTCTTCCATTTTTATTAGAAAAAATATATCTCCCTAAAGCTTCCCGATCAATCGATCCATCTTCCATTATAATATCTTTTCCAAATGTATCTACTACTTTCTTATATGTACTTGTTCCAATCATAATTGTTTCTTTTGCAACTAAATCTGTATCTATTAATGGCCATAAACATATTGATTGTAAAAATGTAGAAACTGTAGATTTTCCTAATAATAATATTAATATTAATTAGAAATATTCTATTTATTATATTATATATTCTTACCTGTTGCAATTGATCCTGTTATTCCTAAAATTAACATTTATTAGTTAAATATTTTGAGTTTAGACGTTATCAAAATTCTCGACTACAAAAAAATTAATTTAAAAAAAAAGTTTAAAAATCCTTCCTTAATGGCAGAAGATTCATGGGAAGCATCTTTACCATCATTTGATGAGGTTCAGAAAACATATACAGAATTTCAAGCAGATCAAATTGAGAGGGATGATTTTGAAAAAGAACTTAATAAACATAAAAGAATAGTAGAGGAATTAAATGAAGAGAATTTTTATGCACTTTTAAACGTTAGCAAGAATGTAGATTTTATATTTAGTATTAAGGATAATACTGAATTATTTTTACTCAGGCAACGGAGCTACAGATTCGAGAATCATATCATCGTCTTTCTCGTACGTTTCATCCAGATAAACATCATAATCCAGAATTGAAAGCGATTTCGGAAGAGAAATTTCAATTAATTCAACGTGCATATGAGGGTTTGTTAGATATGAAAGGGCTATATTATGATTAATAGGAAAAGTATTGATGGATCCAAGAAAACGATGGATTTATAATATATATGGGGAAGAAGGATTAAAATTTAGTTGGGATATTCGAAAGAAATTTAAAACATCAGAAGAGGTATTTTTGAATATGACTTAGTATAATAATAGATTATTTTAGGTTCTTATAGAACTTCAAAAACAAATGCGTAAAAAAAATGAACAAAACGTAGAAAATATGGTTAAATCTAGGGTAAATAAGATTAATTTTTGTTATATATGACATATTTAAAGGGATATATAAATTTACTTTTTGATGTTTCACCATTGTTTAAAACCATTCAAGCACCTACATTATCAAGTTTTGGAATATTATCTCAAACAAGAAAATTGAATTTTTTTGAAAGAATTAAATATACCGGTATTTCGTCAGTTTTTATGAGGCATTCGTTTTCCATTCCATTATCTTTTGACAACAATTCGTATTTTAATGATAAAATTACATTTACTTTTATTGGACAAATGTTATCTAAAAACAAAGCATCTGAAAGAAACATTATAGGAGTTATGCGTTATGTTTATAGTCCAACGATTTGGTTTGAAGTAGTAATCATTCTCATTACATTTTAGCTAATTGTATATAAGGTAGGGACATATCTTCTTGATCCTAAACTATTGTTTTCGAAACTTGTTTGTAATTTTAATAAAGATTCGTAATTCATGATGTATTTTATAAAACATTCTTATTTTTTTCTAGATTTATGACAATACAAACGCATTTTCCTACTTTTTATGCACCACCTCAGTTTATTATAAGTTCTGGGAAACGATTGACTCATCATGGGACTGGATTTATGATTTTTAGAACAGGATGTTGGAATTTTTGGAATTGGGGGGCAAATATTCCATTTTCTAATCAAAGATCTAGTTTTACTCTTGGTTGGCAAAATGCATTGAAACCCGGGTTTAATAATTCTTGGAGTATGGAAATAACTGCCGGGATTTTAGAGAGTGGTATTTCTTGCGAATGGACAAATAATATAGGAAAAGGAAAGAATGCAGAAAAAGTAAAATTTACTACATCTGTTATGACTACTGGAGCCGTATTCGGTGTAGAAACTTCACGAAAGATTGGAGAAAATTCTAATGCTGTTTTTAATTTATCTTTTACATTACCGCAGGGCATGATAGTATTAAAAGTAATGTAAGTATTTATTTAAGTTATTTTTTGTTTTAAAAGATAAAAAAGAATTTCCAGATTAGGGCAAAAAATAGTTATTCCAATTATATTATGTACTAAATATAATCTCAAGGCATCTTTATGGGGAGTAATAGTTCCTGCAAGTATTTTGATAGCATTAGAAACAGTTTATTTTAAATCTAATCGAATAAGAAAAAAAAAAGAGTAATATTATATTTAAATTATTCATAAAAATTAACTATTTGCTAGAAAAATAGCTGCAATTAAAAAAGAATATGAAGAATGTTTAAATATAAAAAAGAAAAAGGCAGAAGATTTTTTGAATATTATTTATGATATGGTTCACAGAAAACAATGTTATGAAAAACAAAAAGATGGATTGTTTATAATTAAAGCTGTTTATGGTGATTTTATGACAGGTGATATAATTGATGTAACAATTGCTATTGCAGCCTTAGTCAATGAAAGTCAGCTTACAATTCATCATGGATTTTCTAAGGTAAAAAATATTCAATAAAATTTAATATTAAATATATATTAGTCACAAATTATTGGAATTTGGGATCCAGCTTTTGGCCAAAAAAAAACGTTACGTGTAGAATATTCATTTAAAGGAAGAGTTCATTTTGTAGAAGTAGGAGATAAACATGGCTTAATTGCGCCATTAAGGGAACATTTGGTTACTAATATCAGAAAAAAAAGAAATTTAGAAATATAATTTTTCGTATTTAAGGAGTCAAAACACTTACATATGTAATGGAAACGTATACATTATTGTTTACTAGTTTTTTTAATTTTATTCTAATATAAAATTAATAATAGTATTAATAAAAAATATTATTCTAAAGTTTTTATTATTTCAATTTGAATTTGAAAATTATCTGGTATTTCCTCCATTTAAATTTCCCATAAAATTTCTAGCTCTTCTAAAATAAGTGTTTATGAATATATTAACAAGATACATACAAATTTCTCATTTCTGGATCACTCATTATATCCTGTATATTAGGAGTCTGTTCGCCACTCATAATATCTTGCGCCCTGAAATGTTTAACATATCTCTTATAAAATAAAAATCTTACAATCGTGCAACACGAGGATTATTTAATAAGTTATTTAACGCACCTGAGGACATTAAATTTTGTGCTACTGACATAAAAGCTAAAAAATATCAAACTATAAATATAACTTTAAAATAAAAATACCTGGATTATTCATCATAGATGCAAAATCGGGCATTCCAGTTCTAGGTGTTTCATTTGAAGAATTTAAATTCGAGGTTTCGGAAATATCTCGACTTTTCATATTTTTTTCCTGTGTAGGAACATAATCATTATGCTCAGCTAGATTCTTTTTTACAAGTTCACATCCTCGCTTCATTACTTCAGAATTCGGATCAATTTTTAAACCCTCTACATATACATTCAACGCTTCTTTGTATTCTCCCATTGAATAATATGCATGACCTAAACGACTATATGCTTTTCCATAGCTCGGGTCTATTTCTAATGCTAATTTTGCATCTTTTATTGCTGAATGATTATCTCCTGATTCTGAATATGCTGCTGCACGATTCGACAAATATATAACATCTTTAGGAAAAAGTTTCAGCGCTTCCGTATAACATAAAATTGCATATGTATAATCCTTCCTAAACATAGCATTATTTCCTTCCGATTTAAATTCTTCTGCTTTTGCTTTATCGTTTGCTTTTATATCTGACGTTTTATCTATATTAGTTATAGTTTCTGTAGATAACTGAGAATCTGTTTTCTAATAAAATATTATATTTATACTCATAAATAACTGATTCTTTATTTACTGTTTGCTGCTCCGCTTTTTCAAAAATGTTTATAAGAGTTTGACAATTTATTCCAAGTTTTTTTCGCTGCTCATTATCTTCAGGATAGACTGAAAAGGTTTCAGAGATACATTGAGCTTAATAATATTTACTGATATCCTATTTTAAAGCAATATACATACTTGCTATTTCAATTCCTTCTTTTTCTTCATCTGGAATAATCCCATTTTTTAAACAGTTTTGAAGCCATTCAACGATCATAAATGCCATGAACTGGTCTTTAGTAGTAAAACTAGACGTCTAAAAGTATAATTAATAGAAATTTTAATTTAAATATAATTTTACCATTTTTTAAAGTTTTTTTAAAGTTTTTTTAAGTTTTTTTAAAATTATCGATAATATTTTTAATAAAATATTAATTAAGAAAAAAATTAAGAAATTAAGAAATTTATCTTAAGATATTAAGAAATTTATGTTAAAATATTTAAATAATAAAGAATTTTATAATTATTTTTTAAATAAGAATATTTTTTTAAAACCAGCTTTAAAAATAGCATATTTTTCAGATTTGTCGTTAATTTATAAAGATGAATTAAAAAGAATAAAATCAGGGGATTTAAACAAGTTTATAAAGGCAGATGATACGGATTTATCTGAAAAAGAAGATATAAATAGAAAAGTTTCTAATAAAGATAATTTAATCATATTAAATTCAAACACAGAAAGTTCAGAATTATCTAATACAATTGGAGAAATAGTAAATAAACCATTTGAAAATTCATGTCAAAAAGAAGAGAAAATATATCATTTACATGCTTATTGTACAGATAATAATACAATTATTACATTAACTAATTCAAATTATAATCCTATTATTTGCATTTCAAGTGGTATGGTTGGTTTTAAGAAAGGACAAAGAGGAGGATATGAAGCAGGATATCAAACATGTATGTCTTTATTTAAAAAAATGATGGAAAAGAATATTTATCCAACACAATTTGAAATTATTCTTCGAGGCTTTGGAAAAGGTAGAGAAGCGATATTTAAATGTGTTAATGGGATAGAAGGGTTACCTTTTAAATCATCTGTATCACGTATTACAGATGCAACAAGAATAAATTTTGGTGGTGTAAGAAGTAGAAAAGCTAGAAGATTATAATATAATATAATATATATATATATATTATATATTATTCATAATTTAAGATTTTAAATATGCATTGGGATTTTTTTTTTATATTTTGAATTTTCTAGCATTTTTAGGTTTTTATTAAAAATCAATTCATTGTTCTATATCTTAAAATTTATATATTACTTCTATTTATACATATTATATATATATATATATTTGATGTTTTTATATCAAATTTTAGTTTTGAAAATAAAGTATTTGAAAAAATAATATTTAATGTCATGTAATATTTAATATTATATAATATTTAATATCATATAAAATTTATCTATATTCTAATTAATATTTTATATTATACTTTTTAAAAACTTTTAAAACATATTTGGAACTTAATATAAAAGAAAAAACTATATAAAAGATATTTAATAAAAATTATATAAAAAAATATTTTACATTTCATTATAAATTTAAAATATTAAACTAAAAAAGAGTATATGATGAATTAAAATATTATTTTATTATATATTCTAAAATATAATATTGTGTTTTAAGTTCTAAACTAGATAAAAGTTCTTGAATTTATAAGTAGAAAATAATATTGTAAAATTTATATTTTCTGATTTTTATTCGGGTTTTTTTTAATAATTTTGCGATAATTAAAAAAAATTGAAGTTATTAATAATTATCAATAAACGTATAAAAAGACTAGAAATATATTTATATCTTGTCTTTTATCATTTATATTATATCTTCTATCACTTATATTAGGTTTTTTAGAGGCAAAAAAACGATGGATATGAACAACACAATACATATGGAAAATAGAGAACAAAATGGATATAATGTTCAGCAGATTCCTTCATATCATCAGAATTTAGTACATAATCATCAGTATTGTCCATATTCAAAAGGGAATAGTATCATCTCTATCGATGAATTAGCAGAATTAAATCTTAATTCATCAGTTAATCCAGTTGCTCATGATATTGGTATATTAAAAATAAAATCAAATCTATATTTAAGTGCTTATTATTTCCTAGGGATTTCCCCTGATACGCAATTTTTAGTTTGCCATAACTCTAATCTTTCATATACTAGTGATTTTTATTCTATAGATGTTGGACCTATGGCAATTGAAAATCCTAGACCTATTCAAAGTATCAGTATGCCAGCTACAATGGATGATTATCAATCTTCTCAGATTTATTCTAATGATTCCTTTAAATTGTTTTTTGACACAAATTCTAAAAATACAATTTGCAAGAAAATGAATGATTCAGCTGTTTTTGTTGAAATGCCTTTTATGTCTTTTAATGTTTTTGATGATAAAAAGCTTTTGGAAAAATATAGAAAACGTCGTGAGAATCATAATGCAGTTGAACGTCGTCGAAGAGATAATATTAATGAAAAAATACAAGAACTTGCTGCTCTTATTTCAAAAAATCCTTTCAAAGATAAAATAAAATTAGATACGGATACAAAGGATAAAGGTTATAATGATTTTAAACTAAATAAAGGCGAAATCTTGCGGCAATCTGTTAATTACATTCAATCTTTGCAAAATTATATTAATGAATTAAATTCTCGATCTAAATTGCTTGAAAACGAAATTATTAGGCTTGGTGGTGATATAAACTTTACAAATAAGATAAAATCTGTTTCTTCTATTCCTTTAAACATCAAAAATACCACTTCTAATGATTGTGATGATAATAGTTTTACCAGTATTCCCTCTAAAAACGATTCTTGTGATGAATTAGATATGGATTATTAGTTATTATTTTTTATTATATAGCACAATTTAAATTAAATACAATTATTAACTATATATTTTGATTTTTTATCCTTTTATATTCTTTTAAATTATACTTTTATCATTAAACTAGTCTTTTTTAATTCTTATTACATTGATTTTTAATATTATTATTAATTTCGTTTTGATAAATGATAATTTAATATTTTTTTAAAAACCTTATTATTTTATAATTAAAAAAGTATTACAAAATTTTAAGATAATTTAGAACATGTCTATATAAGAATTCAAATATTTATACGGATAATTTGTGCTGATCTTTTTTTTAGATATATTTTTAATTTATAATTGTTTTCTTAAGAAAATTATGTAGAAAGGGATTTGAAATGGAACCGGAAAAGCATAGAGATGTAGAAAACCATATTCTTTTTGAGGTATCTATGGAAGTATGTAATAGGGGTATGTTTTATTTTGTTTTTTTTATATTATTATCTTTATAAATTTTTTTTAACTATAAACTAATTTATATATAGTTGGTGGTATTTATTCAGTTTTGAAATCAAAAGCTCCAGTAACATCATTGGAATATTCATATGATCGCTATATTGCTATTGGAAAATTTACTCAATCAGCAATTAATTTTGAAGTTGAACAGCTTAGTACAGAAGATCAGCCTACACTTCATAAAACGTTACAATATATGAAAAATAGAGGTATAAGGTATGTTATATTAACATTTTTTACAATAATATTTAGAGTATTTTATAGCTATACATATGGGAGATGGCTTATTGATGGAGCGCCTCGTGTGCTTTTATTTGATATAAACAATGCTTTTCATTGGTTAAATGAATGGAAAGGGGATCTATGGAATACTACAGGTATCCCGTCGCCTCCGGATGATTCAGAAACTAATGATGCTATTGCTTTTGGTTATATAGTAGCATGGTTTTTGGGTGAGGTGATTAATACATATTTATTTAAATTATTATTTAGATTCTAAAGTTTATTTCTCATGAATATGAAAGAGCGGTTGTAGTACATTTTCATGAATGGCTTGCAGGTGTTGCATTACCTCTTTGTAGAAAACGTAGATTAGATTTAACAACTATTTTTACTACACATGCAACTATACTTGGTCGTTATCTTTGTGCGGATAATGCAGATTTTTACAATCATTTACAATACTTTGATGTAGACTATGAAGCGGGTAAACGAGGGATTTATCATAGATATTGTATAGAGCGTGCAGCAGCACATAGTGCAGATGTTTTTACTACGGTATCTCATATTACAGCTTATGAAAGTGAACATTTGTTAAAAAGAAAACCAGGTAAAAATTCTTTTTTTTAATAATTTATTTTAATAACTTAAAAGATGGCGTTTTGCCTAATGGTCTTAATGTTGTAAAATTTGCGGCTGTTCATGAGTTTCAAAATCTTCATGCTACATTTAAGCAAAAAATAAATGAATTTGTACGTGGTCATTTCTATGGGCATAACGATTTTGATCTTGATAATACACTATATTTTTTTATATCTGGAAGATATGAATATAGAAATAAAGGCGTCGATTTATATATTGAAAGTCTTGCCCGTAAGTTATATAGAATATTGATTTTATATGTTTTAAGCTTTTTAAGGGTTAAATCAACGTATGAAAGCATCTGATAGCAAAATGACAGTAATTGCATTTATTATCATGCCAGCTGCGACACATTCATATACAGTTGAAGCCTTAAAAGGACAGGCAGTTATGAAATCTTTGCAAAATACCATTGAACAGATTCAAAAGGGAATAGGTCAACGAATCTTTGAAAAATGTTGCCGGCATTCAAAGTATGCAATACTAATTTTGTTTTATTGGTTAAATTGTTCAGGGATTTTGATGAGAAGTTTATTGATACATCAAGTCTTTTGACAGATCAAGATAAAATTTTGCTAAAACGACGAGTATTTGCTCTAAAAAGATCGACACTACCGCTGATTGTTACACATAACATGGCTGATAATAATGATCCTATTTTGACACAAATAAGAAGAGTTCAATTATTTAATTCTGATGAAGATAGAGTTAAAATAATTTTTCATCCAGAGTTTTTAAATTCTAATAATCCAATATTACCTCTTGATTATGATGATTTTGTTCGTGGATGTCATCTTGGTGTTTTTCCATCATATTATGAACCATGGGGTTATACATCAGCAGAAGCAGTAGTTATGGGTGTTCCCAGTGTAACGACGAATATTTCAGGTTTTGGATGCTATATGGAAAATATAATTGAAAATCCATCCGATTATGGTGTATATATTGTTGATAGAAGGATGAAATCCGTTGATGAAAGTATAAATCAACTTACGGATATTATGTATAATTTTACTACTAAAACACGACGACAACGTATTAATGAACGCAATCGCTGTGAAAGACTAAGTGATTTCTTGGATTGGAAAATTATGGGTCTTGAATATATTAAGGCTCGACAGCTTGCATTGAGACGTGCTTATCCCAACAGTTTTGATACTGATGGTTTAATAGACAAAAATATAGATCTAGCTCTTGGAACCTTGATCAAGGTTCCTCATCCTTTATCTGCACCTACAAGTCCAAAATGCCGAAATGGCTTTTTATCTATACAGAATCTAGATGATATTCAAAGTATTCAAAGCCTTAACGCAGATGGATATATTTTAAATAAGCATGGTGATAATGATGATGTTAGTTTATGTTTTTTTTTGATTTTTTTCTAATTTATTTAAGGAATGAAAAATGTTTATATTTCAGATATATTAAAAAACAATAATGCAAATAAATTATTGATCAATGTTAGGAATATAATATTTTGATAATACTTTTTAAAAGATAGACAATGACTATTTTTGACTATTAATGTTTTTAATGGTTATAATTATATTTAAATTAATTTAACATGATTTTATATGTATGTAGTGTGATTATTTTTTAATTTAGTTTTACTTTTTGCGCCCTCCTATAAATATCTACATGTAAATTACAATATTCAAAGATTTAAAATGATAACTATTATATATATTAATAATTCTGATCAAATCTAGTAATGGGAAATATTTTAAAACTTTGATAGTCTGTATGATAATATGCTTTTACAAAAAATGTTTAGAAAAAGACGTTATTTATAAGATGTTTATAATTAAATAAAAAAAATATTAACTTGTTTAAATATTGAGTCCATATGCATGGTTATTAGTTTTAAATCTAAACAATAAATAGATATGGTTAGTTGTATTTTACCATGTTTTAATGGTTATATCTATAATTTATAGCAGATTTTTAGTCAAAACCAGTAGCCAACGGAAATTTTTCTAAAATTAATTTCTTGAAAAGACTCTTAAGTCTATCCTCTGTAATAATGTCAAACGCTTCCCTAAATACCGTAATATCATTAAAAGATAAAAGTTGTACTATGGCTTCTTCTAAATGAGAAAGCTCATTAATAAGTACAAGACTTTTAATATAAGATAATACATGATATGCACTAAAATTTTTCGTATATTTATAAAATTCCTCATTTAAATCATATTCTGTAATATCGGTAGAAAATATTTCATTCTTCTTTTGAATTATTTCTTCTGCGTCCTGAGATTCTAAAATATTTTTGACTAATTATATATTAAAATAAATCAATAAAAGTAAATTATACAGTTTTTTTTCAAATAAATCATTTGTAAATGTAAGTCGGGATGATATAAGTCCAATTTTTTCGCATTTAAAATACATTTTAAAGCTTGTGAATAATTTTCTAAATATATTAAACCCAATTTTACAAGCCATTTATTATAATTATCATACTCTGACGAAAATAAATTTCAAATCCTAAGATATAAATCTGTATATTGTCAAGTGTAAGCGATTGCAATGGTAAAAGAAAACGTAAAGCATCTTGAAGAGGATTTTCGGTCTATTATTAATAATTCATTTCAATATATATTTACCTGGATTAATTTATTTCCATTTGGATCATCATCAAAATCTAATTTCTCGTTTTCTTTAGATTTTTTATTATTTAAATTATTGTTTTGAAGTTGAATATTTTCCGCTTGTTTTAACGTTTCCTTGTTATTAAATACATTTGAATCAGTATAGTTAAGATTATTTTTTAAATCTGGATGATCATGAAGTAAAACATATATTTTGATTGCTAGTTGCGCAGCTTTTAGATAATATGGATGCAAAAATAAATTATCTTCCCATTTTAAACAGTCAATATAAGTCCTAAAAGTGCCTTTTTTTAAAGAATATGAATGAAAATCAAACTGATCCTCATTCCAAATATTAAAAATCTAAAATAATAAGAAAAATATTTTAATAACTAAAAAAATACTTTACGAATTGTTTCAAAACGTTTTAATGCAATGTTGTACTTTTTTTGACGTAAAAATGATTGTCCATCTTCTAAAATAAACCAAATACATTGCATATCAACTAAATCATCTATTGGCCCATCAATTATGTTAGTCTACTAAATGTTAAAAAAATATAATATTAAATTAATATTACGTCACCTTAGTAAAAAGGCCAATAATATTTAGCGCTTCTTTATTGCAATCATTACGTAACATATATTTTGCGCATTTTGTATTGATATATCTGTCTTGTAAATCTAATTTCCGTGCATTATTAAGAAAAAACATTGCTAATTGAGCATTTCCTGAATGCTTATATATACGTGCTTTAGTTAAATATAATTCCACAAGGGTAGGTGTATGTTCAATAGCTTTATCAATGTAAATCAATGCTTTTTCTGTTTCACGCAAGTAGTCATAATGTTGAGCAAGAAAATATAATATCCAAAGCAATACAGTTGGATCATTATTCTTTGTTCCATTCTTAATTCCACCTATAAATAATGAATACGTCTCTATAAATTTATTAAAATTTACATAAAATATCTTTTTTTAAATATAAATTATCTAAGTATTCTTCTACCAAATTTTGAATTATATCTTTTTTTTCTTTGTCGGAATATAAACATTTAATAGAAATAAATATGGATGGAGTGCCTTTTTCAAAAAGTTTTTCTAAATACGAATTTATAGCTGTTTTAAATTCATCACCTATAATACATTAAAAAAAATGTTTTAAAAAATACAATTAAATACTACCAGATAAGAAATCAAGAAGTAAACATTTAGCTACATATGATCCAGGATATCTTTTCTCAAGATCAATATACATTTGCTTCAATCCATTAGTATCTATAACTTCATTTTTGTTTTTTAATCCTTTAGCTCTAGCTAGATCTATGTAATATTCACTATTCTCAGAGTTACGATCCAATAGCTTAATATATTCTGCTATTGCTTCCTTTTTTTGTAATTTTAAAAGACATTTAGCCTTAATCTCCATAATAGACATTTTATCAACCACTTTATATTCTAGAGAATTTATATAATTTAATGCTTCTATATAATTCCCCAATTCCATTATTATAGTACATTTGTATAAAACTGCTTCAGAATTTTCATAATTCCCTAAAAAATCATTCTGTAATATTATATTAGAATTATAAAATAATATAATTATACATGCCTTCGAAATATTTTCATATGTTGTTAATATTTTTTCTGATGCTACAATATTTCCATTCAAGTAATTTGCTAATGCATATGCTATCCAATTTTGCCGTTGCTTAGGATTTAATTGAAGTAAAATATTTCTTGTATTCTATTTATATAATTAATTATAACATATTATTAACACAATATTCATACAACTAACTGTGTAAAAAGACGTTTGTGAGTCTGAAGCAAAGCTAAATCCCTTAATATCTGCAAATTTTCTTTGTCATATTTTAAAGCATTAATATAACATTTTATAGCTTCGTTATAATTTTTATCCAAACGATGTAAAAGACCAAAAACATGCCAACATATATGAGACGTAAGATTATTCCTAAGACCTCTATGTGCATGTTCATATCCTTCTGATTTCTTATTTAATAATGTTAAAATTAACCCTTTCATAGATAAGGTTTCTTAATAAAAATATTAATATAAAAACATATAAAAAACTCTAGAACCTCCATGTTCTGGGTATTTCTTTAAGATTTGATCCGCATTCTTTAAACTTTTCTTATATTGTTTTGTTTCATAAAGTTTCTATTAAAATAAATATTTTTTAAAAATATTAAAATTAACAAATTTACAAAAATCTGGCGGAAAAGTGATGCTTCTTTAGGAGTTAATTCCTGTTTTACCATTGAAATGATCTTATATTAATTTTATAATATAATTTTTTACTTAAAAAATTAATCGTAATATAATTTAAGATAAAAAAATTCTAATATTTAAATACATTAAGGGCATATCCACATTGTAAAGAATAAATTTATATTTAAAATTAGAGTTTAATATTAAAGTCTTATTTAAAAAATAAGTATAAAATGTTTTAATGAAAAATTTTTTTTTTATGAAAATATTGAAATTTTGGATTTTTATATAATATTTATTAATATGTTAATTTTAAAATATATTGAATGGAATCTAAATATGATTTTGTATTTAAAATTTCTAAAAAAATGATTGATAATTATAATATTTAAGTAAAATAATTTATGGAATTAATTCTATAGTAAAGTAAATTTTAAATGATTATAAATATATTAAAAAAGGGAGATTATGATTTTTTATTTTAAATAAATAAAATAGTTATTTATTTAAAATAATGATATTAAGTATGAAACATTTAGAATGATTATATATAATATATTAAGATTATTTAAAATAAAAAACATCTAAAAAAAAGCTAATTGCTTTAATATTTAATATAAAAACAATTTAAAGTTAGAAAAATATTATTCATTTGAGATATTTTCTTAAAATTTTTATTATTTTAGAAAGAAATTATGTTATTATATATATTAGAATAAGGCTTTTAAAAAATACTAAAAACTCACGTCACAAATAAAACAATACAATATTATATATATATATATATAAACTTACTATAATTTTATGTAGTTATAGTTAAAATTAATCTTTTCATAATAATAAAGAAATTTTAGAGAATTATAATTATAGAATTATAATTGAGTTAAGTTTTGTTAATATAAAAAACAAAAGTAATAAATATAATATCTTAAAGACATCCAGTAGTTTTTTTATAAAATATGTTATAAATCATAAATTCAATCTTTAAAAACAATTTTGTAAAAATTTCAGTCATAAATTAAACATTTTTAAAATTCATTACCATTCAAATTTTATCAATTTTATTAAATTAATATTTGATAATAATTTTTTTTTAAATATTTAATAAATTCTAAAATAATTATTTTATATTTGATCCTTTTTTCTTATAAACTTTATCATTTTCCGATTTATTATTAACAGAATTGCCAAGAAGTAAAGCAGCTTTGGCAGAAGAATTTATAAGTTTAAATCTAGAAGGACCAAGATTAATTCCTCCATACCATCTAGTTACAACTACAAGAACATTTCTTACGTCCTATATCTATGTAAAATATTAATAAAATAGATGAATTAGTTACCATAGAATCCAATAAATGAGATAAATTTGATCCAGCACCTTTTTCTCCATCATCATCATTATCTAACAAAGTTATATAATAATTCATCTACAAATTAACTAACCATAAATTATTTTATCATTTTTTTCTAATCTATATGCCCATATATTATGAGTTGCATTAGCTAATGATTTTTCATACTGCAAACTTTTAAGAGCTGCATAAACCATATCTAAAGAATTAACTTTAACCATTCGCCCAATAAATTTAGATTTTTTAGAAACTAATGGATCAGAAATAATCCAAGGTATTTCATTTTGATAATTATGCTTTTCATTATCTTCTTTTGAAGCAAAGTCTAAAGTAGATGAAATATTTATATCAACTTTATAATCATTTAAAGTATTAAAATCCTTCTGTGACAACTCTTCCTCTAGATATCTTATTAATTCAAAAATACAAACCTAGCATTATAATTATCATTAATTATTCTATAATAAATATATCTTACATCTCCATAGGGAATCTGTGCTAATATATTTTTTACAATAGATTTTTCAATATTTTTAGATTCTATAATATATGGTTTTTCATAAGGATATGTTTCTGGAAATTGAAGAACAATATAATATGGTTTTTTTGGGATTTTTAAACTATATATTTTAGCATTCCCATCTAGAAATTTAAAACATGATGGATATATTGAACTATTATTATTAAAAATGTATATAAAAAATATAAATATTTACTTTATAGCAACAAATTCATCATCCAGCACCTTAAAAGACATAAGATAAAGAAATTAAAATAGTAATTTTTAATTAAATGACTTTATCGAAATTATTATTAAAGGTTTAAAATTTTGCTGATCATAAATATAAGAATTATATATTTAAACTTATATTTAATAAGATCTAAAAAAGATTAAGATCTCTTATAAATTTTATTTTCTAAAGAAATTAAAATATATTTTAACCATTAAGTAAAATTCTCGATTGTATTTTAGTAATAAAAAATATATATTTAAAATCTTGATATTTTTATTTTAAATTATAATATTTTATTATTTTTTAAACATTATAGAAAAATTTAAGAATTATATGTTAAAATAAATCATTTCGTTTAATAAATATTAATTTTTTAATAAGAAAATTATTCAAGAAGCTTCATAATTTAACATTAAATAATATAATTTTTAAAATTAAAAAAAAAAACTTCTAAAGAAAGATATATTAAATACCTTAGAAGAATAATATAAAATTAGTTAATCTATATATCTAAAAACCCTAAAAAGCATCTAAAGAATATATAAGAAAGATTTATTTTCTAATAAATGATTTAAATATGAAACAAAATCAAGAAATTATTACTGAATATATTAAAATTTAAAATTAAATTGTTCAATTTATTAAAAAAAACTAAAAAAAAAACTAAAACAAAGAATATTTTAAATAAATCACATATTTTTTTAAAAATGTAAATAAACTAATTAAATATTTTTTAAACTAATGTATTAATATTTTTACGAATTATTATAATTGTATAATGTATTTGAAATCATTAGGTTAATTTCTCTCTAGAAAAGTTAATAATGTATTTATTCTTTCATGGCCAATAATAAACTAATCATATAAAATAGTAGTCATATAAATATCCAAAAATACTATATTCAAAACTAATATTTCAAAATCATAAGTGACGAAAATAAAAAAGAAAAGATTAAAAATATAGGGAAATTTAGTACTATACTACAATAAAAAAGTATCTAAGTGTATTTATTAAGCAAAAGGCTAAATTAACATTAAAAACATTTTAAGTTTTAAAATAACTATCAACTATTCAAAGAAAAAAAAAAAGATATATTTAAAAAAATATAAAAAACTAATAGAAAAATTTAAATAGTATTTATTAATTCTTAAATAAGAGATAAAAATAATATATAATAATAAATATCACTAATAGCATTGTTATTTTACTTTTAATGTTAAACGTTATATCTTAGATTATTTTTATTAAAAATAAACCATAGGTTTTACAATTTGATAAATAGAAGAATTTAATATAATAAAAAAGAAATTAGATTTATATTTTAAATTGAAATATTATAGAATTGCATATTAATTTAAATATTATCATAAAAAATACCATTTAAAATCAACAAATGTGTACAAATATATTAATTTTACATATAATACTTTGAAATCTATAAAATTTATATTTAATCTAAGAACAATTATCATTAATTACAATATTAAAGAATTTATCGAGAATAATTTCTATATCAATTACAGTAGTGAGTGAAAACTAAAGAAAAAAAAGAGTGAAAATAATAACAATAATAACAATAATAACAATTAATTACAATAATAAATAAAATTTTAATTGAAAAAGAGAATGAAAAATAATTTGCTTCAATAAAATAGTATATTATACGAATATAAAAACAAATATCATCTAAATAAAAATATAAGAGATTTGAATAAACAAAGATACAAATCCACATAAAGAAATGAAAATGAACATATTAAATTTAACAAAAACAAACAATATCATTAGAAATAATTATTATAAAAATACAAAAAAAAGATAAATATAAAAATAGTATAGAGATCAAATCTAATATATGTATATATATTATATAAATAAAATACAACAATATAGAATATAGATTTAAAATAATAAATTAAAAATTACCAATTAAATATTTTGAAATTTACTTGTGACTTCTCTCAGGATTTTACCCCTAAAAAATATATTAATTCATATACGTCAATTGAAAAATAAAATTATTATAATATATTTATTATAAAGGATAATGATAATGTCATTATTAACAATTGTTTTCACTAGAGAATCATGTTTTTTTTTTTTTTTTGAAAATACTAAAATAAAAATAATGTATAAATGTAAATTTAAAATAATTCTAAAAAAAAGCAAATTCCTTATACAATCAATATTTTAACAAAGAAAATATATTCTAAAGTTATATTTTTTTTGAACATATATACTTAACTCTTAAAATTCCAATTTTTAATAATAAAAAAATATAAATTTTAGAAATATATAAAAATAAAAATTATAATTAAAAATATTATAAAAATACTAAGACATATAATTTCTGAATATATTTTTATTGAATATGCAAAAACTAATCTAAATTATTAAAAAAATGATAAAAAATTAATATTTAAAAAATAAAAATATTAAAATAATACAAATATTTGTTAATATTGAAACATATTAAAATATAAATTCAAATTATTCAATAAAAATATACTATTTAAGAGCATTCAAATTTTGTCTTAAAAAAAAATAATAAACTTATCAACTATTAAAAAGAAAATTAAATACAAAATAAAATAATATTTAAATATAAAACAAATCCAACTTAAAATAAAAAATATATCATAATTCTGTTTTTTTTTTCTAAAATATTTTAAAACTCTACTAATTATATAAAAAATTTATAAAGTTTTAATTTAATAGACATTAACATAAACAAAAATTACTTGTTTTTTTTTTCAATAAAACTTAAACACTTTAATATTTTTCTTTTTACTTAAGTTCTTTATATATTTGACTTGGGTCCTATATATATCTTATCTTTTATCTTATCTTTTTATTATTTTAGAGTTTACTGCGAGATACCTCTTAACAACTCAAGTTTTAAATTTATTCTTAGAAATGATAGAACACTTGGATTATATAACTATAATAACCTTATAATATTTCTAAAAAAAGGGCAATTCTATAATTGTGAATAACACCTCTTATAAGTTTATGAGGAGTTTAAAATATATACCTTCTGATGGTTTTCCTATTGCTATAAAACAAATATATGAACATCTATATAATGCATTCAAGAAATTGCTTAGAATTAAAGATAAATAATGTAGTTTTAAAGGGATACTCTATGATTCTGAGCTATATAAAGCATTGCCTGTGAATTTGAATGAATACCAAGCGGATTATATTAAATATCGCCTTTAATTATCAAGAAGTTCCTATGAATACTATGAAAAACGCAGTAAGAAAGTATTCTTATGTCATTTTGATTATATCGACTATGAACTTTGTCATTTTATAAATTTAAATAATGATTTCAACTTGGAAGATTTCTTTAAAAACGTGAATACTACATGTAAAAATTTATACAAGATAAACGAAGAATTTTGAAAGCATTATAATAATCTTTCAATGCTAAAAATAGATTTTGATATATCTGTTCTTTTTGAAAAGCAAGGGAAAGAAGGCTTTTATAATCATGTATATATCAGTGTAGAAGCTTTATAGCATGTACAGGGAATAAATGACGGGTTTATTCTTACCAAGAACTGTTCCTAACATTGATTCTTCATATTTTATGGGATATTTGGTCGGAAAAAAAGTCTTACTAGATTCATGGATAATTGCATGGATATCAGCCAAAAATGTTTGAATCTAAGTTTCTTCTCTTGACTGGCTTACTTTTATAATTTCAACTCCATCTCTAGTTTGAATACTGCTTGTGATGAAGCTTATCTTAAACTTTTTGATAATTATGTACCGAATTTAACAAAACAACTTGAATTTAGAGTAGGGTATGTAAATGAGCCTGTAGGTATTTTTTGGAAGGATCTACATGTAAATTCATGTACAAAATTTTTAGAACCATGTTCTTAGAAAGACTTGACTCAGAACTTCACCATTTATGCGACGTTCTAAAAGGTCATTATGTTTGCGAATTGGAAATATGGTTTTCTCTTAGTGTATTTGAGAAGTATTTTCGCAATCTTACTCTTGGAGAGAAACCTTCTCAAGGACCTAATCCATATGAACAGAAATTTTGTGATTTATGTCTTAATATATTAAAGGAAATTGTGGATTTCCTCGCTTTCTGTTTAAAACCACAGCATACGTGCATTGCTTTAAGGCAATTTATTACTCTTAGATCTAATGAATTAGAAAAGCAGCGACTAACTTTAATGCTACGGAAAATGAATGTTTTCAAGGGGTGCCAAGACTTAAAACATATAGAACTAAGTGCAAACTATCTGGAAATCATGTTATATACCTTACTAAATGTATTCATAATCATTCCCATAATAACTATATGAAAAAACTTCTACATAATACCTTAGAAGATTCGACTTTTAAAAAAGATGAAGCCAGAGGATAAAGTGAACCTGAAAAACAAAAGGAAGATAATGATTTTTGAATTATTATTTCATAATAATTTTTAAAGATTAATATATAATATACAATATATAATATGTAACAATATTTACTTAAATTATACAATATAAATAATAGAATTTTGAAACAATTCAAGTATACATCATTTTTAAAAATGCTAATCAAAATATTTTATCAAATTTCCATTATTTTTTTTTTTTCAAGACGATTATAATAAAGTTTTCTTGCTTGCCTATATTCTTTTATAAATGTTAAAAGATTAGTATCTTCTTTATTTTCTATAAATGATTTCTGAAGAGAATATGAAAAATTATTTATTTCATCTATTGCATTTTGAAGTTTAAAAAGTAAATATGATTTTGAAAATGGCTATCATTTATTATTTTAAAATTATAATAAATAATAACTACCTGTAACGAATTATTCATATTTTCTTTAGAATCTTCCCATTCTTTTTCATATTTTTTCATTTCATTAATTATATCTTTTGCACTTTTTTGCAAATCTAAAAGATAAGATTTTTGATTTAACAGTTCTTCTATATAGAATCATCTACTATGTTTTATATATAAATATAGCATCTTATACCAGAAAATTGTATATTTGTTTTATGTGCATCTATAAGTGCATTTGTTTGTTTTAAAATTCTTGGATAAGTCATATTTAATATTGTATCTAAAAGTAAAGAATCATTTAAAACATCTTTAAGATCTTCTTGTCTATATTTTATCAATAAAAATAAGACAAAAAGTGTTTAATGTACGATTTTCCATAAAGAATAGAAGGAATAAATAATGTTTCTGTATTATCTTTGTTTTCTCTAATTTCAATATTTGAATCATTTTCTTGAATAGATAGTCTAGACATCTTGATTTATAATTTATCAGTTTAAAAAGTTTCAAATACTAAAAATATTTGAATCAAAAAAATAAGATGCTTTATTAGGGTTTTTATATTTTTTCCAAATGATCAGTATCATGATTCTATTAGTTTATTATATTTTATTTTTTAGATTTCAAAATCATTATTTCTCCTAAAATTTCATAGTTTATAAAATATTTAAAATCCATAAGTTTTATCTTAAATTTAAAATTATATTTATAAAATAGGACTAAAATATATTAATAAATTAAATACGTAATTTTTTCTAATTGTTTATCTAATTTTATAAAACAAGAATATAAAAATTCTACCAAAAATAGGTTTTTTCGAGATTATTTTCAAATACTTGTAATAGCTCTCTAATATCCTTTCTTGGAATTCCTTCAAGAGATGATATTTTTTCTAATGCGTTTTTCCCATTAAAATATTTAATAATTCTATTTTTTATTAATATTAATTGTAAATCATTAATTAATACCTATTAAAAAGAATAGCATATTTTAAAGGTTTCCTGCTTATGATTTCTTCAATCCATGCTCGTTCAAGTTTAGAAGCTTGATGAGGCTCTCTAATAATAGAATCTGTTAAATTATCTATAATTGAAAATGAAGTAGAGTCAATTGAAGAAATATGTCCTTGTTTTTGTTTATTCAAAACAACTTCTTTAATTTCTTTCGAAACCCTTATCCAAATAAATGTTTTAAGCTGACAAACCCAACCATATCTTATTAACCAAGTAAGAACATTTAAATAAATACCACGACAGCTTTTTGAAGGAATGTAAAACGAAAAAGGATGCAATTCCTTTGAAAGTTGCTCTAATATAGAAGAAAGAGATGGTATCGTAGGAAATAACATTCTAAACATAGATTCCTGATATTTTAATCTAATATAAGTCAAAAAAAAAGTCAATACATATATTAAATCTATACTTTGCCATATTTGCAGCAGGACTAACAAAATATATATTCCGCATATTTATAGGTGGTATAGGTATAGCTCTTCTCCAATAAATAAGATGCTCTGCAAGAACATGTATAGTTTTCAAAGGAATATTAATTTGCTGAGATAATTTAAGTAAACTAAAAGAATCAATAATAAATTTCAGTCACTTATATAAAATTACGTTTGAGTAGGACGTATATTTTTCACAAATAAAGATAAACAAGGATTCGCATCAGCTGGTATATTTTGTAAAACACTTTCAACATCATCCAACAATAATAAAGAAGAATGTGGTGTTAAAAATGGATCATTATAATCCATGTCATCATCATAAACATCAACCGATGTTAAAAAACAATTATTTTCAGAAACATCAGTAGGAATAGAAGAAGTAATTATGGGTGTCGGTATAAAAATTGATAAGTCAAAAGAGTTGTTAATAGTTAAATGAGCTATTCCAGATACAGAAATCGCATTATATACAGTGGCCAACGCTGATGCAAGACTAGATTTAAATAAAATATCTGCCCATAACGCATCAAAAGACATTCCTAATATTTATGATTAAATAAATAAAAAAAAATGTAAAACAATTCACCATCATTCACCGCTTTTTCTCGCATTTGTAAAATAATTTCTGATTGAGACCAAACATAATTAGTTCTTGCTTGTTCATACTTCAAAGCCATAGCCAACTTGGTCACAACATTAGTATACATTTCATTAATTTTCGCATGATAATTTTGCGTCAATGATAATTTCATAGCTACAACTATATGAAATAACGTCATTTGATGTTGAGATGGATCAATACTTTCTCCCTGTGACTCATTTACCCCTGATACTTCTAGATCAAACATATTAAACGTTTCACATTGATTTGTTTCACAATATCTCGATAAATTCGTCTGTTTAGACCATGTACCATCAGATCTTATATGAATAGGAAGTCCGAGAAAAACTAATTCATCTACCCATAACTCAAATTTCTTTCCACAATGAGTTTTACATGGTGTTAAAAGATCTGCTAAAAAATCACTATTAAACCCAAGAACATTATCCCATGGATGTCGTCTTATATAATCCTTATCCGTATCCTCTAATTGACCTTCTTCTCCATGCCCATCACTCAATTCTGATGCTACAAAACTCTCTTCTTCTATACTTTCTGTTTCATCTGATGATAATCCATCTAATATATCAATATCTTGACAAGAATTCGTTAATAACTGATTAGTATCCGGACATGGAGGGAAATGAAAGACAAGATTACTCCCAGAAAATGAATTAATAACAAGTAAAACAGCCACAAGATGAGATGGTATTGTCATATTTCTGTTACATTGCTTTATAATTATCCAGAAACAATTTCATTTAAGATTATCCATATAAATAGATTCTCCCATATATAAACCATTCATTTAATAATATTTGGATGCCTTTATTAATCTTTATTGATAAGTTATTAAGAAATAATGATTTTTTAATATTCGAAGCGGTGCAAAAATGATGAAATTTAACGATATTGAATAAGCCTGTGATGTAAAATATAGTAAAGATGAATGAAGTAACAGTAGTTATTGAGCTTCTGTTTAATATGAAATTCTCTACACTTGATCTGAGGCAAATAAATATTTGTAAAATTAATCCATATTGTAATTACGTAAAATAAGAAATGTTCTTTGTAATTGATTAAGTTTATAACGTTCTTGTTGTAATGTAGCTATTGCAAAGTTTTTTAAAGCATTTTGTATTTTTTGAATATGTGTATTATAAAAATCAGCCAATTCGGTAATTAAATTAATATGTGTATAATGTAGTTTTGCAGATTGTTTTAATAATGTTTGCATAGAACGAGTGTTATTTTTTGTAGTTGCTAGTTGTATTTTTTTCCTTGTATTATTTAATAAATTTAATGGCCATGAAGTATTTTTATTAATAACAAGAGATTTCTCAGAAGATTTATAAAAAGAGATTAATTCCTTAATAAATGGATAAGGCCGTTCAAAAGCATTCTATAAAAAAAATGAGATGTATTAAGATGTATATAGATAAAAATACCAAAAGGCCAGTAAATACATTTTCAGTTTGTTGTATTGTATGAATAAGTTCAGTTATTAAATGTGTCTATACAATTGCTTAAAAAAAAGCTTTAAAATAAGGAATTAATACCTTTAAAACAAGATTGTCAATAAAATGTTCAATTACAAAAAGATGTCCTTTAATTTCAAGAAATTTAAAAGAAGGAGTTTGTAAAAAATGAAAAAATAATTTATATGACATTTGATGATCTAATAAAATGATATTAAAATACCTTTTAATATGATTGAAACTTACCTAAGTAACTAAATTCTAAAATATATAAAATTCTATATAAACGATAATATGCATGTTTCATATTCCCAATATTATTTTTTGCATGTTTAAAGAAAAAATCAGCATCATTAACCTCTTCAATAGAAATCAATTGCTTTGGAATTTCTTTATCAATATTCATTCTTTGATTTCGTTCTATAATAATATGTGCTTGTTCTGGTACTGTAAAAAATTCCCATAGCAATTCATGAGTAGAAAAGGTAGAATGATGTAATAAAGCTTGTAAAAAAGTATTTGAACAATCAAGAAATGCCTGTAATATACTTTTTGAAGGTTTAGAAGGTATTATACAGGGATGTGAAAAGTCTATATGAAAAGAAGGAATCCATGACTCAGAATATTCATGAATAAAAAATTTATATAGAAGTTTAAAATCCTCAACTGTACGAATAACCGTTATAAGGTTCTTGGGATTACCATTGACCTATTAAAATAAGTCTTTTTAGAAAAAAAAAAGCTAAATCATACAAATCCACTTTTAATAATGAATTTAACAATACAATTATTATCAATTATTGCTCTAACAGCACGTACTACTCTTTTATGCTTTCCTGAGTTATTCATAAAAAGAGCATATTCTATAAATAACATTTAACAATTTTAAAAATAAAATGGCAACACATACCATCCAGTAGATCTACCACTTCTTGATCTGTAGCAAGATCTACAGGCCTATCTCCTTTATAATCTAAGGCATTAATGTTGGCCGATTTGTTTCTAACCAAATAATTAATACAATCCAATGATTTCTCTTGAACTGCAATATGTAATGCAGTCAAACCCGTATAACTTGTTCGTTCTTCTATATTTATTACTTCTGTTAAAAGGTTCATAACATCTAAATTTCCTTGAGCTGAAAAATGTAGTGCAGTAAATCCATTTTTATCTTTTGCATTTATATATGTTCTTTTATCATTCAGAAGAATCTTAACCAATTCAGAATTTCCAGATTTTGTATGATAAATCAATGGAGTATATCCATGATTATTTTTCTTATTAATATCTCCTTTGCAATCTAATAATGCTAATAAACAATCTGAATCATTAATTGTATGGAAAAGAGAATTTCCATTATCATCAACATGATCATCAACATTTAAAGTATTATTTTCTATCAATTGAACAATTTTTATTGCGTTTAAAAACATTGTTTTGTAATTAGGATGATCATAAAGTGTAGAAAGTATAAATAATGGTGTTTGTCCATATTTATCACGAGATTTCCAAGAAAGATGAATACCAAGTTCTAAAATGAGATACGGTTCATGAAATAAAAAATGACAAACAGTTCTTCCCAATTTATCCTCTTGAGCCAAATAATTAGTAAATTCATCTTCTGAGCATTCCTTTAATTTTTGCAAAAGTATATTAATTGCTTCTTTAAATTCATATTTAATAGCTGCCATTAAAAGTGTAGAACCCTCAATATCATGATCATTTAATATAATTTCAAGTGAAAATTGAGAATGATTAAGGAAAAAATCTATAGAAGAAAACTGTTTTGTTTTTATTCCAAGCATTATTGCAGAATTCCCATTTATATCTTTATAATAATAAATATCCTTTAAAACAGATGATATTTTAGATGTATAAGTAAAATCATCAAAAAACATAGAAATAAAACTTGGATGTTCCTTTTTAAAAACAGAATCAAGAATATTTATGTCTCCAGATTTAACACTGTCCCATAATCTAAGATTATAGTTACTTATAGCTTTCAATTTATCTTTCTGATGTAAAATATGATGCAAAACAGCTTCTAAAGAACTTATAGCATATAATTCTTGGCCTTTACGTTCATTTAAAAATGAAAAATGACTCATATATATAAAATCAGTTTCTAAATAATTCAATTTTGTACGAACTCTAGAATAATCAATTATAACAAAAATTAGAACAAACTTACACAACTAATAAAAGTAATGGTATTAAATAATCACCACCTAGATTATCTTTCGAAAAATTTGATACATCCTGAAACATATTTTCATTATAATTTTTATTTTGTTGAGATTCCCTAGGGATTTTTACTGTATTACTTACTAGTAAATGTATTGTCTTCATAAGAATATTCAATTTTTCAGAAGGAACCTTGGTTTCTTCAAATTGTTTAAAACAATTAATAGCATCATAAATACGATCATTGATTTCATTATTAACAAATGGTAAACCAAGCTGATAAATATTAATATGTTCCATAGATGTAATAGAATCTATCAATTCTAAATCATTATCTTTATATATAGCTTTTAGACAAGAAAATACTATATCGTATGTTTCATTACATATATAACTTGAATTATTAATCATTATTTCAATAAAAAGAAGTATATACTTTTCAACTAAGATTCCAATATCATCTTCTGTTAATGTTGTTGTATTTAAAAGAGTCCTTAGACTAGATAAATTTAATGACCTAAGCATTTTTAAGCAAGAAATAATAGCATCTTCAATTATTTGCTGAATATTATTAACAAGATTCAAATGATCAGATTTATCAAGAAGATTGATTTTTTTTAAAGAATTGGAAATAATTCGATTGATTTTTTGAATTACTGATGAATGAGATTTAAGAAGTTCCTGAAGAATTGTAATTTTTTCAATAGGTTTATTAGATATAGAAATTGATTCTGAAACATTAATATTCTTCTCTGATGTTTTCACAAGAGGTCTATCAAGAAAATATATAAGATATGGATCTCTATTCTGATCTTCTGAATAATATAACATATCATAAAGCAATTTAGCATGACAAATACATGAAAATCCTTATTTATATAAAATTAATTAATAAAAAATCATAAAATACACACCTTTATCCGAATATACAAAATCATTCTTAATAATAACCGTTTTCCCATTAATCGTAGTAAATTCTTTAATATTTCTATAAACTCCATATCTCGACCCACTTGATGATTTTAAAATATGACTTTCTAAACATCAATTATAAAAATTATATTACTATAAATTAAAAAAATACGAATAAAATCTTCATCAATCGTTTCCATCCATGGAATACCCGTATTCTCCTCTAATCCTTGTAATGATTCTGCAATCGGTACTAAAATAATCATTTCATATACTGAAAAACCTCGTGAAATAAGATTTTCAACAAATGTTTTATTATTCTCATCCAGAGAAAATAATCGATTAAGAAAAATATTAGAATATCCAATTCTCATTCTTAATATCTGTTTTTTTTCATATAAAAAATCAATTCCTCTTAATAATATAGACTTTCTTTTAAAAAAATCTATTTTTAAATTTATATATCAAAATAAAAATAAACCAATTCCTATATTCCTAAATTATATAAAAAACTCCTTCCCTATTAAAAAACAATTAATTTCAAAAAAATTCTCTAATAAACTTAATTCTTTAATTACTTTTACTTTAATTATCCTTTTTTCTTTAAATTAGATTTCCATTTCTTTTTAAATTCATTAAAAATACTCATTCTAAATATTTATATACTATTTTCTCCTTATTAACCTCTCTTAACACCCTCTTAACGCTCCTCCATTTTAACCCCACCGTATGGACCGTTAAAGAAGACTCAAAAATTGACTTAAAAAAAGTTAATCGTTTAATAGAAAAAAAAACATAAAAAAACAAGTCGACAAGAAAAAAGTATAAAAAGCACAGTTAAACAGACATAACAGCGTATTAAAGACACAGAAAGACTATATTTTTTGTATAAAAGAAGGGATAATATATTAGAAGGAAAAATTAATAAGAAACAAGTATTTTTTGCAGAAAGGTTTTTTTTTAAAATAAGAAAAAAGCCAAGTATTTGAGTAAAATCATTAGTATAAAGGGTAATTGGGTATTTTTATTGTGATAGGAGTTGGAATTAGTGGGGGTTTTGATAAGAATATAAGAAATTTTTATAAGGAAAATAATCAGTAAAAAAAATAAATAAAAGAATAAGATTTGAAATATTTAATATTGAATATATTTCAAGTTAAAATATTTGGAAGAAGTTAAGATAATATTTATATAAGGACGGATTGAATAGAAGATGGAGAAAGATGAGAAACCATCATGGGCCTCAGCGGTTTCATCATCATCATCATTAACAAATGAAAATAATATTGTTAAATCCGTGGAAACAATATCGCAAAATTCGTCTAAAACGGTATCGGAAAAAAAAGAGAATAATTCTATGTCAAAAACGAATGTATGGAAAGCTAGACAAGAGCGAATGGTTAAGTTATCGAATTCACGATCGGTGGAGTCTACAACAAATAATATTTCATTAAAACAAAAGGAATCACCGGTTAAAACGTTAGCTAATGGAGATTCATTGAATTCGGAGAACATGGAATTAACATCAATTTTATCAGATACAGAAAGTTGGCCAACATTAGATAAAGCGGTATCGGAAGAAGGATTACATGAAAAAGAAAAAGAAAAACCGAGTCATCCGTTAACAAAAATATCAGGAAAAGAAAAATGGGTATCATATACACCGACGATTACTCATGCAAAGCCGTTACCTACGAAGCCAACTAATCGAATTCGTGAAGGAAGAATTCATGATAATTCGATTCGAGGATCAGCTAAAAATGGGATAACAAATACGGAAGAGATATCAGAGCTGTTTAAAAATAGAGAACATAAGATTGAAAAAGGGAAACATAACAAAAGAGCAGGAAATATTCAAGAGAAACGGGATGCTCGGGTTGCAAATCAAGCGCCTATTTCGAAAGATAAGAATACATCGATTACGCAACCTACAATATCAGTTAAAGAGAATAAAAGTGAAGTAAAAGATATTAATGAGGGATCAAACGAACTTAGCTTAGAAAATCTTGAATTAAAAGATAATTCAAATGGAACAAAGGAAGAAGTTAATCGTTATAACTACAATAATGTCTATAGATCAAGAGGTAATGTTTTATTAATACTTTTTTCTTTTTTTTTTTAATCATAAATTAGGCGGTCTTCACATGCCATTTATTCAACATAATACTCACCCTTTATTAAATATCAATGCATTTGTACAGGCACCAAATATATATTTACCATTTCGTCCACCTACTTGTGGGAATTTAACTATACCTTTTTATCCAAATGAAAAATATCATCAATCTTATATGTATGATTATTCTCATATAAATCATGTCGGGATGTTTATGCCTATTATATATGATCCTATGGTTTTGAAAAATTGTATTCTTAGTCAAATGTATAAATCTTGGTCTTTCTTTCGATTTGTACTAATTTATTTTAGTGATTACTATTTTTCAGTTGAGAATTTATGTAAAGATTTATTTCTTCGTCGTCATATGGATAGCCAAGGATGGGTAAATTTGTTAATCTTGGCTAATTTCAATCGGATTAGAAGTTTCGCACTAGAATATAATTTTATTAGAGATATTACTACCTATTCACGTACTGTAGATGTTAATTTTTCCGATGGTTATGATCTAGTTCGAAAAAAAGAAGGTTGGGAAATTTGGGTCTTACCTGAAGAAGAAAGAGATCCTAGTGTACGAAGTGGGCGATCATTAATTTCAACTAAATATTCTAATAATGAAAAACCAACTATGACACCTAAAGCATTGAAGGAGAGTATTGATGCTCTTCCATTTTTGCCTCGAACAAACCTAAATACTGCACCTTTTTCATCTAGGCCACAAGAAATGCCTTCTAATCAATCAAATATAAATTTGTTTAACCAGAGAATGTCGCCAAAGACCCTTGTTTCTAGTTCCACTGTATGTTAATCTTTTTTTTTTTTTTTTAATTTACTCATTTTAATAGAAGATATCTAGCATTAATAAAACTGAAAAATCAAAATAGCTTAAAAAATATCTGCATTATAATTTTGATTCAAATAATCTTACAGTATTAAAAATGTCAATTATAAGATATTAATTCAAGGATTTTTTTTTTAATTTCTTTAAACATATAGCTCAATTTTCTGGATTTTTCTTTTCTTTTCTTTTCCAAATATTCTCATTCTAAACTATTAATTATTTGGATACTTCTTATTGTCGGTATATACTTCTTTTTTATCTCTTTTTCATTAACTATTTAGTACTTTAAAATGACTTTATCGGAAAATTCTATCTCTACAATCTTCTTCACTTCTACACACTTTTATACATCTTTTTACTTTATCTAGCAGAGCATTTTATGATCTATTCATTTATATATTGATATTTTTTATTTCATTTCTTCTATCAATTTAATTCATTAATACTTTACATTCAAAATACCTTCTTTTAACCTTCTTTCTTTAACTTATCTTAATGTATTTAACTATTTCTTCTATTAATCTTCTTTATATATTATTAAACCCTATTTTCTTAAAAATTATCTGAAAATTTAGATTGATTTAATGGATTATCAGAATAGAGTGGTTTGTTGCTTAATTATAAAAATTGTTATGTTTGTTTATATAATTTTTGTAGGGAAGTAAGTTTGGTGGAGGAGGGGTTGCAGGCACAAGTGAGACCAATGCAGACCGTCGTGAACGGTTAAGAAAGCTTGCTTTAGAGACCATTGATTTAGCCAAGGTTTAAATAGAAAAAATTAAGAAATAAGTTTAAAATAAGTAAAGGATCCATATATTTTAAAGAATCATCTTGGGAGTTTTGAATGCAAACTTTGTTTAACACTTCATGCAAATGATGGATCATATCTAGCTCATACGCAGGGAAAAAAGCACCAAACAAACCTTGCACGTAGAGCAGCAAAGGAGCAGAAGGAGGGAGCTATGGATGGGATTACAGGGCTTCCGGTGGGGGTTATTGGACAACAAATTCAAGTTCGAAAAAATGTGATTAAAATAGGACGACCAGGATATAAGATTACAAAGATTAGAGACCCGTATACGAGGCAAATAGGTCTATTATTTCAGTTAAGTTATCCGGAGATTGGTACAGATATTCATCCTCGACATCGATTTATGAGTGCATATGAACAAAGAATTGAACATCCGGATAGAAGATGGCAATATTTGATTATAAGCGCAGAGCCATATGAAAGTATTGCATTTAAAATAGGTATGAAATGAATTTAATATATAAAATAAATAAATTTTTTTTTGGTATATATTTATAATATTTTTAGAAGCAAAAGAAATAGATAGATCAGAAGGGAATTTTTGGACATTTTGGGATAAGCCGACGTTTTCTATGCAGTTTTTTTTTAAATCAGATAGAGATACAAGATATATGGGAGTTCCTGGATTATCTAATTCTACGGCAAAATAAAAGTGATATATATATATAAGTGATATATATAATGCTTTTTAAGAGAGTTTTTTTATTGAAAAGAAGAAGTACATACTTTTCAACTTTTAATATTTGCAATATTCAAAGAAACATAAGTATATAAGTAAGTATATAATATTATAAGTACATAATATTATAAGTATACATTATATTTAGAAATACATCATATTCTCTAAATTGGATCTTCTTACAAATGATATTTTAATAATCTATCAAAAAAAAACATATTTAACATTATTCAATATATTAAATTACATTCATTTTTATTATATACTTACTATGTACTTAGATTATTATTTAAAAGAAAACGAGACTATAAGTATCTTATAGAAAGGAAATATTTCCAGATTTTTTTTTTTTGAAATTTATGACTATTACTAAAAGGTATTTTTAACTTGATTTTTTTTTTAGAGATGTTAAAGTATGATGATTTTCTTTAACAATCCAACTCCTAAGAAATAATTTTGTGGATAAATATGTATAATACCTGATTTAACATATTTAATATTTTATAGATTTTTTCTAATTTGTTTTTAGAATATATAAATTATTATTTTAAGTTAATAATAAAAAAACGCTAAATGTTTGATGATAAGATGAACAAAGATTTCTGAATTATATGTAGAATCATTAATAATAAGTTTCAGCCTTGTCTGACATTTGCGTTAAAATAATATAATAATGGATACTAATTTATAAAAATGGCATCATAAATGATTAAACTTTATAGGTAATTTATTTTTAAATTAGTAAAAATCTTATAAAATTAAAAATGATTGAAAATAATACGATGGGCGAACATATCTGTCAGTTTATTTTTATTAAAATGTGGATACAAGTGTACAAAAATCATCCGCAGTGACAGAACTGGTGAAATATTATTATTCTGATTTAAGATTTTTATATATACCATTATTTTATTTAAATCTAATTTTTATATAGTTAGTATAGAGTATAGACACTATTTGTTATATCTAACATTATTCATTATTTAATAAAGTATAACTATCTAGTTACATAGACTCTTATTAATTGCATTTGTATTATCTAAACACAATATGTGATAATATATTTAAACTGTTTTCAATAATAAAGATATGCAAATTTATGAAATACCATAAATGATCAGTTTTTAAATATATTACAGTAGAATAGTTCTCTGAAATTATGTATCCAACATATTCCTGATTAAATATTCTTTTATAGTTCATCATTCATGTATGAATAGTACCAATCCATTCCCAAGCTCTTATCCATTCTCCATTTATTTCTGCTAATCGTGTTCTTATGTTTGAGTTATTTTCAACCACTTTCCGTACTTTATTCCAAAGTTTATTTCGTTGATTAGTATTAAACTCATTTACAAGAATATCATCCCGTAAATGTGAAATAGCAATATATGGATATGTAGACTTCGGATCCAAAATATATAAACGTTGTTGCTCATATAATCTTTGAAGAGAAATATGAACCAATTCTAGAATTCTTGATTTATAGGTTCTATGCAAAACAAAAGCTGATTTTATTTTAAATAAAAGAAATATAGAACATATTATTCCTAAATAAATATTTACTAATGATTAAAAAAAAAAAAAGAATATACCAATAAATTCGACTCTATAGCGTACCAGACTTCGTCTGATATATTTTTTAAGTGAGCATCCAAATGGAATGTTTGCAAAAGATGTTGATTTAAAATATCTCTTTGATCTATTAGATCAATATATCTAGGTCAGCCAGAGCTTAGAATGATTAAAAAAAGACTAAATACAACATACCCATCATTTTCTACACGTATTTCATCATACGTAGATATATCTTTAAATGCATCCGACAATAATTCTTGAAATTGTTCATCATCTATATCAGGCTAATTGAATTAGTTTAGGAAAAAAAGAATTATTGATACAACAGATTTCATTTCCCAAAGATATTTCTCAAGATCGTTCTCAGATATACCCTCTTTTTCTCCTTTAAGCAATTTTGAAGTGCCACATTCTAACTTAGTATTTTTATCTCTAAGCATCTGAATGATCTCATTAATAATAATATGAACCTTTCTTAGTTTTTCAGTATCTGGTATACATGATGGCGCAATAGGAATTAATCCATCAAAAGACAATATATTCGAAGCAAGAATATAATCCTTTTGACATACAAGTTTAAAATTAGGATAACAAATAGCATGTTCAGGACATGGTTTGCAATATATAAAAAGATTATCAAGAAAAATCCTTGGAAATTTTTTTCGTATTAATGAATATGTATTTGATGTTTCTAATTTTTTTTTAAAATCATCAATTTCACCATTTTTTTCGAAAAATTTACCTTTAATTTCAACATTGCAATAACCCACACGAATCGTTTCCTCCCTCCAAATACCCACCAATGCTGCTATAGAAGTGCCAAAAATAAATACTACAAGAAATTTTATAAACGAAATTTTTTTGCGTTTAGGTTTAGCTTTTGATTTCCCATAAAAAACATTCAAAACCTCTTTATCCAATTCTAATTTGTCTTTATTTTTCATTTCATTATTATTTAAAGAAATATCATCATGCGTAAATTCATTATTTTTAAATGTTTGTGTAGTTAATTCATGTTCGGGTTTCGTATACATTGTCATATGATAAAATTGCTGAGATGTCTTTAAATTCTCAATATTTGTCATAAATTTCTTCGGTTTAGATCGAGCTAAATTAGAATTCATTAACGGTTGAATCAAACTCTTCGAACGAGGCTCCGGTTTAACCCTCATAACAGATAACTTCTCAGGAACTTCTGATACATCCTGAGGCTCCTTTTGACAACTTTCTGGCTAATAATAACGTTATATATACCTTTTAAAGCATTCTTTTTCGATTTACCACTGAACATTGCAAAGATGAACGAAATTTATATGTTTCTGATAATGGAGACGATTTCTGAAAAAAGTTTTCTCTAGAAAACCCTTTATCCAATGATAAAGACTATATTATCCCTTAAATACGGCCCAAAAAACCCCCCATTATTCTTCAATATACCTTTTCCTCTGTTTTTTCTTTTTCTTCCTCAATATCCAAAGGCTGTGCACTTATTGACCTACGTAAAGACATATGAGAACTTCTACCCGTAGAAGAACCCTCTTTTGCTTCATTTAACTGCTTTTTAACCCTTTTTTTACCGGACTTTTGTTTACCCTTCAAATTCATCAATTTTTACCGTAAAAAAAAGCGATTTTTCGCCAAAAAAAACAATCATACACTTGTACTATCGCTCAATTTACCATATTCATCCTTATTTTCGTCTTTTTTCCCCTTTAAATACCCTTTTTTCCCTGAAACAATATGTTCATAAAATAAGTCTAAAAGAACCTGTTTCTTAGCAGATGATGGATAATCCACGTCATGTTCAAGTAAAATACGCCGAAGATCAGCAATTCTAAGCGACTTTGCGTCAAAGTTCTCATCCAAATAGCTCTGAAACATTGACTGACTTAGCGATGGTTGAAAGTAGTGAAAAATAAGTTAAGTCGAATAATATATGTGTATATATATAGAATAAAAAATATACATAAAGTTGACCTAAATTTTCATAGTTAGATGAGATATATTGTTAATTGGTAGAATTAGAATAGACAAGAGTAATAGTGCCATTGAAACGTTGAGGAGAAAGAGATAAAGTATGAATATCAGAAGGAGGTAATTGAGAGTTCCAAAGAGCCAACATATCATTTGCTTCCTTTGGATGAATTGTTTTATTTTCAGTTCCAATTGTAGTATGAGGAATTGGAGTAGCTAATTGTATTTTTTTATTTTCTATATCCAAAATTGCAGCAACAAGAGCCATAATTCTTGAATTCCAAACGAGATAAGTGAATTCAACATGAGCAGAACAAACGACACCTGAAGAGTTCATTTGAGATAAATAATATTGCCAAATTTTAGGATATTCTGATTTATCAGAGACATGAATCAAAGTAACATGAAAAGTAGATTGTACACGTTTTGAGGACTTGAGATGTTCCCAAAAAGCAGAGACTTCTTTTTTCTGATCCTTCATAATTTGTTCTATATAAAGAGCTAAATCATCCTTAAAGAGAATACCAAAATATTCAGGTTTTCGTTTAGAGAATGAACCAAGTTTTTGATGAGATAAGGTTAAACTGGATATTTTGTTAGGACAAGAATGATTTAAAGCGATACGAATTGCAGAATCCATTTCAGATGTGGTTGGTATTTTTGCGACAAATTTTGGAGCAATTTTATGAAGACGTTTAATCACAATTTCCAAATTAGATATTGTATCTTTCATAGGATCCAAGATAATGATATCTTCAAATAAATTATCCGGTTTTCTATCAAGATCTAAAGGTTCAAATCTGGAAAGAAATCCATTCATAATTCCTATAGCAGTTTTACCCTGATTTAATGATGCATCAATTGTTTGATGATTATTTCCACGTTCAAGAACTCTAGCTTTTGTTATTTTAGAGATTTCATTTAATTTTTCTCTTCTAGTAACTAAATCATCATCTTTATCAAAATGATTATAATAAAGAGCGATGAAACGAGTATCTGGAGATCGTTCAGAAACCAAACGAATCAATTCATCTCTTTCTACATATTTGTGATTATTTCTGTGACAAATATTACCAATTATTCGATTAATCAGGATAAACCTACTTGTCTGCTATAACAGCATGTTGATGCTTTAAAGCATCAACAATTGCAGATACAAACTTTTGAATTTTCGCTTTTTTTCCTGGTATATCATCATTTTGAATATGCTTAAAATTAAATAATAAAGATAAAGCAAAAGCAAGAGTTGTTTTTCCACAACCAATTGTAGCAATAGGAACAAGTAAAATATTTCTATCCTCAAGAGGATAGTTTGTAATCAACCTTTCTGAAAAATCTAAAGGCGAATAATTGTATTCTTTTAAAAATTGCTTGCGAAGAGCCACAATTCCATGATTTTGTTTATATTTTTTTGCAAAGTCAGGATTTTCTCTCAATAAAAGACGTACCCACATTACATATTGTTTTGTAATATGATCTTCATTAGAATTGAATTTATATGTGCCTGATATAATTGCATGTGTCAATTCTCTCCATTTTCTATAAATAAAATATGGCTCTTTAAATTTATACTTGAAAAAAAAATCATGAAAATGAATATCATCTGATAAGTTAGATTTACATCGTATAACAAACCCTTCAACTTCTTTTCCATAATAAGATTTTGTCTTTTCAGAATCTTCTAAAAAACATTTTAACTCTAACAAAGTTTGAAAAACTTTATAATCAACTTGTCTAAATCCCCATTCACTAGCAAACATACAGACTTTATCAAATTCATATGTAACAAAATTAGCTTTATTTAAATTAATTCCATGAAGATAAAGTCCACTCTTTTCTGGTGGATATCCTATAACATGTTCTTCAAAACTATCATCACATAATTCAAAAACAAGAGTTGCATTCATTTGTCGCAGTACATTTGCCAATTGTTTTCTACTATGTAGAGAACATGATAAATGCTTTTCTAACCATGTTTCCCCTACTTCTGCATGAATAGATGTACCATTTGCTATTGATCCCATCGAATTCTTGCTTGCAACAATCAATGAGTCATCTGAAAGCGCTGAAACAAAAATAATACATCCATTCTCTTTCAATGTCAACGTATATGGTCCTATAGTATGTTTTTCCAAGGATTCCCACTAAAATTTATAAATTATAAACATAATAACCCTTCGTTATAATTCACTTTAGTTTCTTTAACTTCATTTATTGCAAAAAATTTATTATATCCTATCCCCATAAAACTGGACCCTTTTAAGATACTAATGAATACCTCTAATAACAATTTCATGTATATTTTTATCATTTGTTATAGAAAAAAGTCCTCGTATATCTGTTGCTAATTTACTTGATTTTTTAAATCCAAAATCTGGCAACTTCCAACTATCAATATTTACTCCATTATATGTAAATGTATGTTTTGAAATAGATTTTGATCTTTTATTTTCATTTTTTTCTACTTCTTCTTTAATCCTTGAAATCAGTTCTTGAGCCGTTTCTTGATGTCCCTCTTTTCCCTTATTGTTAAGTCCCATATTAAACAATAAATATGTAATTAAAATCAAAATTCTTAGCTTAAAAATGTACTTTTATCTTTATTTTTTATATTCGATATATATATATAGACTTGTTATGAATATTGATCAAAATTATTTATATATTCATAAACAAGAAAAGGCGGATCATTGTTATCCATAGTATTTGAATTTAGCTTTAGTATTGTATATGTATTTTCACCGCCAAAAAAATATCCATGTTCATAATTTTCCCAACTGATAGGTGAATCTTCAAAACCATTAACAGTTAGAGAGATCCAATTTATATCATTAAGATTGCTATAAATGTATTTAAATATTGTATTGAATATTATGTAAATAATACCGTAAAAATAGCCATAAATTATATATCCAAGTACAACAGATCATTCCTGACCATAGAAGCCTAACAACTTCATCTTGAGATGCATCTGAAAGATGATAAGGCAATGAATAAGGATCATTATTAAGATCAATACGTAGCCTTTTTTATTAAAGAATTGTTAAAAAAATCAATGTTTTACCTTTCTGATCCAAGAGAAACTAAGCCTAGCCATTCATATATCTCTGTAGCCCATTCTTCCTGAATAATTCTATCTATACCCGGATAATCCACATGTTTTGGATAAGAAAAAGAAGGACAAAGAATCTTGCCTGATTCATTTCTTTCAAAATTTACAAAACAACATGATAATCCAAGAATTTCTTCAAGAATTCCAATATTATCTATAAAAAAGTTTAAAACAAGCCATCAATTGCAATATTTCAAACCCTCATCCAATACACACATTCTGAAGGAAAATTTCCTTTGAAAAACATTCTTAAAACTCCATAAAACTCTATTAAATCCTTTCTTTCCCTTTTTCATAGATGTTTCCCTCATATTTAGTAATACATCTAATAAAATTACCCAAAATTATTACACTACAATATAATATTACTCCATTTAAGACATTTTCTTGAAAAAGCAGACGGCTTTCCTTCAAGTCCTGCCTTTTCATATGTATCTTTTGTTAATGAAAGAATAATCTCCCCTAAAAATTCAATAACTCCCCAAAAAAACACACATTAATACCCTTGCTTACACAGACAACATCATCCACATCTATATGGTTCATAGAAAGTGCACATAATACCTCTATACTTGTTGATAAATGTTAATATTGCTAATTTAGCATAATCTACCCGTTCTAATCAATCTATCAAGAACATCTTCCCTCAAAAACCATTCCAATGGAACATCCACATTAATAAATCTTGGATGGTTGCTTTTTTCAAGTAAATATTCCACTTTACTCAAATCATCTTTCCTCAAACAAAGCTCCACCTGAAAATACCCATTATTTTCCAAAAAAAAATCAATACAAAGATAAAAACCGAGAAATTAAACGGATGCCGTCTAATTAATGTCATTTCTGGGCATCCAAACTTAACAAAACACTTTTTTTTCTTTTTCATCTCTTTCATAAAAGAACCCATATTTTTTTTCTCCAAAAAACATAAAACCCTTCTGAAACTACTTAAACCTTCATATAACTAACGTTTCTATGCAAATATCGCCCTTCCTAATCATCTATTTCTCAATTGCCTCCCCACTGACTGTGCCTATGACTCTGTGTCACGTGACTTTTGCCACCGCTAACAAATAGACTTGAATAAAAAGGCCTCTAAAAGGGCCAAATTATAAGTAAAACATGCCATATTCCGGTAAAAAAGGAGAGACGAAGTCTATTTCTAAGCAAGAAGTTTTTACGGCGTGAAAAAAGACGAATTTGATAATGTTTTTAGGCTTATAATTTTTTCTCTATGCAGAGGACAAAGACAATTGGAGGACATAGTGATTTAGTAAAGACACTTGGATGGAATTGTACTGGGAGCAAGCTAGCATCAGGATCGGCAGATCATAGCTTACGTGTATGGAATCCAGAGAAACTGGAATTGAGATATTCAGTCGAGTTTAAGGGACATTCTTCAAGTGTAGATTATCTTTCATGGGATCCTACACATAGTGATCGTCTTGTAAGCGTTGGAAAAGATAAGGCAATTCGTTTTTGGGATTATAGGGGTATTTATCAATCATTATTGGGATATATATATAATTAGGATTAGAGGGTAAGTGTGTCTTAGAAATCCCAACAAATGGAGAGAATATCAGTGTTACATGGTCACCTAATGGTAATTATGTAGCATCAGGAAGCAAGGTTTTATAGGAGGGGTTTATTGTATAATTTAATAAGGATTAGGATGATGTAATTACATTTGTTGATATTAAGGCAAAAAAAATTATTAATTCAATCAAACAACCAGCAGAGGTAGTTTATTTACTAATATTAAGTATATTTATTCTAAAAAATTAAAGACAAATGAAATATCATGGTCAAATAGTGGCGATTTTTTTGCTTTAGCTACTGGTCATGGAACTGTTAATTTAATTGAATGGCCATCACTAAAACATGTATATACTATAGATGCACATACATCTAATTGTTTTTCTCTTGAATTTGATCCAAAGGGAAAGTGGGTTTTCTTTATTTCTTATATATATATATATATATAATTTTATAGATATTTGGCTATAGGCGGTTCAGATGCTCTTGTTAGTTTATGGGATCTTGAAGAGCTCATCTGTGTCAGAACCTTTTCAAAATTAGAGTATACTTTTTTATATATTATTTTCAATTATTTTTTAATCTATTTAGTTGGCCTGTAAGAACATTAAGTTTTACTCATGATGGACAATATATTGCTTCTGCATCTGAAGAAATTGCAATTGATATTGTATTTTTTATTTAATTTTATATAAATACATTAACATATCTCTAGTCACATGTAGAAACTGGTGAACATATTTACAAAATTCCTTCTAACGCTACTAACAAAGTTACTTGGCATCCATATAGATATTGGTTAGCTTATGCTGGTGATGAGATAAATAAAAAAGGTGATTTATCCATCTTTGGTATCAATAATTAAAATATCTTTATTTACTCAATTATATACATTTATACACAAATAATTTAAAAAAACAGACATGGTTATTACAATAAGGCTTTCATATATATATATAATCATCTTCTTATTAATTATATCTATATAAACTCATTTTTATCGATTATCAACCTGCTGAACTACTAAATTAATGTTGTTCAATACTTTTACAAAAATAAAACACAAAACACTTGATTTAAAGCATTATTATGATCCATATTATTATGCTAAAGGAATTGGTCGTTTTTATTTGCTAAAAAATGGCAAAGTACATAATATAACTATATTTTTTCAATATTATAAAACTATGGTTGAAATACCAGAGCAAAAAATACAGGAAAAACAGGAGAAACATGCACCATTTATTAAGAAATATAAGCCAATAACACCAGGAAGACGTGGACTTTGTCGTCCTTTAAATGAACATCTCTGGAAGGGACGTCCAATACGTTTTTTAACTATTGCAAAACGTCAAACAGGTGGACGTAATGATCAAGGAAGAATTACTACAAGACATCAAGGAGGAGGACATAAACAACGTATACGTATTATAGATTTTATACGTAAAACACCAGGACCACATGTGGTCCTACGTATTGAATATGATCCGGGACGTAGTGGACATATTGCGTTAATCAAGGATTTAAAAACAGAAAAGCTTTCATATATATTAGCAGCAGATGGACTTAGAGCAGGACATATTGTAGAAAGTTATAGAATGGGATTTGGATCATATGAAGAAGAACAAGAAAAAATAGATTCAGGAGCTTTTGTAGCAAAAGCGATTCAACCAGGAAATTGTCTTCCTTTATCAATGATTCCTGTAGGAACGATTGTCTTTGCATTAGCGACGAATATTCATGGACCAGCTAAATTTTGTAGAAGTGCAGGAACATATGCACAAATACTTTCTACAGGAAATGAAGGATATGCCACTGTTAAATTACAAAGTGGGGAATTAAGAAAAATATCTGTTCATGGGGCAGCTACTATTGGCATTATGAGTAACGTTAATTGGTAATATACATTGATTTATAAGCTTTTTTCTTATAATTTATAAAGGAAACATCGAAAATTGGGAAAAGCAGGACGATCTCGTTGGTTAGGTATTAGACCAACTGTTCGTGGTATGGCAATGTAAGTATTATTTATCAAAATGTCATAAATTTTTAATATATATTAAGGAATCCACGTGATCATCCTCATGGTGGTGGACGTGGTAAAAGTAAAGGTAACCGACATCCATGTAGTCCATGGGGAAAACTAGCAAAAGGCAAAAAGACTCGAAAAAAGTTAAATCCATTAGTAATTAAAGGACGTCCTAGACGATAATCATGATTAAAACAATCTTAATCGATTATCATACATAAATAAAGGCATAAACACTCAAATATAAATATATGAATCATATAGTTTACATTATTTAACATGTTTGGATCAAAAAAAAAACCATATTAATAATTTACATGCACAAGTCAGTTATATTTCTATCATTTGTACGATATGGAAAAATATGCCGAATCTCGTTTAAAAAATTATATATAAAAATCCCTAAATCTTATTAAATTATCATAAATCAATGTACAATATATTTGTGTATAAAATTACCTAAATGTGCGATTTTATATATGTACCAAATTTATCATAGCTTTACCTTTTTTTTTTATAAAAAGCTAATCTTTAAATCATATTTCAAAATCATTTGATGCACTTTCCGACCCAAAATCAAGTTCTTTTTTAAACCTATTCTTATATTAAAAATCTCTTCTAATAATATAATCTTTAAAAAATACATAGTATCAAGACTTTTCGATATTAAATATTCCGGAATTAAGAACAATGCTTGTTTTACTTTTATTAAAAGTTCCTCTTGGTCTATTTCTGTCTTAGTCCCCATCATTCGCACTATATTCAAAATCGCATTCATCGGTGCCGTTAATACTGAATCCGGCTTTAAAACATTCGAAAAAATATCTAAAAGACGTCCTAATTTACAAAGTTGAGATCTTTGAAATAATAATCGTTCCGATTGAAATCCTTCCTTCTTTTCATATCATATTTCATTAATAATATATTTCCCTACCAACCGTAGATTCCCTAGTCCATTGCTCGATAATACTCTGTAACGTCGGGCACTATATTATATAATAAATATTAATAATTAAAAATCATTATCCAAAATTACTGGATCTGCATCTAGAATATGTAGAATATTATGAAATTGAGACGTCTTATCGATATTATCCATAAGATTCCCTTTAGTCCATTTTGGCTCTGTTAATGGCATAGATAAATTTAGCCATATTTCAATCCGTTTAACCCGTAAAAGTTCGCCCTCTGTAGGATCTACATTTGTTACCCGAAATATTTGTTTATTCGTCCCGTTAGTCGTCAATTCTTCAAACTAGCCCTGTTTAAACCATTGTTCCATATATATGCGCGCATATATACCACTGCCCATCCGTCTGTATGAATAACTATTCTCCCTTCATTACGGGAGAATTCTATTGAGAAAATATGTTCTGCTGGAATAATAATACGTTTTGTACCCTTTTTTATTGAGAGTGAAACCCGGTCGGGTGCAACAAGTGCTGCTTCTGTTGCTGATAAATTACTTTCTGATTGTATATCTGTTGAGTTTCTAAAGTAAAATCGAATTCGTGCATCTTTTTGATCCTTTTCTTCTCGTGTTTCTTCTGTTAATAATAAGTTTTGGCCTTGTAAAACATAAATATAGTGCCAGAAATGAAATTTCCAATCTGAAGACGAGATAATCTGAAATCAGAGAATGTTTTACGCGTTAAAAACGCTGTATTATTGGAACTTCTTGAATCTATACGTAATCTTTTTGATGAGCCTGAATTGCGAAAACCTGGAAATTGACCATATTTACCAGGTATAGACATTGAACAGGATGCAAAACAAGCCTTATAACAAGATATATGCGTATGTTTATCTAAATTATAGGGAGTATATGCGTCACCATGATTTCTTAAGCTTCGTTTATATGGGTTATGAAAGGATGAATAGGATGAATAGGATAGGGTAATATTAGAGATACAAATAGTAAAGGAAAAAAGGAAGGAATAATAAGAATTAAGTGTTAACAGGAGCAGATTTATATAGAAATAGAGAATAATGAATTTTTAGAGAAAATGATTTAAATATAAAGCAGAAAAATAAGTTGAAAAGTGGATTTACGGATGAAAAGTAGATTTGCAGATGAAATTTAGTATTATAATAGAATTCTTAATATTTATATTTAAATAAGGGGGGTTTTATTATTTTTATTTAGACTAAGAAATTAATATGAAAAATTTAATTATTAGTTTAATTCCGTAAGGAACAGTAATAGAGAGATAAGTTAAAGATTAAATAAAAGATAATTATAAAGGAAATCTGTATATATTTAATATAAGATTTATAAAAAGTAGTTATTAAAAGTAGTTTTTAAAAGAAGTTATTAAAAAAAGTTTTTAAAAAGTGGTTTTTAAAAAAAATATAAATTATAAAAAGATTAATATTGCAAAAGAAAACGTCCTTTAAAACGTCCTTTAAAACGTTCTTTCTTTAAAATTAATCTTAAATTAATTGCTGAATCATAAATTGTTGTTAATATTATAAAAAATTAATAAATATTTAAAAAAAAAAATTAAATAAAATACAACTTAATACAAGTCTAACACTTTAATTGAGCTTTCAACATAATTTTTTTTATAGTTTGTAATGATAATTGAATATTTAGTATACCAATATGTGTTTCAAGTTCAGATGTCCATCCTTGTTGAGATATACCTAATCTTTTATAAAATTGTTGTTCATGTTGAGCATGAAATAAAAAATCTTTAAGTTTAGTTAAACGATCTTGAAGATTTTGAAAAGTACGAATACGTTTAGTCAAGATCATACAAAGTCTAGAATAGTTTTTATTTTTTGATCTAATAAAGTTAAATATTAAAAAAAAGGTTAAAAAATAAAAAAAAAATACAGTTTTATCAAGAATAATTTTTTTTTATCTTGTTTAGATTTATATTTAGATAAATAGATTTGTAATCTTTCTAATAATTCTGAATTCTTTAAAATCACTGCTTCTTTAAGAATTCGTTCTGCCTAAATATTATATTAAAAAAAAATTATATCATATTATATACTTAATATTCACTTGATATCCATATTTCAATCCATCAATATTTTTTTTTATATTCTTACTAGTTTTCATACTTGAAAAATTATCCTTAATAAGATTAATACATATTTCTTGAGAATTAATAGGAAGACGTTTTGCATAGAATAAAAGTCGTTTGAATAAAGATAAAACCAAATGCTTATGTTTTGATAAATCAGAATATGTTGTTAACATTGTGTAGAAAAAATTTTGTTTAATATAATCTTAATAATCAATCAATCAATCTTTCTTCTTTCAAAGAAAAATATATCCAATTTTATTGAAATTATTCCCTTTAAAAAATACTTCCTTCCGGAGGTTGAGGTAACTTCTTGTTACTTGGTAACCCCATTTCACTAATATATAAAAATTACCCTTCATTAACCCTCATTATCTCTTTTTTACCGTCGAAGCGCAATTAATATGGTTTCTAATGTATGGTCTCGTTTCCAATTTGAAAGACATGATAATTGCTCCGGTTCTACCTTATAATTCATTTTTTCAAAAATAATCCCCATTTAACCCATTAAACACTTACTCGTCCCGTTTCTGGGTTCACACATGGAAGATTAATCTTAGATAAAAAATAAATAACCGGTGGCATATCCGGATACATTTCATCACAAAATATCTTTAAACTATATATCCGGTTCTCATAAACACTCTTAAATAATAAGTTTAAATATTTTTCCCCCCCGATTCCTTACATGTGCCGGCCCTAATATCGTCCCAATCCAATTCGATAAACTCATATCATCAATATCAACCAGTCCATAAGAAAACGTGCCATCCCCAAATCCTTTTTCACCTTTTTCTAACTCTTCCAATAAACGAAAATTTCTTGGTCTAAATATTAATAAGTTAAAAATATATAACCCTTTGATAAATTTCAAGAGAAAAAAACAAAGTAAGACCTACATTTGCATTTTTTATAGGAGATTCTGGAGCGGTGAAAAAAATAGGAGAAAAGAACGATGCGATGGATAGCATCTTTAACGAGTGAACTGACACAACTTATAACAGAAAGTAAACGTAAGCATCCGGAACTTAAGGCGGTAAGTGTGTTTTTTTTTTAAAACAAGAAAAGTGTTATTTTTTGTTAAAAGAGTAAAACTAATTAATAAGGCGGCAGAACAAGCATTAAATGAGGTGAAAAGTTTTGTGGAGGAGGGGGTGGCTATTAGTAAAATACGACAAAGTCCGATGTTTTTAATACCCTTTTTACTTGGATGTAATATACAAAGTGCAAAATGTTGTGCTATTGCAATAGGGTCATTACAAAAATTGATTGGAGTGAGTGCAATACCGAGTGTAAGGAGGGGTTAAAAATGAGAGGAAAAGAGGGTTAATGAAGGGAATATAGTTATCTATACCGTCAGTGTTAGAAGCGTTTCGTGAGGCGATATTATTAGGGGTGGAGATTCAATTGAAGATTCTTCAAGTATTACCAATGTTTTTGACGAATTATACAGTGGATTTATCAGGAAATTTATTAGCAGAAACATTTAATATATGTTTTGTACTTCAAAATAACAAATCTACGGTAGTTCAAAATACGGCATCAGCGACGTTAAGACAGCTTGTAATCCTTGTTTTTGATAGAACTATTAATGAAGGTATGAATAGAATAATAAATTTGTGTATTTTTTTTTAAATTGAAAAGTTGAAGAGAAACATGAAAAAAAAGAGTTAGAAAATAGTCAAGCGTTGATTGATGCACATAATTTAATGGAGGATTTATGTCTTCTTATCAATGATGACAAATCTAGGATGCTTCATATTCAAAATTTATCAAAAACCTTTGGATTAGAATTGATAGAAAGTATTTTAACAAATCATCCAAAAGTATTTCAAAAAGTAAAAAAAAAATTAATAATATTTTTTACATGATAGATAATCTGAATTTTAGCATGATAAACAAATTAAATTACTTCGTAATCTGATGTTTTTAGTCCTTCGACCATTTTCGAATAAAGGTGGGTTTCCTGTAACAGTAAGAAGTGCAAGAATTATATATCTTCTTCTTCGTCAACATCTTAAAAATCTTATTGTAGAAAGCGAAATTGCATTTAATTTATTTTGCCGTATTCTTATAGATAAAGATGATAATAATTGGCGCCGTGTTTTAGTTATGGAAATATTTAGAGGTATATGTACAGATAATGCACTTATTTGTACGATCTATGAATATTATGATGCAGATGCTTCTCGCAAAAATATTTTATATGAAATTATTTTTTCATTTAACAAATTAGCAGGAGAACAGCCTGGATTAATTGGTTTAGGAACAAATATTCTCTTTAACAATCAATTATCTAATGATGATTCTTATGATAGCATGTATGAAATCTTAGAAAATGCGATTGATATATTTGGTACTATAACAGGTGAAATTATAGAACAATGTCCTCCAGGTCTTGATTCAAAAACATCTTCTGTCCGTGTTTCTTGTATCGATCAACTTGATAAATTAGAAGGACCTATACTTCCACCTACTTATATATATTACTTAGTATTTACATGCTTAAATTTAGTGGTAGATGGTATTGCAAAAATAATTATACCTTTTTTTAAACGAGGTTTACCACGAAAATTAGGAAATCTCAAAGGTAAAGATAAATGAATGATATTCTAGAGAAAATAATCATAATAATTAGAAAAATCTGAACCTGTTTCTAATAATTTGCCTGAATCTTTTCTAGGGAACCAAGAAGTATTTACTTGTTCAAAAATAATTGAAAATATGTGGCCTGCATTTTTAGCAGTAAGTAATTTCCTGAGAAAAAAAAAAGGTTTACAATTTAAGGCATTTTCTACATTTTTATCTGCATCTATGTCAATTGATTTATTTCATAATCTTATTCGATCTTACAGACATTTTACCCAAGTTTCTGGATATATGGGTTATAATATTTCTAGAAATTCATTTCTAACTACTATTTCTAAATTTTCACTTCCACCTGTTTTCATGATACCATTCAATGCTTTACATTCAAATGTAACAAATGATGTTCAAAATACTCATCAATTGAATACAAATAATTCTGCAAGTGATATAACAAGTGTTACTAATCTTCCTTTGCATGATTCTGATAATGTTATGATACTTACTCAGAAAAATTTGATTTGTCTTCAAGCAATGCTTTTGTTATCAATTCATTTAGGCAATAATCTTGGTAATTCATGGGCAATTATTCTTGAAACATTACGAAAAGTGGAGTTAATTATATATGAGATGGCAAAAAAAAATCATGTAAAATTTCCTCATAGTATTTTAGGCATTGATATTATTTATAATACTATTCAAAAAGAAGTTCTCACATTACCGAAGAAGAATAATCTTATTGTTGATATTTCTTCAATAGTTCTTTTTGCAAATACAGTTTTTGAAAATACTAAAACATTTTCAGATAGTAGTTTATTGGAAATATTAAAAACTATTTGCGAACTTAATAGGTTTTCAGAAATTTTTGAAAATAAAGTATCATCTGAAATGAAAGGCATTGATATCAAAAAGAACGTATCTACGACTGCTTTTTATAATTACCAAGGTGCTGCCATTTTTCACAAGTCTAATGATCTAGCATTTACTTTTCATAAAATTAATTTAATATGTAAAATTAATATAGAACGATTATTTTTTGGAGCATCAGAAGAAAATGGTTGGGATATAGTTATGTCATACTTATATTCTTTTATTCATTCACGAAAAGTGGATAGTTTGATTAGAAAACAGGCTACTAAAGTATTTCTCAATATTACTGAAGCAGTAATTATATCTCAATCTTGGAAAAATCTTGAGAATAGTGATAAAGCTTTAAGAAAAATATTGTCTATCATAAATTTTCTTTCTATGAAAAATATCATGGGAGATATCAATGTTCAATTATATCCTAATGATCGTGCTGTTGAATTGGAAATAATAAGTATGGCTCTTAATGTTTTAAATTTACTTTTAAATTCATTGGGTCATTTAATTTCTGAAAGTTGGGACATTGTTTTTGAAATAATTAATTCAATATTTGAAAATGAATTATCATCTTTTGCTTCTTTTAAACAAGATCATTCAGATATCTTACATTACAGAAAAAAGGAGCTTAGAAGTTCACTGAAAATACCGAAAATTGTTAAAGATGCATTTTTTTCTTTACAATTAATATGTACAGATTTCTTATTAGAACTTTCTTCAAAACATTTTCTAACTTTAATAAATATTCTTACGAAATTTTGTCTTCAAAAAGACGATTTAAATATTTCTTTAACAGCTATTGGATTATTTTGGAATATATCTGATAATCTTAGATTAAAAAAATCGTTTCAAGAATCAATTAAAACATTCGATAGTGATAATGAACTAAATCTTTTATGTTCACTAGAAGACGATATTTCTGTTCAAGATTTATTATGGATAATTTTATTATTTCGTTTAATAGAAGTAATATTGGATGACAGATCCGAAGTGCGAAATGGCGCAATACAAACAATATTTAGGAACTTTGAAATTCATGGGGAAAATATAAAAAGTAATCTATGGAAATGTTGTTTTCGGATAATTATATATCGTATTTTTTTCCTGTTCAACAAAGACATTTTAAAGAATATTAACGATAATAAATGTCATGAATTTTTAAATAATACAGACAATTCGTCTTTTGAAGATTCATTAGTTTTGATAATATCGGGTTTAGTGGCACTTTTTTCTCGTAATTTGGATTCTTTATTTTCTCTTGAAATATTTCATGAGATTTGGGATAAATTATTGGATTTCTTTACACATTCTATTGAACTGAATTCTAACGATGTTTTTATGAACTGTTGTAAAGCAATTGATAATATTTTGTATAAAATGGAATACGATAAATTAGGTTCAAATTATGATGATCTATATAAAAAAATATGGTCTGTTTGGGAAATATTTTCTAATACAGTTTCGACAACGTCTGATAACTTATTTAAAAATCAAGAATTATCTCAAGAAGCACTTGATACATTCGTCAAATTTTCACGTTCTTTATATAAATTTATAGTTTCTAAAGGCGACATATCTTTAATCAATAAATTAATCACATCTATATTTGATGCTTTGATATATACACGGAGTCCAGTTTATTATCTTGATGTTGACTATATGACTCCTCTTCAATCTAGTATATTGGAAGTAATTGATCTTTTGAAAGATCATAATGAACAAACATGTGTTTTATCCTTAAAATTTCTTGCAAAAATTAGTACTCTTGCATTTAAGGATTTACCTGAAAGTATAACGACTAATCAGAATTCATCAAAAACAAATAAAATATTTTCTACATATATTGCTATTTCTAAAATATCTTTTGAAAGAATGGAGCAATATTTTTCTAAATATTCTGAAAATACACTAATATATGAAGAAAATGCATTCTTTGAGATGATTAAGGTAATTTCTTTTAAGAAAAAAAGTAATATTAAGATATATAGGCATTATCTATCCCTATAAAACTTAAACATAAATGCCCTTTAACATCTCGTATTGGTAATGGAGAACTTTTTTGGAAATTTGCTACGTCAAAAATGCTTTCTATTTTGGAAAAATGTGATTCACAAAAGATTATTCCAGATTCTAATATGGAGTTATGGGAAGCAATTACCGATTGCTTACATGGAACACTTTTGTTTGATTAGTAAGCTTAATTTTCATTATAAATAATATTGAATTTTCTTAGTAGCAGCAATAATTCAATATTTTTCAAAGAATCAGATGAAGATTTTGACATTTCAACATATACAAAATTAAAGAGTATAATATTTCCTTTAATAACAGACAGCATAGAAATATCACAAAATATAGCAGAAATTATTGTCAAGTCATCCTTTGTCTATAATTGTCCTGAGCAGAGTTTAATATTTGATCGTTTATCATCTATTACAAAAATTCCAAACCTAGAAATAAAAAACTATAAATTTCAAAAAATTGTGCCTTATAGAGAAAGATTGGGTTTTATATGTTTAAATGATTTATTTGAACTATGCTCTTTAAAATCAAAAAGTAATATTTTTTGATTTTATATTTTTATTAAATAATTTTAGATGAATTTTCAAATAAAAAAAGTTTAGCAATGATAATAGGGACATATCTTTTAAAACGTTGTGCAATGGTTCTTCAGCAATTTATATTAAACCAGTCAATGAGAGGATGTATGCCAATATCTAGGTAAATGAATCATTTAATTTCATAATATATTAACAAATAAAAAGGATTGAGCATACTGAAATTATTTTTATACTCGATAATCTCATAAATAGAGAATTTTATTCAGATATGTTTGATTTTCCAGATATTTCGTGTAGTTTTTATGTTATCTTTTCTTTTAGACTCACTTATTTTTAGATGATAATATAGACAAATTTTATTGTTCAGATAGTTTAGTAGTGCAGCTATTCCCTCTTTTCTGTGCAGTATTACCTCATTGTCATCAGGATGTAGAATTATTGAAATTAATTTCTCTTTATTTTCAAAAAGTAGGAAATTTTATTCATATCTATGAAGCATCTGTAAAATACTAAATTTAACCTTGTTTTTCAAGACAAGATGATGCAGATTTATTTGTTTTGGATGCAAAATACTATAAATAATAAATACAAAAACAATTAAATAGGAATGTAAAACTTTCTCACGAAACTGATTTCCAATTATTTCTGGACTAACATTTTGGTTAAAAATTGTTCTGTCTTTTCGCTCATATGTTAAAAGTTTTCTGGACCCTGTTAAGGATATTAATATATTATTTAATAGCAAATGATAAATAACATTTTCCAAAACACTGTTTACTATTTGCAATCAATAAAAGGTTAGGATGTTGTGGAACACTGGTTTCTAGTTTTTCTTCCATACTAGGCATCCAAAAAACAAGTCTTCCTTCTGTTAAAAGATGATCTGATGCGAATATCATAAGTTTTGCAATCAATTGATCAAATGAATAAGGTTCTGTCGGTGGAATATAATCTTTTTTTCTATAATATTCAATATAAAATAATACTAAAGCTTATTAATACAGATGAAAATAACAACCTGATTCATCTTTTGGAGGAGAGATATTTTTAACATTCTTTCTTAAAGTTTTTGGACTTGCACGTAGACCATATCTTTATCCATAAGTAAATGTTTCAATCTTCTTTTACTACATACGGAGCTATTTAAGATTCATCAGAACTAATATAATCCAATTAAAAAGATAAAATCCTACGGTCACAAATAATAATATCTAATAGAAGGCTATTATGTATAGCAGAATGAAGAAAATCCATTATAAAAACATCAAGGAATTTTGAAGTTAAACCATATTGCTCAAGATTACTATGAATTGATCGGTCATTTTTACCTCGTAAAAGTCGTCCATCAATATCAGTACCTAAATAGTATCAGATATATAGAAAGAAAGAATGCAATCATGGAATAATATAAATAATATACCCATTATCATTGCTTCATAATATGCACATGCAAGAAGAATACTACCAGTTCCAACGAATGGATCATAAACAAGCTTTCCTTTTCCTGCCTTTAGAACCTTTTAATAAATATATAATAAAAATATAAATAAAGTTACAAGTGCTTGATTTGCAATAATTAAGGAAAGCTCTGCATCCATAGATGTGTTTCCAATATATCGTCTTTTCTTCAGATTAAACCAATTAACTGCATGTCGACTACTTTTGGCTATCTTGAATCAATTAGTTTAGATTCAAGATATATTTGATAATATTATATATTCATCATCTTTTTAACATACTTGTCGACCCATAAAGACATATTTTAATGAACCTGCTACCCATTCTTCTAATATTGCATAAATTTCCTGTGGGTTTTTCATAAAAACTGGCCCCTCTAAAGCTAAATAAGAAAAACTATTAATAAGTTCAATCTGATGCTCAATTGAATGAGATTTATTAAAGCTTTCTACAACAAATTTAAATGATGCATAACGAAATGGTTCCTTTTAATGTCAGTTAGGCCTTAAAAGACGATCTGTCAAACTGTTAAGGCTGGACCAGATTTTCTAAGTATATGATGAAGATCATTATATGATTCAGCAGATGCCCAAAGTGAATAAATAGCTCTTATATAAATTAAAAAAATAACACTTATTTCTAAAAAAACAGACCTACAACATATAGATCTGCGAATTAGCTTTTGGGCTTGTGTATCATTTTCCAACTGGACAATAAGATATGGAGTCTGTAATAATAAGTAAGATTCCTAATAAATTTGATCAAAAGATATATATATCTATCTATTTTTCATATTTTATTTTTATTTAAGACAAAATAAGATATTTTTCTTATATATATCTATCTATATATATATCAACTTGCCTGTTTATGATGATTAGAGAAATCTGCCTTGATTCCTTCAATAATAGCAAGAGATTCTAGTTCTTGACGACGAAAATCTTGAAATGATTGTGCAAATAAAATTACATAATCTTTTAGACTCATATGTAGTAGATTTACTAACTATAAATAAGAAATCTCTTTAATTTAGAAAAAATATAGATAAACTCTTTAAAAACAAGACTAAAATGAAACTAAAATACACTAATATAACCTAACCCTGTATCTACCCTACAATCTCACTACATCTAGAGAATTAGGATTAAACTTGTTTTTTAAAAATCATCTTATCTTAGATAAAAGATAATCTTAGATTTAAGCTCTGCAAATTGATTAAAGATTATTTTTTAATATACAGAAAATTGGGTTTAAATAGAAGAAATAAGTTAATATTATGTAAAATAGGTAGAAAAGTGGTTGGAAGAAGAGTTTTATATATTATTAGTTTTTTTAGTGAACAAAAGGCTATTTTTCTTAAATAGAAGTTGAAATAAATAATATATTTAAAAGAAATAGAAGTTATATTTATTAAACTAAAGAAAAGGTTTTTTTTATAATTTTTTAATATAAATATGATGATTAATTAAGATGTATAAAGTGGAGATTCAATAATCAATTAATTTTATGTCGTCTATTAATTCTAGGGAGAAATTGGGAGAAGATAGAAGAAGATATTAGTAGATATGATGGAAATCGTTGTAAAAATGAGTAGAAAAGAATTAATAAGAAAAAAGTTTTGGACGTCACTTAAAGTATGGAAATTATAGGATTCTTTAGAAATATATAGTTTTAATAAGAAATTGAGTGGTTTACTATTAAGAAAATATTCTATTTTAAATGAAATATTCTATTTGGAATAAAATATCGTCTAATATTTATAAAATAACGTAATAATGTTATATAAAATGAAAACCTTTATTAAATCAAAAGATTGAAGGTTGACGAACTTTATCAGAAAAAGAAATGATTAAAAAGAAGTATATAAACAAACAATATAAAAGTCATTAAAAGAAAATATTAATGTTACTTTTAATCAGAAGATTTGAGAATATTTAAATTTCTCTTTAGGAAAATAAAAGAAGTCATTTGAAAACTAATCTTTGATATTCTTTTTATCTTCTTCTTATCTCCTTCTTATATTCTTAACAATATAGATAATTCATCTTCTATAGATCTATATCATATGAAAAATATCATGAATAAAACTTTCAAAAAATCATTTTCTTAATATTAAACTTATACAATTGGTTTAAAAAAAAATTATAGAAATAAAATCATATTAAATATTTTTAAAAACATTAAAATTCATCTTTTCATCCAATCATTCCTATCAAACTTTGTAACCACTAGTTAAATTCATTCTTCAACGTACTCCAACTTGTAAAACTAAATATCATTATCTAAAACTTTAAAAAAATTCATCAATTAACTCTAATTAATAAATAATTATTCAATATTTAAAATTTATTAACATTTTAATTATATTACAATTTTAATCATTATAAAACATTACAATTTTAATCAATTGATCTAATAATAAACATATTCTAATCTGAAACATTCTAAGATATCAAAAAGCACATATAATAAATCACATAACATATAATTACACAAGTACAAATAAACATAAAAGCACATATAATCATATGTAAACCTAGATAGACAGACATACACATACATAGACACAATTAATCACATACTAACTACCATATACTACCATATACTACCATACGTTTTAAATTATTTATCACCACTCCTTCGATATCTATATTCAACATCATTTCATAAAATAATTCAAATAACCCATTCATTAAACTCATACAACTCATAAAACTCTTCTTCCATTCATTCCTCTCATATCTAACCTCTTTACACTCTCCAATTCATCTTCTATTCATCTTCTTCTTATCTCTCTCTCTCTTCTCATACCCTACTTATAGGTCATAACCCTACGTTACCATGGAAACCACATGTTTATTTTTCCCTCTCAAGGCTCTCCTGCAACTTCCATCGTCAACCTTACCGAATCAAACATAATAATTTGGGGATTTTAGAGCCATAAAAAGGGCATTAGAAGAGGATTTTAAGCATTTATAGACGTAATAAACGGGAGGAATCTAAATATATACATATAGGCACGTTTTTGAGCGAAATTAAACGGATTGTATTGAGTATTATAAGGAGCCATAAGGTCTCCGTTTGCGCATTTAAGGGGAATTAAGAGGGAAAACGAGTATTTTAAGGGTCTATAAGGAGGAATATTGATGGATAAGATAGAAAATTGCAGTGAAAAGGAGTTTTTTTTGAGGAATACACGAACAATCGCGAAAAAAGGATGAACGCAGCGGTAGAAGGGATAAAAAGTAGGGGAAGAGGGTTAATGAATGGTAGAGGCGTGTAACACGTCAGACGGCAACGTTTAATCTTAATGATGAGAACAAATTGCATGGACAAATATCTCGGGTGAAGCAAGTATCTACACAAGGATTAGAAGGGGTAAATAAGCCATGGACGGCGGCGACGCGAAAGAGAGCAGCATTAGGAGATGTAAGCAATGTGCATAATAAGGAGAATCAGACGGCGAAAACGAAAACGCAGCCGTTATCAACCAAAGCACGCGTGGTGACGAAAACCGGAGTTCAAAGTCATCAAAGCAAAGAATCCGTTCATACGGTACCAACGGGAGAATTGCGTGGTGAAGAAACAACACGAAAAAGACGGACATCAAAGGTTTTAACGGAGCAAAAAGTGATCATTGAGGTGGAACAAACACAAGCAAGTAAAAAAGTGAGAACCGATGGCCTTTTAAACGGATCGGTACAAGAGCATCCAGCATCACAAGATTGGGATGATTTAGATGCGGATGATGCTCATGATCCATTGATGGTATCGGAATACGTTGAAGAAATCATGGGTTACATGAGGGAATTAGAGGTGAAAGCGAAACAAGCTTTTTTTTTTTTTTCTTTCCATGAATAAAACAATTGACCCATGGAATTAGGTATTAACACTTCCTTTACCAGATTATATGGATCGACAGAAAGAACTTCAATGGAAAATGCGAGGAATCTTGGTAGATTGGTTAATTGAGGTTCATGCGAAATTTCGTCTTCTTCCAGAAACGTTATTTCTTTCTGTCAATATTATTGATCGATTTTTATCCCTACGAGTATGTTCGCTTCCTAAGCTTCAATTAGTAGGGATTACAGCACTTTTTATCGCAGCAAAATATGAAGAAGTGATGTGTCCATCGATACAAAATTTTATGTACATGGCAGATGGTGGATATACGAATGAAGAAATTCTAAAAGCAGAACAATACGTTTTACAAGTTCTTGGATATGATATGTCATATCCAAATCCCATTAATTTTCTAAGAAGAGTATCAAAGGCAGATAATTATGATATTCAGACACGTACAGTGGCAAAATATCTTATGGAAATTAGTCTTCTTGATCATCGATTTTTGCCTTTTGTGCCATCTAATATTGCAGCTTCGGGCATTTATTTGGCTAGAATTATGGTTACTGGTGGCAATTGGGTAATGATTCATTTTCCCTTTTTTTTTCTTCTTCTTCTTCTTCTTCTTCAAATTAACATTTTATAATTAGAATGCTAATTTAATACATTATTCGGGATATAAAGAATCAGATCTTGTTCCATGTTCTAAAATGATGCTGGATTATCTTTCACGATCAGTTATAAAACATGAAGCATTTTTTAAAAAATATGCCAGCAAAAAATTCATGAAAGCTAGTTTATTTGTTCGCGATTGGGTTAAAAAACATTACGATCTTGAGGCAAACGTGCGATTAAACACTATCTCTTTCGATTACGATAACCATGAATCAAATGAAATACATCAGGACTTAGAAGAGGAAGAAGGATCCCTATAGTTAAATGTTTTACAAACAGACATATCTATTTTTTTATACTAGTATATTCTTATAATGATTTGGATAAACAAAATATTTCTTGACTTTCTGAAGGTGCGTGCAATTATTTACAATTTAGAGGGCTTAAAAAGGATGTACTCCCTAAGAATAAAAAACGATTAAACATTAGATGATTTATCGTATCTTTCTTGAGATCTTTTCCCTGTAGATCAGGTACATTCTATAATCACTAATTCAATTAATAGATATTTTTAATATTAAAATTATATTTTTACATACATTTCTTTCTATACTCTCTCTTTCTTCTATCATTTCTTCTATTTCTTGTATATCTTTATTTCCTTATCATTTTACCCTTTTATATTTAAATCCTTATATTTCTTGACCTCTTCTTCTATGGCAAGCTATTCAAGACATCTGATTCTAAGAGATGTCATGGCAAAAGGGTCTTGAAGAGCTCAAGACTGCCAAGGATGAAATTATACTGGCTGATAAACAAGCAGGTAAAGACGAGGGGAAAACTGAGGAGGAATTAAGAGGAATTGGAGAGGAATTGAAGGGAAATTTAAAGAGATCACAAGGGATTTTAACTCCTGAACAGAAGGTATTATGGAAAATGAGCCCAATAAGAGAATCCCAGGGTGAAACAAGTAAATAAAGTTTTTTTCATAAAAAAAGGGAAAAAATGACATAAAAAGGGCAATTTGAGACGGTTTTATCACTGTTTAAGACGGAGAATGACGAGGAGAAGGTATAGTGAGCGTTTTTCTGCTTTTAAACGGCTTTTTTATGGCTGAGATTGACCGAATAATGGGTTTAGTACAATGAAGGATTAGATCCGGCTATTAATCTTTGGAAACGGTATGAAACATCACCAACAGATACTATAGATGCAGGAGTAATAGATAAACCTTTAAATCTGTATGAAGAAAAGGGTTTTTCACTTTTTGAGACACAAAAAGTACCAGCAACTCGAAAAAAAAGAACAATAAGAAATATAGAGGGATCAGATGAGTTATTTATGCAAAAAACAAGGAATTCTATGGAGTACTTGGTTAATAAATTAAAAGCTTTTCTTCCAGAGCCGTGGAAAAGGCAATATACACAAGAATCAGATGTATATGTATCTTCAGAAGAAATTCAGCAGTCTGAAGAGACAATAGAACAGGAAATGTATAGTAAAATTGAAAAAGACGATGAAGAATCTTTTAAAAAGGAAGAGATGTTATTTCAGAAGGAAGAAATTTTATTTGATGAAATAGAAGAAATTTCCAAATGTTTTGATGAAGATATAAAAGAAAATGAAGAAGAAATAGAAGGAATTGTTGCAATTGATAGTATTTTAATTGAAAATCAGGAAGAAATGGACAAAAAACAAGAAGAATTGAGTTTAGACGCAGATCAAGTAAATATTGAATTTTTAAAGAATTATACAGAAAAAAAGAATGTAGAATCATCAGTGAAAGATGAGGTGAACGAATTATGTGAAAATTTTTCTTTGGAAGCAGATCTTGAACAAATATCTTTCTCAGACGATATATTGGAGGATTCTTTTACAGATGATATGTTAGATGAAGACATAGAGGCTGTTTTTTCAGCATTAGATACATGCGAGGGAGTTGATATAGACAAATTTAAGGCAGAAAATGTTGAATTGGATGTTGCAGAAGAACAATGTATCTTTGAAAAGAGTAAAAATGAAATTTCTACTTTATATGTTGAGAATGAAATCTCATCTGATGATTATTCTGAAGATATATCTTTAGAATTAAATGATCTATGTAATGATGAGAAGGTAAAGTAACATTTGTTTAAGATAATGATATTTTTTCTAATAATTTTTGTAGAATCATTCATTTTTAAATTATAAGGTTTGTAATATAAAAGAAGAACCATGGATTGATTCCAATGGATATAAATGGTTACAAAAGGTTATATATTTTTTATTCTTTTTTCTTATTTTAATAAACTAGGTTGTTTTAAATGAAGAAAATCAAATAATTCTATTAAGACAAGATTGGTTTTTTACACCAATTGAAATAGGCGATTATTTATATCTTCATGGAGAATATGACGAGAATGGCATTTGTATTGTAGACAATTCTCATTCTCTTGTGATTTTAAATCCAGACTTTTTAGTATCATGTACATCTGTTGCAACTTCATATTCATGCACCAGAAGAATAATCCTTCAGGAAAAGGTAAAATTAACAGATGATATATCGAAAAGTCAAATTTATGGAAAGATATTGCATTGTCTTTTTCAATTGTGTCTTGAAAATGATAATTTTAGTTTATCTTTTTTAAAAGAAAAAACAAAGCAATTAGTATTAGATAATATAGAACATTTGGATATTTCAGGAGAAAGTATAGAAAGCGCAATGAAACATATTTCTGGGAAATTTTTTAATTTACAAAAATGGGCATCTAAATATTTTTTAAATACTCAAGATGTATGTTTTCTTTTATTATTATTATTATTTTAACAAGAATTTAGGATAATTCATATATAAAGGCTTTTAGGAGTAGGACATCTAATCCTTGTCATATATCTGTTAACAAATTACTAAGAACTGAAGAACATATTTTATCTCCAAAATATGGATTAAAAGGGTATATTGATGTTTCAGTTCAATTGGCAATTAAATCAGACATTGATTTACAATACTCAATAGCACCTCTTGAATTAAAAACAGGAAATAATATATATGTAATGCAACATCGAGCTCAAACAATTCTTTATACACTCTTATTATCTGAACATTATGGTAAATTAAATAGTATATATTTTATATTATTAATATTCAGGCGAAAATGTTGATTTTGGATTACTTTTTTATTTGGAAAAGGGAGAAGTTATTCAAGTCTTTCCTGTTCATGATGAAATTCGTGGACTTATTATTGCCAGAAATAACATTGCAAGATATCTTAAGAATAATCAAGAATTGCCTCCTATGCTTAAAAACATGTTTGTTTGCAAGAAATGTCCTATGCGTAATCCTTGTTTTGTCTTTCATAAGGTAGATCAAATATTATATATATATATATTAATTTATATTAGGCCATTGAATCAGGAACAGCTGAAACAAGTGGCTTAGGAGAATACTTTAATGATGAGACGAGTGATATAACATCAAAAAATAGCAATTTTTTTAGGAATTGGGATTTTATCTTATCAAAAGAAGAAAATGAAATATTTCGTTTAAAAAAAGAATTGTGGACTATGACTAGTAAAGAAAGAGAGAAGCATGGGAGGTGCATAAAAATATCAATTTTTCTACAAAGTAACTTTTGAAGGTGTTTAAGTAATCTTAAAATTAAAAAAATTCATTCTATTTCTGAAGAAGATATTTTAAAACATATTAATCATTATATATATACTTTGGAAAAATGTTCTTCATCTAACAATGATTATTCGTTGCTTGATTCAGAAATAGGTTATAATGATTTTATTACTGTTTCAGATGAAAATGGTCATTATGCTCTTGCATATGGAACTGTTATTAATATAGAACCAAAATTTATTACTGTTTTGTTAGATCAACAATTGTATAATCCAACAAGTATTTTAAGGGATCATGATATCCAGTATACTCAAATATCTAAAAGCTCTATGCTCGAAGTTTTTAAAAATGATTTTAATGAACAAGATGATAAAGATATACTATATCGTATTGATAAAGATGAATTTAAAACTGGAATAACATTGGCAAGAGATAACTTAACAAAATTGTTATATTTAAAACAGGAAAAACGTAGAAGAGAATTGATTATAAACTTATATCCTCCTAAATTTAGTTCAATATTAACCGATTTTTTTAAAATACCAGAGTATGAAAAGTTAAATAATGATCAGAAAAAGGCAATTTCAAAAGTGATGACAGGTACAAGGGGTTTAAATTTTTTAATATTATTTTATTTGAAACTTTTTAGCTTTGGATTATACTTTAATTTTGGGTATGCCAGGAACGGGGAAAACCACAACTATAACATATTTAATTCAATTTTTGATTGCAAATAATAACTCTATCTTATTGGCATCATATACGCATAGTGCAATTGATAATATTTTATTAAAATTAAATGTTGAAAAAGAAAATGTTTTGAGATTAGGTTCAATTGAACGAGTATTAAGTTTTATATATTATAATGATCTTTCTAATATGAAAAGATACATCCAGATCTCCGAAAAAAGATTATTACTGAAGAATATGTTGTTAATGATTTTGAATCATTTCAATTAAAATATATTAAACCATCTATTGTTGCTACTACATGTCTTGGTATTACACAGTAAGTTATAGCATGATTTTTTTCAAATATAATATTAATTATTAGTTCAATTTTTTCTAAAAGAACTTTTGATTATTGTATTATTGATGAAGCATCTCAGATAATCCTGCCTATATGTATTGGCCCTTTACGTTTTTCAAAAAAATTTGTTCTTGTTGGCGACCATTATCAATTGCCTCCTTTGGTGATTATATTATAACTGATTCTCTTTTTTATTAAATTTAATTAAGGTACGAAGTATTGATATAGCAAATCAAGACATAGAAATGAGTCTTTTCAAACATCTTTTGGATGCAAACCCATCTGCTACCGTAAATCTTGAATATCAATATAGAATGAATAAAGATATTATGCTTCTTTCTAACACATTAATATATAATGGAAAATTAAAATGTGGAGATGAAAAAATTGCATATAAATTATTTGATTGTGGCGATTTTCAGATGCTAGATGCATTACATTCAAAAGAGGGTCATGAATTCGTTTGTAACATTAATGAATGTTGGATCAAAAAAATATTAGAGCCTAGGTAATATTCTTTATTTTTAAAACAAGATAAAAAGTTAAACATAGTCAAGACTCTCAGTAGTATTTGCAAATACAGATTACGTCCCTGCACCTGAATCTAGAAAAGGTGATAGAATACAAAATGAAATTGAAGTTCAGCTTTTAAAACAAGTATATATAATAAAACGCAAATTAAAATTAATTATATTAAAGGTCATCATTTGCCTTTTAAATCAAGGCATATCTGAATCTGATATAGCCGTATTATCAGTATATAGATCACAAATTAAATTAATTAAACATCATTTTAGGCAATTCCAAAAAATAGAAATTGATACTGCTGATAGATTTCAAGGTCGAGATAAAAATTGTATTATCATTTCATTTGTAAGATCAAATGATAAAAACGAGGTTCCCCTTTTATTCTTCTTTCATATTAATTAATTACTTTAAAAGATAGGTGAACTTTTAAGGGATTGGAGAAGATTAAATGTTGCATTTACAAGAGCAAAACTTAAACTTATTTTTTTCGGTTCAAAATCTACTTTACAAAAAAATGGATTATTCAATCCATTCTTTCATCTTCTAAAACAAAAACAATGGATTTATCATTTACCAAAAAATGCTCATCTTTTACATTTTTTAGACCATCCTACAAATCAAACAATTCTTAACAAATCTTCAAAAAAAAAATCATTTCATATATCAGCTAATAATTCTCTATTAAAAACAATCATAAACGCTTTATAATTCTCTTTATATCTCTTTATCTATCATATCTTATTATATGAGTCACGTGACTATGGACAGGTCTATATATATTAAGCTGACCGGCACTGACGAGACGACAAGGAAGGCGTGTCTTAATACTATAAGAATGGGATTAGATGAGGAACCAGCAGAAGAATCAACACAAGATATGAATGAAGAAGATATAATATGTGGACCTACGCCTTTATCTAAGCTAGAGGTAATAATAAAGAATAAATGAAAGAATATAAGATAATAAGTATATTTAGGGAAATGGGATCTCAGCATCGGATATTAAGAAGATTATTGAAGCGGGATATAATACAGTGGAAGCAATTGCGTATACGTGAGTTTTTTTTTGGGGTAAAAAGAGGGTATTTTGAGAGTAAAAGGCCTAAAAGAGCGATTTTGTTGATAAAGGGTATATCTGAGGCAAAAGCGGATAAATTGATTTCCGAGGGTATTATATATGATTTATAGGAGGATCTGAAATGTATATGATGTTTTTTTTAGCGTCTAAATTGGTTCCTATGGGATTTACTACGGCGACAGAATTTCATCAAAGAAGATGTGAATTAATTTCGATAACGACGGGATCTAAGCAGCTAGATACACTTCTAGCAGGGGGTATTGAGACAGGATCGATTACGGAAATATTTGGGGAGTTTCGGACAGGAAAGAGTCAAATATGTCATACATTAGCAGTAACATGTCAAGTGAGTAAGAGAAATCGAGGGAAAAAAAGGTGTAATTCGTGATTAATAGCTTCCTATTGATATGGGAGGTGGTGAGGGAAAATGTTTATATATAGATACGGAGGGAACATTTAGACCTACGCGACTTTTAGCGGTTGCAGATCGATATGGTCTTAATGGCGAGGAAGTTTTAGATAATGTTGCGTATGCTAGGGCGTATAATGCAGATCATCAATTGCAGCTTCTTGGACAAGCAGCAAACATGATGGCTGAATCCAGGTTATACATGATTTTTTATTTAGGAAAAAGAAAAGTTTAATTTTCCATAGATTTTCACTTCTTATTGTGGATAGTGCTACGTCATTATATCGTACGGATTTTGCTGGTCGAGGAGAATTATCTGCTCGTCAAATGCATCTTGCAAAATTTTTGAGAACACTTCAACGTCTTGCAGATGAGGTAAAAATATTAAATCATTGAATAAAACAACTTGGTTCATTTTTTCTTTCTTTAGTATGGTATTGCTGTCGTTATTACAAATCAAGTAGTTGCTCAGGTGGATGGCAATGCTTCAATGTTTAATCCTGATCCCAAAAAACCAATAGGAGGGGTATGAAAAATGATTTTGATTATTAAATTAGAAACTTATTTTTTTTTTTTATTAGAACATTATTGCACATTCATCAACAACTAGGTGATTAATATTTTAAACCGTAAATCTAATCAATTGATTGACTAATCTTTAAAGATTATCTTTACGAAAAGGAAGAGGAGAACAACGTATTTGTAAGATTTACGATTCTCCTTGTCTAGCCGAAGCAGACGCCGTATTTGCAATTACCAACGGAGGGGTCGATGATCCTGTTGATACTTAAACCTATTAGAGATAATTATTGTTTTCACTTTAAATGTTTTGGCATCTGTACATTTAAAATTCTGATATATGATTTATAGAACAAATATACATAATTTCAAATCAATACTTTAAATCAATATGCAACACTTTTTCACGATTAACAATGCAAACAACAAACATAAATCAACAATAATTTTTATATTTCTAATTTCTTATTCTGACTTGGCGAAACTCTTAAAACTGTTTTATTGGGTTATTTACAAAAATACTTCAAAGAACTTTATTTCTCTCTGTTAAGATCAATATGTCTTTGGAATAAGTCTTTCTTATTTATTTTTCTAACAACTTGATATTTTTAATATTATGGCAACGCAGCTTAGCAACACGTCAGGAACATCAACGTACCATCAAGTATGAAATCAGAGAATTGGCTTAAGGAAACAAGCATATCAGTAGATCAACTAATCCAGCATCAATATGTCTATTTAAAAGTCTTAAGGATTGAAGAGGATGAGGATGAGCAATTAGATATGCCGGTAGATCCAGAAAGTTACTATTCAAAGGCTTTTTTAGCATCACAAAGCTCATTATTTATGAGAAGAAAAGATATATTTGTAAGGAAAATTCTGTGGAGAATTGTATGTGGTAGTATTCTTGAACTTGTACCGGTTGAAATGAGCAATTTGGAGTTTTTTTCGGGAATAAATATATATATATATTTTCCATCAGAAATTAAGCCATATGGTATTTCTTTGATAGATAATGAGGACGAGGATGTATTTACGATTCATGTTTTAACAAAAGTAAATCTTTTTTATACACTTCGTTTTACATCAGAACATTTTTTCCGACAAGAAATGTTTTCACCAAATAATATGATTAATTGGTGTCATGTATATCGATCATGCTATTTTGATATTCGTGTACCTCATTTTTTCATATCTATAACACCTGAAAAGGTTATTTTTTCTCTTAAAGATGGTGGTCTTTTGATGTTTAAAAAAAATGATCAAAGTATATATTATTTATTTATTTATTTCAAAATTGATTGATACATATTTATTTAGATGAATATACAGAGATTCCTTTTAGTGATGGAAGTTATTTTTCATCTTTTAAAGGGATGTTTTTATGGGGAATATCTAAAAATGATCGTTTGTCATCAAATTTAATCATTTCAATGCAAGCATCTATTACTTATTCACTTCTTTTTACAATTAGTTTGGATGGGAAATTAAAAGTATGGTCTATAGATAACGGTATTCTTCTAAAGACATATAATGTTTGTAATGATCAAAAAATATTTGATCCACAGCCAAGATGTTTGATTTCAATTTTAGAAAAACCAGCATTTCCGGGATATAAATTTTACTTATTAACATTTTCATCTATAATAGAAACAGGTTTTGTTTTGTGGGGAGCAGCTCATTATGAAATATCATTTTCTGGTTTAATTAATCTGAATTCATTTGTTCATTTATACATGCGTTTACGTCCACCAACAAATAATTCTGTATGGGTAGTTTTAAAATTTCATCTTTCCAACAATTTCCTTAAAAATGAGAGTGATTCAAAAGATTATAATACGAAATCAGGAATGATTATTTGGGTTTTATGGAAAAGCAATACAAGTTCTATTATTCAATTCATAGAAATTGATCCGTTTAATCCATCTTTCGCAAGTGATAAATGGGATACTTTAATTCCTATGTATAGATTTTTATCAAAAAAAATATCTCCTGCTGTTACGTTTGATTCAAGTCCTTATGATGTATCTGAATATTGGTATCGGCAAATTTCAATTCCAGGACAATTTTCTTCTGTAACTATAAAGACTTCGCTAGAAATATATAAATACAAGAATCATCCATATGATTATGAAAATAATACTGGTATAGATATAACCTTTAATTGTTTACAAGAAATGAAAGAAGCTATCTATAAAGAAATTAATACGATTGTTACTCTTCAACGTGATCCTTATAGTGGATTATTGCTTTTTGATAAGCATAGACAGGAACTTAATGCTGAATGGATTCGATTTCTACGATTATGTACTGAACTTGAAGAATTGGGTTCTGAACCTCTTGATCTTGTTTGCGATTCAGAAACAAATCTTATCTATATTGTAAAAGCAAATGCCATTGGAGTGATAAATAACTGTACATCATCTGAAGTTATTTATTACCATTCTTTAAATAAGAGAAGAGATGATCCTAGGTTTCAAAAGTGGTGCAGTTCAAAAGGTGATCCAATATATTCTCATATTGGAAATGATATAACACGTTTTGATATAGCACAACTTCTTCTTATTAGTAATAAATTTTTAGATGATTTTTCTGATATGCAAACATTGTTTGTTAAACAAGTTTTAGAAGAAGAAATTAGACAGAAACATTCATTTTCCATTGGTGATAGGATTTGGATTCTTTCAGAAAGAATATTTTGCCAACATATAGAGACATCTAAAATAGATGATATTAATTTAATTTTTAATGATATTTCAGATCCTATATTTGCAATGACCATATTACTTCGGTGTTTAATTAATGATAAATGTTTTCAATTGGGTTCTTATATGAAGAATAAATCAGCATTAAGTTTAAATATCACAACTTCGTCAATTTATCAAGTAGTTTTTATATATTATGACATTTTATTAAGGATGCTATTAGTATTGGTTTTTATTGGATGTTATAATGATAATGTACAAAAATTGACAGGCTTTTATCAATTGTTTGATAACTATCTTTCTGAGTTCAGAGAATGTTGTTGTATTAGAGAATGTTGTTCGCATCTTTTAAACAAGGCAGATGAAATACTGGTATTAGGAAGCATAAAAAACAGAAATTATGATACAAAGGTTCTTAATAAAAAAAATATTGAAAGACTTTTTGGATTTGAATCAACACTTCGACTTTTTTTGCGTGAATTTAGTTTATTTAAGGAATTAAAAAACAATGATATAACAGATCCAAGTAATAATTCGTCTTCTCTTATCTTTGGCGTATTTAAGGATGGTTATGAAATGTCTTTTTGTATTTCTGCATTATTATTTCAATTTAAATACCTATTAGAAGCTATGGAAGTAGTCTCTTGGATATCATTTATACCTCTTGGTATTTATTTAAAAGCAAGAATATTCTTAAGTTGTGGAAAATTAGAAAAATCTTCTGTACTTTTTAAAAGAGCTTCTGTTGGTATATGTATGGTTATCAATTTGATAAATATATTATATTTATTTATTTTTAGGTTCATCAATGACTCAAATAAGTGATGTTGTGTTAAACATTTTAAAAGATCTTGGATTTTCATTTGCTTTTAATGATCTATATCTATATTTCATACATGTAGCTGATACTTATTATCAAGAAGCGCTATTTTCTTATTCAGCTGAATTTTATGAAGAAGCTAGGAAGGTAGGATTAGAAAAGGTTTGTTTTCATATCTTATATTTGTCATTTTATTAAATAAAAAAAGCTAGATTCTACACAAAAAGAAGATCTTTATTGTAAAATGTTTCAGACATATATGGCTGCAAAGATGTATGACAATGCTTATTTAACTCTCTTACAATTTCAATCATATGACAAGTAGAATTTTATAATTCTGAAACAATTCATTAATTATTATAGGAAATGCGATTCATTATACAAATTGGTTGATGCAATGTGTGAAGAGAATCTTTCTAAAAAGCTTTGTGAATATTCTTTCCTTGGATTAAGTGATGAACTTGATTCAATTTTACATTTTAGAGCCCAAAATATGATAGATATCAGAGCAAATCCATGTTATCATAAAATATTATACTCATGGAGAATAAAACAGGGTAATTTTAGAGGAGGTAATATACTTACTTTATGCTTTTCTTGTATAAACTTTTTTAAGCTGCATCTATTATGTATCACCGGTTACAAAAATTAAGATCTAGTTCTTTAGTTAAATCTGCTGGAAATCAAGAACAATTAGACATTATTGAAGGATATCTTGCACTCCTTTCTGCACTTTCTTGTGTTGATATAAGCAATTCATGGATTCTTTATCCTGATCTTGACTCAATATATCATACTAATATGAAAATAAAACAATCCTCTTCAAGTATGTATATCTTTCTATATTTTACTCAATTCTTTCTAATTTTAAAGAAAATAATTCAGAAAAACAACGGAAAGTCTTAGATATTGTTGCAATTAGAAAAGAATATATTCATGAATTAAAACGTATGCAAAATATGCTTGATAATGTCTAAAAACCAAAACAAAAAAATAACACTAGCAATTCTATCTCTCTAATACATACAAAAACATGCTATACAAAATAATTTCGGTTTTATTAAATCTCAAATTTATTTTTCTAAGAATATAAAAATATTACAATACAAAAAAATAAACTAACATCTTATATGGATTTAATTGATGACAATATCTTTCTAGCATGGTTTATGACGTTAAAAAGATTCATCTTAAGTTGATCTGGATATATATGATTATTTCGAATCTCGATTATTTGTATATTTTTAAGAGTTGCAGATAAATTCTTATTAAATGACTGATTCATCATCAAAACATCATCAAAATACATTGTTAACGAATAAAAAGACGGGTCCTAGTGTTTTATCTGGAGAGGATTTACCTGCACACCGCCAGGCCAAAGTTCATAAAACTTTTATTGTTCATGGACGTCATCATATAAGAGTACCTTCATATGGCAGAAATTTAAATAAAATATATAAAAACACTGCTTCTACAGTGACGGAGAATACAGAGTTATTGATTGAACCGAAGAGCCCTGTTTCATATGAAGGTTTATCAAAGAAACCAGAGTTATTAGTTAAAAAAGAAGATGTTGAAAAAAATACAGAAAATACAGAGAAAAATCTTAAAGAAGATCAATATGTTGATGATAAGAAGGAGAAAGATGTGGAATCTTTAAAAGAAACAGAAAAAACGGAAAATTTGGAAGAAAACGGTTTTTCATCAGCAAATATAACAATTTATCCACTTGAAGAGAAAAAAGAAGATTATCATGAAGACTATGATGATAGTTCTAAAGCAGAGCATATTACTAAGCGTCTTGTATCAATGACGAATAACCAAGCAGCAGTTCCATATTTAACATGTGAAACAGCAATGGTAAAAAATATAGCAACTACTCAATTAACATCTACGAAAGGTTTTATTTCATTATGTATTTTGTGTGTTGAAAGCTTATTTTTTTTAGAATTTTCATCAAATGTTTTACCATCATCAGATAACCTAGGTAAACCATCTGCTGAGTCATCATCAATGAAACCTCCAACAGCAAGTATGCCAAAATATGTTACTTCGGAACCTTTATCTAGAAATCCTATTAATCGAACACAGCAAAAGCTTTTGTTGCAGAGAGAATTAAGTTTATCATCTGTTAAACCACAATCTAACAAGGATCATGATCACCAGGAATTTATACAAGATCAAATTAATCGTATTAACAAAGAATATTCTAATATTTTACGTTTATCTGATCCTTTAAAACATGTTATTTTAAAGTTATTCCATGATGGCTCTTTGGAAGGAATTAAAAATATACCAAGTTCATTAAATCATAAAACCACAGAAGAGAAATTGCCTAAAAATACATCTAAATTTTTTGATTTGATAGGAAAACGTGAAAACGTTTTTAAGGAATCGAATAAGTCAACAATTGAATATAATGATATATTATCAATTCAAACTATTCTTGAAGAAATGTGGAAAAGCAATGAAAACACTTCATAACATAAAATTAATAGTGTTTTTCTTATTAGGGATGGAATGATTAATTCATGATATATATTTCAAATGGGTATTTGTATTAAATATCATTATAAAACATATAATTTGGCGGCTATTTCTATTAAAGATATTTATTTCAATATATAATATGGTTTTATAAATATATAATCTCCTAAAAAAAGGAATGAAGACTGCACATTATTCAATATTAATATTTATCATTTTAAACTTTTTTTATATATTTCTTGATTGCTGGATTCTAAAATAAATATTTTTGTTTAAAAAAGTTAAAAACAAAAAGCATGTTTTTTAATAATTATTAATAATGTAATCATACAACACTATTTTCATAATAAAAATGCCCTTAAAGTTTAACATAGTATCTCGGTTTATAGAAGCATATTAATTAGTTTCCTTGAAAATATTTAATATAGTTTATCAAAAAATCTGTAATATCATTATATAAACATAGATAGAATATTTATTAATAACACGATAACATGTAAAGATTGTTAAAACGTATATATTTGAAGAGTTATCTTTAATGAACTATTGCCATAGTCACACTGACGCCTTTTTTTCACTTGAAACAGGTGGTTTATAGCCATATTTTTTGCCTAAATCATATATTTCTTTAAGTTTTTCTTCAAAAATTCCTTCTTTTTTAAAAATTTCATATTTTTTATAAAGTAACAAGGCAGTTCTGGCGTCTTCAATTGAATCGTGGCTATCTTGTTGAATATAATCTTGTAATAAATACCATGCTAAAAAACGTAATGAAAGTTTTCTATTTTATATATATTATTTCTTTAATATTAAAGATATTCATACCTTTGACGACTCTCAAGATAAAAAAGATTTACAGTATCTATGATTTGATCCTTAGGTACATGTATATCTGCAAATATTAGAAAAGAATCAAAGAAAAAATATAATACTAATTATTCTAAAATCTTTCTGTAATCCATGTCCTACAAATTTGCAGCCAAGTGTCACAAGTAATCTTAATTTTTTATATGCAATCTATTTATTTTTTATATATTTTTCATAAAAAATAGAAAAAAAAACCTTCAAAGGAACAAGAGTATATGTTGATATCATTGGATCTAAATCTCCATGTTTAATTCCTGAAAATTCCGTAAGATAATCCACAATTGGCTCATTTACAGCAATGTAATCATCAATAAATGGCACATTTTCTAACTTTCCATTCCCTCGTACAGCAGATACTCTTGCTAAAGAAAGCTTAGAGGGTCTAACGATGAATCTAGTCCCATCACTGCGAACATCTATTTCTTCTTTTTGCATAGATACAAATTCTGCATCCAGTCCAATCACTGTATTATGATCTATTTTCTCTGTTCCTTCAAGAATCTGATGACGAATTGCTTGTATATTTCGATTTCTATAACTATCAATATCTTTAAGTATAATTAATACAACGTACAGTGAAATGGAATAATCTTTGTATAAAATAGATATATCAAGTGAAGGAAGTTTCATCTTTTTAAGACTTTGTGAATAATCTATTTTTTCATATATTAGTATAGCTGGTACTTTCCATACTTTTGAAAAATTTAAGACTTGATCCTCAGAAACAGACATTACTAAGAAATCATTAAAAAGAAACCATGATGTTTTATATTTTAATTTTATATTTTCATCTGTCACTTAATAAAAGTAAGCAATATATAAATAAATATGGAAAAAAATAAACCATGAATAAATGAAACAAGATGAGATTCATTTTTAAAACATATTTCCACCACAAGTCCTTTTAATTCATAAATATAAAATTCATTATTTGTCTTTTTATTAATGTCTTTTCCTTGAAAACAGATCACTTTTCCTAAATGATGGTTTAAAGCTATTTTAGTTGGAAGCCAGTTCTTAGAACTCCAATACTTCCAATGTTCTTGTGTATACGCCATTGCATTAATGTTTAAATAGCATGGAAAGCTGCTAATTGTCCTTCGAGTTGTAAGAAATCGAAATTGATGACAATTAGAACACCAAGCTCTATTTTGTTTTTCACGATTTATACTTGCAGCTAATATTGAAGAAAAAGATGCTAATGAAAAGTTCTTTTCAGATGTCGTCTTCTAATATATTAATATTAGGAATTTTTAGTAATATTTTTAACCTTTGGATAAATAAAATCAATACAAAAAATAATAGAATTCCTAATAGAATTTACTCCACAACTGCAAAAAGAAATGATTTTTGAAAATATCCCATTAGTTTCTGCTAAAGGTGAAATATTATTAGTGTTCTGTTCATCAATTGAACATTTATCCAATGATTCTTCATTTAATTTTTCCAATAAAAATCTGTTTAAACCTTGTATAATAGGTGAAAAAGAGATCTTTTTCTCCATAGATTCATCTACAATAAGACCCAATGACATAGCTAGACTTATCAATATAATTGTTTATTAAAATAAAAAACTACCTTGTGAAGAAGTACTTAAAACATGTAAAAAATTAGTAGCTTGGCAATTTTGACCATTTGCATCAAAAAGCATTTTAAAAAGAAAGCCCATTTCACAAAGAAGACAATCTTCTTTTATACAAGAAGAAATAGAATGTGCTATAGCTAATTGACGAATAGAAGGTATAAAATAATACAATTGAACCAAAGAATTACAATATGAATTTTCAATATGAATTTCTAATCCAGAGAATGGCGTATTATTATAGTATCTTTAAAAGTTAGTCTTATTGATTTATAAAAAAAAACTTCCTTTTAATACCCAAAATCAAAATCTTCTACACCAAATTTTGAATATTTTATTTCCAATAATTTATAATATTTAGGTATGACAGAAGGTTCATTTAAGTCATCATTTTCATCTTCAAAATGTAGTGGTGCAGAATCTTTTTTGATATTACCAAGAGTTAATTCTTTTGCTTTTTCACTATGAAATTTTGGAACTGTTAATCCTCTTGTTCCTGTTTCTTTATCTCTAGCATAATATCTAGTCTGATTTCTCTTCATATTTCCTGTATATACGGAATACCCAACGAATTCTAAAGTTTTCATGTTTGAAATTGTATCTGGATTCAATACACAAGGTATTTTTCCAACATCATAAACTAAATGAGCAGGCCAAGAAGAGAAAAGCTCTTCTCTATAATAAGGCATACCAATAACATTCAAGGGCCTAGAAAATTGTTAAAAAATTGATTGATTCATTGATTGATTGATTCATTCATTCACTTACGTATCATCATGTATTTGAATATCTGGAATATTAGTAGGAATATTTGGCCATTCTAAAGGAATAGAAAACTCTGAAAATTTTGGTGCACGTCTTTGACTCCACAATTGCAAAATGCCTTCTGCATCACATAATACAAGTGCATCACCGGATTGAGAAACACAAACTGATGTGAAATATGTATTTGAATTTGCATGACGCAATTGAACATTAACAGTATTAACCGTATCAACAACATGAAATAACCCATTCTGACTTACTATAAAAGCCGTTGTTGACATCTTTGGGTGCATTCTTATATACGCTGGACCCGCTGGAAAAGCAACTGGAACCAAAGGACGTAATGTTCGAATATCAAAAACCTTAACAAGAGGATCTATAACATAATGTGTATCTCTTTTTCAAATACATTAATATATGAAAAAAAACATTCATACTTCCACATTATACCTTTGGGAAAATCCACATGTTAATATTAAATTACCTTGAATATCAAGATCTGAAAAAGTACCACTATGTGCTTGAATAGAATGAACCTCTTTATAATCAGATGGATCTAAAAGACTCAATCCACCTTTAGAAGACCCACAACAAATATATCTTCCATGTTTCATGACTACTATATCTTCTTTACATTGCTTTTATCATATTAGATTTTTTTGCAAAAAAAATATACAAATATAGCTGTTAAATACCAATTTATCAACAACCGAACCCCGTTCTATATTAATAGTTAACATTGATGGTTGTAATCCACCCACTAATATATTGGATGATGTTCGTGAGATAAACGTCATACATTGAAGATCCATATTCAAATTTCTAAAAGATAAAATTATACAGCAAAACTGCTGCTTCCTTACTCTAATGTCCATTTAAATAACCCTCGGCGGTTCATTAATCGAACTTTATCATTTGATAATGATATAACACCCCGTTCATTAGATAATATAGAACATATCGGCCCTTCATACGCCCTTACACTTGTATATCGTTCAAGTCCCGATCCATAATATGATGTTAAGTATCCCTGATCCGCTGTTAAGCTTATTCATTCCATTTTTTTACACACTTTCTCATTTCCTGTCCAAACAAGTTCATGATACTCGTCAAAACATGATGATGTAATAGGAACAAGGTCCTGCCCATATTTATATAATGTTCCATAAGAAATCTAACATATTTTAGGTCCTTGTTTGTGTAAAAAATTACAAACCTGTATCCAGTCATTCATGTGCTGCCCTAGATTTTACTGCCGAATATCGTTTTCATGTAACCCGTATAAATTTATATACAAAACAAGACACATCTTTATTCTAGAACAATTAATCTCAATCCTTCCTGCTAAACACTCATATAAATCTATTAGTATTTATATTATTGAAATTTTTCCCAGTTTTTATTTTTAATATTGACTTTTTAAATATACCTCCCTCTTCCTCTTACAGCTTCCTCATCTTTTTAACTCAGTATTTAGATAAATTTAAATAAAAAACTCTTTATCTATGTTTTTTTAAGTCCCAATGCTTCCCTTAGTCTCTGTAGACGTACGTCTAGCGATTCTTTTGTTTCTAATAGCTTTGGTTCCACTAAACGTAATAACCATCCATATAATATCTTCCAACCCGGTTCTACTGAGATTTGACTCTTTGAATTCACCCAAGGACAATAATTTCTATGTTCAAAAACAACATCAAACCCTTCTTCTTCTCCTTCCGATTCAAAATACCATGATCCAACCCTTCTATGACATGCTCCACATACTAATAATCCTATTCCATCTATTTCTATCCCATTCCACCCAAAAATAGATAGGATTTCTGTATTTTTTTTCACCAAATCTTTTTTCATATCTATAGGTACTTTTAATTTTTTTGGTACTCCCTTAAATATATCCAACTTTTTTGTACGTTCATTAAACCCTTCTATAGCCCTTTTCCCATCGGATAATGGCAATTTCATAATAGATTCTACTTGTTTAACATTTCTTTCTAATATTATATATATATATATACATACCATCACATGACTTTTTTCTCCAACAACAATTTTCTTTATGACCCATCTTTACTTGATTCAATTCATCTCTAATCTCTGTTTTAATCTCTGTTTTTAACTCCATTTCTTGTTTACATAATTGACATTTTATTTTCATTTGTCCCATACAAATCCAACCATTTTTTGCACAAACCACTGCATTAAAAGGTAATTCAATACTATGCCATGGAAATGACCAAAATGTAGAAAGTCTTTTTGAAAATTCTTTTCTACTCCATGGAGCATAAATTGGATTTTTTTTATCCATTCTTTTAATTATAAGAGATTTATTTTGTTTTCCTTGTAAATCATTTTCTTTTAAAGATTTATGATTTCCTTCTAATAGATTTAAAGTTTTTTTAAATCTTTTTTTATTTCTCCATTTAATTTTATCTTTAATAATATAATCATTTATCATTTCTCTATATTATTTCTTATTTCTCTATTATTCTCTTGTTTATCTTGTACTATCTTAATTACCTCCTATTTATACTTTTTAACAGAAGTACTTTATTATTTTAATATGTTTTTAGCTACTACTTTTTAGTTACTACTTTTTAACTATTTTTATTTATCTTCTTCTTCTTCTTATTATTATTATTAAACGAATAATAATATTATTATATTAATTCTTATCAATTCTTATTAATTCTTATTATTTCTTATTAACTTTTTATTAACTCTTTATTATCAACTTTTAACTCCTCCTTATTAACTAATTCTTACTAACACTTTATTAACTTTTATTATTAACTCTTTATTAATTTATTAACTTCTTATTAACTTCTTATTAACTCTTTAATAACTTTTTATTATTTCTTTATTAATATTTATTATTATTAACTTCTTATTTATTAATATTTATTATTACTTATTATCAACTTATTATTTTTACTTATTATTAACTTCTTATTATTAATTTATTATTACTTTTTATTACTATTAACTTCTTCTTATTATTTATTATTAACTTGTTATTATTATTACTATTAATATTATTATTATTAATATTATTATTATTTATTATTATTATTTATTATTATTTAATATTAACTTCTTTTTATTAACTTCTTATTAACTCCTTATTAACTTATTTTATTAACTTTTAACTCCAATTTCAACTTTAACTTTAATTTATTTATTAACTTTTTATTAATTTTATTATCAACTTTTAACTTCTTTTTATTAATTCTTAATAATTCTTAATATTTTTTAACTCTTTATTATTATTTTATTATTAATTATTAACTTTTTATTAACTTTTTATCAACTTCTTATCAACATCTTATCAACTCCTTATTAACTTCAACTTCAACTTTAATTAATCGTCTTTATTAACTTTGAAGATTTAACGTCTTAACATCTCAACGTCTTAACATCTCAACGTCTTATTAACTTCAACTTCAGCTTCAACTTCAGCTTCTTTTTATAAAAACTCCTTATTATAACAACTTACTCATCAAACTCAACTCAAACTTATTATTAAGACTTTTCATTAGGATCTTACTTAACAAAACTTACTTACTTGTCAAAACTTACTTATAACAACTTCTCATTAAGACTCAACTTCTTATTAAAAAACTTACTTTTTATTAAAAAAACTTACTTCTTCTTCTTCTTCTTCTTCAACATGTCTCAACTGGATAAACAAAAAAATATAGCTATTCAAGCGGTTAAACGTGCTTGTCATCTTGCAACATCTATTTTTATTAAACAAAATGATACAAATAAAGTTCTATTAAAAAGAGATTGTTCACCAGTTACAGGTTTTTATTAGGAGATAAAATAATAAGTTATTATCAAGTTATTGATGAATATGAATAGTAGCGGATTTTGGAGTTCAAGCAATAATTACTGGAATATTGAAAGAAGTTTTCCCAGGAGAAGCAGTTATTGGAGAAGAAACGGTAGATTCTATGATTCTACAAGAAGAATTTTTACAAGAGGTTTGGATGGAAGTTAAGAAGATATTTAAAGGATATAATGATGAGAAGAATCTTAAAAATAATAATGAAAAAATGATTGGAAAGATTAATAGTATACAAGATCTAGTGGAACTTGTAAGATCTAGTGGTAATGAGGAAGGAATCAATAAAAAACGTAAAACATGTTATTATTATAAAAAAAGTTAAATAATAACAAGGTCAGGTTATTGGGTAATTGATCCAATTGATGGTACAAAAGGATTTCTTCGAGGTGGACAATACGCAATTTGTTTAGCATTAATTGAGAATGGTGAACCATCTCTTGGAGTTCTTGGATGTCCGAATTTACATAATTATAATATTTATGAAGGTCATAATGTAGAGACAGGAGTGATTTTCTATGCTAGTAAGGGAGAGGGTGCATACCAAGTAGTTTTTATTATGAATGAATGAATGAATATGAATTAATATATATATCTAGAGAATATTGAATGAAAATGGGGAAATTTTGATTCATACAAGAAATAAAGAAAATATTCAAGATGCTCGTGTTTGTCAAAGTCTTGCACCGGGTCATAGTGCTTTAGAAATACATAAAAGAATTATGAATACCTTAGGAATTACGAGTCAACCTATTGAGGTAGATTCTCAAGTAAAATATGCCATGTTAGCACGTGGGGAATGTGATATTTATCTTCGTCTGCCTAATCATCCAGATTATCATGAAAAAATTTGGGTATAGTAGATAAAACAAAGTTTAATAATATGTATTATTAAAAAAAGACAATAGGATCATGCAGCAGGTGCTTTAATTGTTCAAGAAGCAGGTGGAATAGTTACTGATGCCTATGGAAAGACATTGGATTTTAGTAAAGGTAAGAGGCTTTCAGAAAATTATGGTATTGTGGCAGCATCAAAGTGTTTGCATGCCAAGGTTTTGGAAGCGGTAATGTCTATATTAAAAAAACAGTAATATGCTGTATTTTTATTTGTACTTAACATCGTATTTCAACCAAAAGCTCAGATAAATATGTAGATAATACAGGATTTTCGGCTACAACATGAATAATAGAATTTTCAATATTAATAAAAAGATCTTGTCTGTGTTTAGATTTCGCTAGATTCCGTAAGATCAATGTTGCTGTTAATGCTACACCAATTGCTTCTCCTCGTTCGTCGACAGCAGTTGTTTTTGTATGTATAGAGATATTTTCCCATAAACTGGATGAGACGAATTGCGTTAACTTATCCGGTATATGTGTTCTAAGATGAGATAATACGATAAAACGATCTTTCTCTCCTGGTAATGTAAACCGAGTGCAATCAAACCATTTACAAACTAAAGGCGGTGCTGAGGATGAAAGTAAACGAACCTCGGGTAAATGATGATCAATGATATGTTTGAATAGCTCTTGTGAATTTGGAAATTGAGATCCACAAATGCCAGAATCATTTGTTTCAACTACCCATTTACAGGAAACATAACTTTCTCCTTTGATTGAAATTGCAATTTCACGTGGACGAACTCCTCTAATAATAAAATTTTGTCCTTCAGGTGCATTTAATACCATTGCTTTAGCCTTTGGAAATGCACGACTAGCTATTTTAATTAAATCTGCTGCAGAAAGAAGAGGTCTTCCGGCTGCAATAAAAGGTGAAAATCTTGCTTGATAGGATTGCCATAAATGCATTTGTGTTATATCATCGTTCGAACTTTCTTGATAACAAACACGCATCCTATTAAAAAGTATAAGAAATATGAAAAAAAAGAATTAAATCAAATATAACCATTTAACCGCTCTATCAGGTTCTCCGAATCCTAATAATTCTTGAACAATTTCTGCGGGTAATGGAGGAGGACCAGTAGGTATGTATTGTTTAATGTCTGTAGACAATGATACATGGGTCTCTTTCTCTTCCGCCTGAAACATCATTAATCTTACTAATTGATCGATTAAATCATGAATATCCTCCAGTTCCAATATACTTTGCGTATTCGCTTTATACGTTGTATATTGGTACATGAAATCTAAAGCAGAACCTAAAAGTTCTTCATCATCTAAACTTAACAATAACCTCACTCTATAAAGTATATAAGGTGAAATATTTTGAAGCAATCGATTATTTGTATCATGAAGCGCTAATCGTGCAAGTGCTCTTAAGGCTCCAATTAACATGGCTCTATCGTCACATTGTAAAAGTTCACATAAACTTAAATAAAGATCATCGTTTTCATCATTAATAATTGTATAAAAACTGACTGCCTCAATAATATCCATACAATAATGCTTTAATTCTATGAAAGAAAAATCGTTCATCTGTTTAATTCCTAAAACTAACGTAGGATGTGTCATTTCCAATCGAGCCAAATAACTAGCATTATCGGAAAGTAATGCAAGATTACGAAGAATAAGTGCTGCCTCTAATATTTTATCCAATGCTTTTCTTGATTGATAATCCATAGACCAGTCATCGTTTTCCTCATCGAATTCCATTTCTTTCCTTGATACTTGTTTTAAAAACTCATAGAGTTTCTTGATCAATGTTTCTGCTAAATCTGGAATACGATCAAACCTAAGATTATTACCTTGTTCATATGATAATCGAACCAAATGATGTAAAGCCCAATCCAATTCTGATACTAAACCTGATTTAAGCGCAAGCGCAATTCGAACCATAAATGGTGCACCTTGGATACCCGCTTTATAATAAATCATCATATTAAACTAATGAAGAAAAATTAAAATGATTTATATGTTTACCTCCAATTTTTGCTCCATTTTGAGATCCGTACGTACTATTCCTTAGATATTCTAATGCATGTGTATTTGCAGGCGTAATGACTGGTTGTGGTTGCAATTTATTATTTACATTCTCGGGAAAGGTTAACGTAGCAAAATGCGTTGAAAAAGGTTGTTGTTGTGCTTGCATTTGTAATTGTTGTTGTGCTTGTTTTTGAAGCGCTGATCTCGCTTGTGTTAATCGTTCATCCGGTTGATAAAACGTTCTTGGAACTGGCGCTGCTCTTAAATCTTTTCATTCATTATTCTTCTTTTTTCTTTAAATTTGGGGAAAATTCACTTCTTACTAATGGCATAGGTGATGATGATGAATCCGGTCGCACATCTTCCTTAGTCGTTACTTGATAATTTTCCGCTGTTCTTGTCATAATATCTCCTCCTTTTGCCGTTTGAAATTCAAGATGTTCTGGTGCCGGTGGCGTCTTTTTCCAATGTTTTTCCATTTCCCATGCACTAAATATCATTATTAACATCACTTTTCTTTTTTTTTCATAATATTTCCATACGCCAAGTTCTTGTAATAGATTGATTTCAAAAGATATCCCGCATTCGACATAGGTGGAAGTTTGTAATGGTTTGAAAGGTTTTTCCACCATGATTTTTCTGATGATACCTTATCATATCCCCCCAGTTCAATCACTCGTTTATATAATTTCAGTAAATCAATCCGATGAGGTCCAATAATCGGTTCACGCACAAATGTTCCTGTACTTTACCATGTTATTATGAATCCCATAATAATTATACGTTTAATTCTGCTTTTTACCCCCGTTTTATATGATATGCCTCTAATTCTTTAATAAACTCATTATATTCTTGACTCCGCTCAATATCATCATCGTCTGTAATCTTGATTAATCCTTTTCCTCTCATTTCTTTCTTGATAAAGATTTTCCCTTATTTTTATCCCTTTTTACTTTGTTCTACTTTGTTCTATACTATGTTTTACTATGTTAAACTCCGTTTTACTGTGTTAAACTCCGTTTTACTCCGTTTTACTCCGTTTAACTCTGTTCAACTCTGTTCAACTCTGTTTTACTCCGTTCAACTTCTTCTCTTCTTCTTTTCTTCTTCTTCTCTTCTTCCACTCTATTCTACCCCCTTCCTGCTCTGCTCTATTTTACTCGACTCTATTATACTTTGTTCCTGACTATTCCCCTCTTCATAGAGTAATATATATCCAAATATCCCTTCTTATTATTGGCACTTATAATGTTATTCTAATGATATTTATATTTCCCGTGCCTGAATATCCTCTAAACCCTCATAACATAAACTCCCTGTGCTAAACCTTGGAGATTTATGAAAATATTAAGAAAAATATTAATAAAACCCGAGATTAAATAAAATATTAAGCAATAACTTAAGAACCGCGTGGTTTAAAGGGATATTTTGAGATATCAAAAACTGAGAGAAAACTGACAGGAAAAAATCTGCAAAAATTAGAAAATAAAAAGATAATAAAAACAAAGAAAAACAAGGTATTTTAAGAGTATTTCCAGATGATTTTTTTTAAAGATATTTTAGAGAGTTTTTAAAGAGATTTTGTGCTTTAGAAGGAGGTTTAAGACGATATTCTTTGTTAAATCAGAGTTCTGAGTATTATTCTTGTGAATTTGGTCTTTTTTATGTTTGTATTTATGGGTTATATGCGTATTTATCTTATTGAAGAAGATCGAGAAAGCGTGCATACAAGACGCATACAACACGCATACAACACGCATACAGCACGCATACAAGACGTATACACTTGTAATATAGTCCGTATACACTTGTAATATACTCTCTATATACTTATAATATAGTCTATATACATCAGTATATAGTCTCTATATAATCGGTATATAGTCTCTATATAAGCGATAGAATAGTCTTATGGATAAGACATGGACCGATATATCATCTCTCCTTCTAGCACAACTGGTTTTTAAACATGGCACAGACTTTTCTATTATTCAAACTCACCTTTTACAACATCCTCTGGCAGATCAGGCTATTTATTCTATTGAAGTAACATCAGTCTATCAGGTTTACCATTATTAAAGGAAAATACAGGATATTAAAGCGCAATATGAGCAGCTACTTGAAGAAAACCAGCTAAAAAAAGAGTAAACCTCAATATATAAGAGATAAAATAATCTAATGAGGGATATGAAGGGAGAATAGATCAATAGAAGAAGGAATATGCCCAGAAGAAAGGTCAATTGAATCTAAACTTTGTAAAATTTTATATGAAAAACGTATAATAGAGTTAAAGAAGGAGATTCGTAAGGAAGAAGAAGCCTATAAGAAGATTACAGAAGAAATTGAAGAGATTCAGAGTGGACGATTACCAATAAGCCTAAATATAGAGGAAACCGTGACAAAAAATGAAAATAATGTAGAAAATCCAGCAGATATATCATCAGCATCCGTTGTAGTTGAAAGAAAAGGACGTCATGAAGAGGTAGCAAGTTCAATGAATGCAGAGGAGGTGATACCACAAGTAGAAGAGAATAGTATATCAGTTGAAGCTATAGGAAACCAAGGATCAAAGTTGCAAGAAAAGAATGACAAGAATATAAAGAAACAAAATGTTAAGAAAAGCACGAGAAGCCTTGTGAAGAAAGAAATGCAAGTTTTTCAACCGGAAAATATAAGTGAAAATTCGAGTAAACCATCGGCATTAGAATCGACGTCATTAAAACGTTTTCAAAGTATGATTTTACCATTATGGATGAGTCTTTCACAACATAAGCATGGAACCGTTTTTATGGGACCAGTTTCAGATAAAGATGCGCCTGGATATTCAAGTTTGATTCATTTTCCAACAGATATGAAGTTGATCAGAAATAAAATCCGTGATGGAAAGATTACTACATCTAAACAATTTCACCGAGAAGTTCTTTTACTTTTTGCTAATGCTATTATGTATAATGGTGAAGAGAGTACCATTGCTCAATGGGCTAAAGAAGGTTTTGCGTACAGTGAAGAAATGATTAATATGTTTATGGAAACAGAGTTGGTTGTAGGAGTTGGAAAAGAAGGCGAAGAAACATCTAAATTAAAGAGGAAAAAAGTTTAAAAAACGTACATTTAACCTACGTCGAATTGGTCGATTAGATGTTTGTACCGATGGTTTATCTTGTATTTCAGGAAGAATGTCCTGCGACACAGAATAATCATTCTGTGCCACTGACTTGGATTCCTTTTTTTCACGCTTTTTTCTCCAATAGTAAAAGAAAGTTTTAATTTCTTGAACCAAAGAAGTAATCAATGGGAAAAATAGCGGCCCAAATAAGGGAAGATATACACCATATTTATGCTCATTTGGAAAATAAAGCATACTAACCATTGATGGGTCAAAAAATGCTTTTTCAACCAAGCTAGTTGCAGCACTGGTATCTTTTAAAGCAGAAAAATAATTAAAATCATTCAAATTCTGGCATGCCTAATAAAGAATGAATTAAGTTTTGTAAATATTTGAAGAATATTACTTTTCTTAAATGATTTATTGTTTCGAATACGTCTTGTTGAACTTGATCAGGAACAGCCATGTTTGAGATTTGCCGAACTAGTCTAGAAAGACTACCTAGTGTTGTAGAAGCAAAAACCATGTTTTCAACGATACGTTGTCTATAAAGACCGTCAAGTCTCCAACTATTTAGAATCGGTAAAGGTTCTTGATGAATATATGAAGGTAAAGAAGGTACACCAAGAAGAGACAGAAAATTCGAAACAAATATATGAAAAATCGGCAGAAGACTTGTTGTGTTCAAATATGGATTAGCATTGGTAGATTCTTGATTATAAATCACAATGCTTCCCCATTGTGGAACTAAAAAAGAATTATTAGAAATTAAATGGTCCTCAAAATCTTTGAAAAAAAGAGGCCGAGTATCATATGGAGGAACATAAACCAGAAAATTAATTATTTTATCTGATGAAAGTGTTGTAGCTATAAAATTATATTTAAATTGAAAAATATGTTTTAGTTTACCTAAATTCCATTCAATAGAATTAACAAACTCGGAAAATTGATTAGCCGGGATTTCAAATGCATCATTTTGTTTTGATTTTTGTGGATTAAATGTTAATTCAGCGCAAAATTGAACCTGAGATTCTACATAGAATTTAGAAAACATCGAAAGCTGTTTCAATAATGGCCCGAAATATACTTTTCATATATTAGAAAAAAGGTAAAATAAAAAACGTACGATACGATTTATAGCCTTTTCAATATCCCAATATAATAACACTTTTTTTTCACCGCCGTTAATAAGACTGAAAACGATATCAAAACTTGACGAATATTTTACCACTTTCATATCCATATCTTCCAGTTTTGATGAACCATTTAGATCTTTGATTTTTTCTAAATGAAATTTCATGTATTTTTCTTGTACTGAAAATATATCTAACAAAGCTTGTGAAATGATTTTTGGTAATTCTGGAACAATTTTTAAATTGTAATCAATATAAAGTGTTCTATTATAATAAATATGTTGAGAAACCGACGAAATTCCTTTGTTTTCACGAAGTTTAACCGTATAATATGGTTCCTCTTGATTTTTATATTTTTCTATCAATTCTTTAATATATAGAAAAATGTAAAAATTCAATTTCAACCTTTTATATGTAATTTTATTATATTTTCTTTTTGTTTAGAAGCAAATATTTGTTTTATTTCCTGAACCAACACATCCACATTATTAAATTCATGAGAAACATCAATAACAATAGGGATATCAAACTGAATATTGCACATCTAATAAAAATATTAAAAATAACAAAACCCATCAGTAATAATGATGAATTACATAGCCCTTTGACCAGTTATCCATCTGTGAAAGTGGCAGCTTTGCTCTATAGATTTTTGTCAATTCCCACCATACAGGAATAGCTATAAAAACGAAAAGCTCGATTATTTAACATAGATTATTGAAATATAAGCAATATAATCACCCAATATGAGAGGATAATCCATCTTCTTTGGTTATAAGTGGAACTCATCATATTAACCCATAAAAATACGAAAAAAACTGGAAAAAAAACGGGAAAAAAAGCAATATATCTATTCATATAAGTATATAACCAATAATTCATGTATTAATTGTCAATACCCCTCAAATTCCCCTCAAACCCCCGCCTCAATAGCCCTCAAAATAGGCTCCTAAAAAAAATTGAAGTTGACAAGAGGTTAAAAGTAGCGACTGGGAGATAAGAAAATATATAAAAAAAGTCAGTAAATTTTGAAGTATAAAAATATTATTAAAAACCATAAAAATCAAGAAATTAGAAGTGAATTGCGTATTTTCCTGTTGAAAAATAGATTAAAAAATGTATAATTTGTGTATATATTTTTTTGAAATAAAATAGTTATGATAGAGAAGAATTAATTATTATCTTTGTTTAAAGAAGAAACCAGCTTCAGAGCACGGATCTGTAACCCTCTATGTCCGTACAAGACAGCCATTTCATAGATAGAAGAAGCGTTTTCAGGAGTTAAACATTTCTGAAGAGCATAAAAAATATAAAGACTTAGATCTTTTACTTCTAAATCAGGACCGAAACTTTTAGAGAGTGATAGCAGAGAGAAAAGAGCCGAAATATCATCCAAAATACTTGGTTCTAATGAATACGTATATAAAAATCTAAGAAATTGCTGAACAACAGATGATGGATGAGGAATATAAAGAGTACGAGAACGATTATAAAATCTTGCAGATGGAGGTCCACTGTTGCTCAATTGAGTCAAATTATTATGTAAAGTCAAAGTACTTCTTCGATTTTCATTTAAAAAATCATAAGTTGAAAACTCAGTGGTATCTTTTTTAAGACTTGATTTGAAAAAACTATGAAACCGAGGCCATCTTGTGGACAAAACTTTTGTAGAACAGGGTAGAACAACGTTATCTTGTGTTAAGATTTCCATATCGGAAAAAGAAGGATCTTCCAACATCATTAATCCCAATTCTTGAGCAGTAGAAGACATTTTTGGAATAGTTACTCTGAAAATTCCAAAAGCCTCAAGTTCAACTAGAATAATATGATCAAAATTGATTCTTCGATGATTATAATCCTCAACTAAATCTTGTTTTTTATTTCCAAAAATAAGTAAACAATTTTTATCATAATCTATGATTCCTTTGTTCCAAGAACCTTCATTTAATAATGGGCCAGGATCAATCTTTGACCAAGTCAAACTATTTAGATCAATAGACCAAATACTATAAGAATGTGTAGTATTTGTTAAATAGGTTCCAAAAATAACAAAATGTTCACCAAGAATACCTCCCGATGGAAACCGTAAACCAGAAGGTTTTAATTCACCTGAAACTTTATCAGAAATGTCTGTTGTATCGTATTCATTATTTTCTGAAATAGTAAGCATATAAAGTCCATTTTTCAGATTTTTGAAATTATAATTAGAATAGATATAAATGGGACTACCCGGAACATACTGAGTATGAGATGAAGAGGTTAATTCTCCATCAGACTTTTGTGCATTATCAAATGATTTTTTAGACTGTGAATGATAATGTAAATTTGATATTTCGCTATGGACAGATAATCTTTTTGATGACTCTGAAATACTTAATGATTTCCGTTTGGTCTGAAAAGGCGAGTTTTGACCTGACGAAGCAATTTCAGATATCAATGTACTCTTTTCACTAAGATTCAATGCACATTCGGGAAAAGTTTCCATTTTACAAGAAGCAACCGAACGATAAAGACCACAATGTTTATTAAAAACGAAAGAAGATGACCACACATGTGTATTTAAATCAAAACAATTAGCTTCTTCAATATAATTATTTTCCAAATCTTGTCCTCCAATAATCACCAAAAAATTCATATTAATAACAGATAAATGTGCATATCGAGGTTTCGGAAAATATGATGATGATACCATTATTTTCTTCCATTTTCCAAATTGAAGATCAAAAACAACAATATCATCCAAAACACAATAAGGTTTATCTGGATTTTTAGATAACCCAATTCCTCCAAAAACATAAATACAATTCAAATATATATCTGCTGAATGAAAATATCTGGGTTCCGGAAGATTTGGTGAAGGATTATGAATTTTCGTCCAAATATATGATTCTAAGTCCAAGACATATAAATCATTTGTTAAACACCAATTAGAAACTAAACGTCCTCCAAATACATAAAGTTTTGTTCCAATAAGAGTAAAAGAACATCCTACCAATGGAGGAGGAATTTCCCCTGTTGTTGAAAGCGCAAGAGATGCCAAATTATTTAAACAATTGCTGATTTCTTCCATTTTAAACTTCAATTTTGATCTATTTTAAATATTTATAAAAATTAAAAGAAAAAATATAGATTCACATGAATCTATACTATAAATTCTTCTAAATCTTAGTATTATATTAATTATTTTATTAAACATGTATTAAGAAATTACCTGTTAAGAATTATAAAAACATAGAATACCGAAGATTCCAAGTCTTTAAATCGAAAAGAAAAAATATATATAAATGAAAAAGAATTTGAAGTTCAAAGATTATTTATAAGAAATGGTAATAGAAAAGTGTATGATTGAAAGAATTTTAAAATAAAGAAATGTTGAAATAAAAAACCAGAGATTTTTGAAAATTTATAAAAAATATTAAAAAATGAAAATAAACCCAGAATGAAGAAGAAATAGATTTTAAGATTGCTATGTTGTCATTAATGATAGATTTTAGTGATGAAAAGAATTTTTTAAAAGAAATATGTTGATTGTAGATGAATCGAAATATGAAATTGAAAATAAATATCAATTGAAAGTAAAATATATCCAAACTGTGTAATAAATTATGTTAGATCTAAGCTAGAAATGATAAGATGAATTTTTTTTTAGAAAAAAATAGTAAATTTACCTATATTAATTATTTCTGTTCAAATATAAATATATCCATGGAAATGTCAAATTTTAGAGAAAAAATTAATCGAAATTTGAATAATAATTACTTTTATTAGTTATTTAACCATGTTTTTTGAAAAGTAAAAAAGTATACTTTAACCAGATAAATTATCGATCAAGATTATAATATTTTAAAACACTATTAGATATCTTCCCTGGACTTTTTACCACGGGATCTACGCCTGAAGATGTTTTAGGAAATGCAATGACATCTCTAATAACATTTGTTCCATGTAAAATGGCAACTAAACGATCGAATCCTAAAAATAATCAGGAAAAATAGGTAGAATGTTTGTATTTACCAAGAGCAATACCTCCATGAGGAGGACAACCACTTGACAAAATTTCAAAAAGATGGGAAAACTCATCAATTTCATTTTGAGACAACTAAACATATAATAATTATAAAGGAAAAAAAATATGGACAAATCATTTACCTTAAGAATATCTTCCAATATATACTTTTGCAAAGCTGTATCATGAATTCTAATACTACCTCCTCCAAGCTCTATCCCATTAACGACAATGTCGTAATGATCTGCTCGTACGGATTCAGGACTTTTTTTAAGTAAATAAATATCATCTTCCAAAGGACTGGTAAATGGATGATGTGTAGATTTAAGTACACGAGCTTGGTCTTGTTTCGAATCATCCTTTTCATGAGAAAAAAGAGGGAATTCATTAATCCAAACAAACTCGAATTGTTTTTCCGAAAAAGAAGGCATTAACTTATGTTTTACACATTCATGATATAACAGCTGTCGACCATGTCCTAATTGCGTTAGATTACCTGAGTGTTTTATAGAACGTTGAGATAAAAAAATAACGTCATTAACCTCAAGTCCTAAGTAGTTATTTAATTGTTTCATGTTATTTATAGATGATAGAGAAAAGGGTGTTCTTGATAACCATGTTTCTAATCTATCTAATGAATGAATATAAACAACAATTGGTTGATGATATGTCGATATTTCTTTGCTAATGATTTGAAATCTATTTTTCGATATAACTAAACCATTTTTAATAACAATTGCATCTACAATAGGATATTCTGAAGCAACAGGTGCCAGAAAAGACGTTATATTCTGAATCTCAAGCCCATATCTTAAATCCGGTTTATCTGAACCATATTTCGACATTGCCGTTTCATAAGAGATCTTTCTAAACGGAATCTCAATCTCTATTCCAAGATATTTTTTCCACAATTGTTTTAATAACGTTTCTACGATACAACATATATCTTTTTGAGTTACAAAAGACATTTCCAAATCCAATTGTGTAAATTCTGGCTGACGATCGGCTCTTAAATCTTCATTTCTAAAACATTTTGCAAGCTGATAATACCGTCCTATTCCACTAGACATTAATATTTGCTTATATTGTTGCGGCGATTGAGGAAGAGCATAGCCATAACCATTCTGTCGTGTTGGCACAATAAATTCCCTAGCACCTTCTGCCGTCGATTTAAATAAAAGTGGTGTCTCCACTTCAAGAAAGTGTCGTTCATAGAAAAAATCCCGAATACTTTTTGCTATTTCTGCTCGTAACCAAAGTGCCTTTTGATTAATAGGATTACGAAGTTCTAAATACCGATATTTCGCTCGTACATTAGAATTTACCGATGATACAAACATAGGCTGAAATGGAAGAGGTTTTGCCACATTAATCACACGAATTCCTTTCATATCTACTTCCAATCCTTCATCCGCTATCCGATCCTTCTTCGGTCGTAATCGAATCATTCCTTTAACCTCAACTACACTTTCTGCTGACACCTTTTCCACTTCTTCCCCAAGTCCTTCCCTTCCTTCCCGTAAAACCAATTGTACTGTTTTCCCAAATATATCTCGTAACCCATAAAACTGTATATAACGGCTCAATTTACGTTTATACCGTAAAAACCATCCAAGCAGATATACAATAGTCCCTTCATCTGCGTTATCAATCGTTCTAAACGAAATAACCCTTCGTTCACTATGAACCCATCGTTTTCCACTATTTTTTCCAAATCTCCTGAAAATATACATTTTCAAATATAAAAAAAAATAACAAGAATAAAACAAATTCTAAATCCAATAATAATATGATAATTATTCGCTTCTATCCTGATCCTTATCGTCCTTGCAAATCATTCCAATAACATATTATGATTAATAGATTTAAAATAGAAAATCTGATTCTTTATTACATAAAATAACATGTATTGACTTGTTAATATCTATTTTGCTGCTAGAAAATAGAGGTGTCTCTTATCTTTCACTAGGTTAATGCTCATTTTTAACGATTGTATGCGCCATGAAATTTCATTCTAAGCTTTATTCCCCATATTTCTATGTATAATGCTTCTTATGCCACGCATATATAGCTATCAATATTATCAAATGCTATCTGCCCTTATTTTTACCCGAAATCTGGTCCCTCGAAAATTAATCCTTCCACGGTCAAATGAATCAATGATGAAGTAAAGCCTGGCAGAAAAATGTTCCAAACAGAAGAAACTAATTAGTTTTTCCTGTCTATGGAATTTCATATATGGTGAAAGCGTCAAATTAAATTTACCTTGTTACATAAATTGACGCCAACCTCTGAGATTTAGTTCGACCAATAAATATATACTATAAAGCCTTTTTATTGATCAATATATGCATTAATAAATGCGCATTAACCCGCTTATATGCGTATAAAAAGACGCATATAACCTAGCATATAACCTAGCATATACCGTCTATTTTATAGTCCACAGTTCAGGTGCATCTAGATAAAGTATTAGCTAAGATGCGTAATTTCTGTGGCAGATAAAACGCATTAGTTGCTAAGAAACTCGTTTCTGAAGCCAATGCTATCTGTTTATTGACAAAATAGACGCTTTTTTTAGCATTTTCCGTTTTATATGCAACACGTCTTGACGCCTAGTATAACTACGCAGATTATACCCGACATACTAAAATCAGAAAAAGAGGGATAAATATAGGGAAACCGAGGAAATAAATAACACAGATCGATTCAGCGGATCAATACGAGTCATTTGATGCCCTATAAAGGACTATCCTATCAAAAAGCCGTTAACGGTGAGACCTTTTCTTGGAAAGATATATATGATGAAATACTAAAGATATATAGGTGCAACAAAGATAAAAGTTAGTAGAAAACATATCTTCATATAGCATATATACGTACTAATTGCTTTTTTTTTGCAGTTAGCAGCGCCAAAACAGAAATATTTAGAGAGTATTTTAGGAGCGACCTATTCTGGAGATATTGCATTATTTGAGGTGTTTAGTGCGCTCTTTTCACGTCTACATGAGCCTTCATGGACCGTATGATGTCCGTTATTACTATTTTTAAGTTTATGTTTATTAAGATTGTCTTTAAAAGCCTTATTGTTATTCATATTATGATTCGTGATGGATCTAAGGATATAACACTGCGATATTTGTCTAACAATATGAGATATTTTTCAGTCAAGGAGCTATTTGGAGATCCTAGCTTTTTATCATATGATTCAGGGGGTCTTTTATTTCTAGGGGAGTTGGCAATATCTCAACAAAGTAAAAATATTCAAAACTATGGTCTTTATCTACAGGAAAGAATACAAGGTTTTAAGGATGTACAAGTAGATTATGTTTATGCAAAAAGCAACAAAATGGTGGAAGGAAGATTACGTCGATTAACAGTAGCAAAAGGACTTCTTCGGGAAGTAGAAATTGTTCAGAGACAAATTGATGCATTACTTTGTTGCAAGGTATATTTTTGCATTTTTCTCTGTATAATTATTAGTATTTAAATATTTTTTAGCTTTTGGAAGATGGTTTAACAAATGATATAACTATTGCAGGATTTAGATTACTAATAAGAGATCTTTTATCTCTGTTTCAAGTAATTAATGAAGGAGTAATTAATGTTCTTGGTATGGATTATGTTTTTTAGAAGGTTTTTTATATAAATCAGAACATTATTTTGAAATGTCAAAATATGATGCAGAAAAGGCACTTGAAATATACAAAAAGTTTGTTAAACAGACTGTAAGTGTTTCGGATTATTTGTCATTTGCATGTAGGATGGAAACTTTGACATGTATAGAGGTTCCAAATATTAAACATGTATAGTATATATGTTACTTTGAAAGCAATAATTTATGAGCGTTTCAGGCACCTGTAGGCCTTTCTCGTGCACTGCAAGAGTATTTGGATGATAAAAACTTTGAGAAAAATAGGCTTCAATATATTGAAAGTAAAAATGCTCTTGATCCCAATAAAAAAAAGACGAATTTGACTGTTCAATCTACTAAAACTTCTTCAAAAAAAAAGACTACAAGTTTAATTCCTTATTAATCAACCTTATTAATACTTATTAATGTTTAGATGCTCAATCTTTATCAGGAAATACTCAAAAGCAAAATTTAAACAATATTAATCTAATCGACTTTTTTTCAAGTATTGAGAATGAGCAAGCTTTTATGTTTCCGAATACTCCTGGGAAGAATATGGCTTATAAGCCTTCAAATTTTTCAGGAATTCAACCAACACAACCGATACAAACGGTCGTTGATTCTGCTCCAACAGAACAATCAATACCTTCATTTCCTCAAAATGTGCCACCGCAAATGCAACCACAAGCACGAATACCTTATGGGCTATCCAATCAGTATTCCTCAGCTTTTCACCCTAATAATGTACCTTATCAATCTACTCAACCAATTATTCAGAATCCAGAATCGTTTCAACCATCTTTTCCCATAAATCAAAAACAGGATTATAATTCTATCTATCCTACACAAGCTAATTTATCTGGTTCTGGATATAATATATATCATACGCAGTCGAATGTTCTTCCATTCAATCAACCACCTCATTTTAATCAAGTCATCCCGCCACCAGTTTTAGAAATGAACAATTCTAGTATTAATCACACAAATCCCTTTCATCGACCTCCTCTGTCTATGAATACTGAGTTTGAGCATCAAAGAACTCTTCTAGCAAATCAATTTCCACCTCCTACGAATCCATTTTCGAAAAGTTTTGACAATATAACAACACCTTTTATAGATCCTAAAACACAGACTATTCGACAAAATGCTTCTACTCTTCCTTTTGCTCAAAAACCAAGGACAAATCCATTTTCCAATGACAATTTCCCCTCACAACATGGAAAATAACATATAAACTTTTTCCCTTCAAGCAAAAGACACATTGAGACTCTTACTATTTATATTTGCTTCATAAAAAATGGAAATATACACTTTTGATTTTATTCAAATACATTTTCAATAAATATATACAGATTTTGTGATTTCAAAAAATGTCATTAATACTTATGTTATTATTTAATGTTGATAGATAACTATTCACTAAGAATAACATAGATTTAATACTTACTAATGACGATATTTTTTTTGTTTCAGGTAACTCAGTTAATTTTTGCCTAGTTAGAATTTAGTATATTATACAGCCATTTTTTCTACTTACTTTAGAAAAATCTAGTTCTGGATGTTGCTCCTGAAACTTTTTCAAAATCTCTTGTTTTTTCAATTCATCACTTGTGGGTTTTCCAAGTTCCTTTTGTCGCTGATCAAACTATAATTACAGATGATTAGATAAATACATGAAAGACCTTCATAAGTCTTCCATATATTCTTTTTACTCTTTTAATGCATTCTTACCATCATTTTTTCCACCATTGATCGAGTTTCCGCATCTAAATCTCCTAGTTTCGAATTTTCCGGCTGGATCTTAGACGTATCAATAGATGGATGTCCCTGGACCACTGATGACCACCACTCCATCTTATTTATCTTCTCAAGGTGTATAATAATCACTTTTTGGTTTTCTATCGATTTTTTTTAACATCATATATATATTCATCATTTCATCTACCAAGTGTCCAGGTACTTTCTTCCTGCTTTATCTCTTTAAAAAGCTCTCCTTCAATCAATGGCTCTTTGTTCTTAAGTCCAACTTTTATTAATTTTTTTTCTAGTAAAACACTAATATCTCTTCCTCGTGTTCCTAATGGTACCGGCACATGGATTTCTACCTCTCCTAACGTTTGCATCCATTCATACTCTGTTCCACTGCATAGTTCGACCTTCTGAAGAACACTAGGATTAATAAATGTCTGGTTATCCCCCATCCTTAAACTCTTTTATAAAAAATCTTTATCCGACGATCAACCGATACCGGTCAAAATTCTTTTACAATAAGAATTAACAACGGATATCTTTAGGACCCTTTTTCCTGTATTTTTTCACTTTCTAATATACCCTCCTTCTTGATATATAGAAAAACCGCCTCTTTTTTTTTTCTCAAAAATACACTCAAATACCCTCAAATACTCTCTTTGCTTCTCTTTTAGCTTATAAAACACTCTTCTACCGTCATTCTCCTCTATCATTTCATTTCTCCTCTTTCTCCTATTTTATACCATGTCCACTCATCTTGTTGAAATTACTCATATTTATACAGCAATATACACCAATATACACCAATATTCCTCTCTTATTCTTCTCTTATATAACTATTATTCGCCCCGTTATTATATCCTCTTTATATATATAAATCTATAAATCCTTTATAGGCTCATTGGACCTCTCGTCATTTCATCTCTCTATATATAATATATGTATCGACGTTCGTCGCCTGGTCATAATCAACCCCCTAATAAACGACAGCGGCCGGAATCGGTTCTTCCGGCGGATTTCTTTGATTCTGAAGAGATTCAGGAAAATACTGAATCTAATGAGGTATCTCCACCTCCATCGCCATCTTATTGGGCTCGAGAACGGCTTCTTGATGAGACATTAGAGCAAAGGGTTTATGATGAACGTGCAAAAAATCTAATAAAAAGAAGAAATGAGATTAGAAATAAGAGCATACAATTGGATGAAGAGTTAAATACGCGAAAATCTGCGGGAAAAGAGGGTTCTTTTTCATCGAATTGTGAATCAGAGAGTGATTCAGACGCGTCGGGCGGGTCTCGCGACTGGAGAAGAAGGGGACACCCCCTGGAGGGAGTGTCCCGTGAGGAGGGGACACATGTTGAGGGGTGTCCGTAAGGAAGGGACACATGGTTTGAGGGAGTGTCCCGTGAGCGGGGTTAGGGACAGCCCGATGGAAGGCGTGTCCGTAAGGAGGAATGGGACAGCCTAATGGAAAGGGTGTCCCGTAAGGAAAGAGGTATGCTTACGGGTGAGAAGAAGAAGTGGATTTAAGTATGAGAATGGGGAGAATGGAGAGGGCTGAATGTATTACTAGAGAAAATTAAAGGGTTTGTAAGGATTTATAAGGATTTATGAAGATTTATAAGGGTTTATGAAGATTTATGAGGATTTATGAGGGTTAGAATATTTAGAAATAAAGATGTTGAGAAAAAAATTTAAAGGTAGAAATAAGGGTTAGAAAGAATGTTAGAAGAGTGGAAAGGATATTTTGAATTAGGGGTTTCATTATGTCTTTATGAATGGCAAGTTCTTTCTATGGCGGTTTCATCGTGTTGGGGTGGAACGGATAGTGGAGAAAAACGAGATTGGTTATGTGGAGTTCTATGTGAATTAGTGGAGAATACGGGGTTAATTTCGGTGGAGGAGGTGGAAGGGGTTATTTTGCAAGTTATGGAGGATGAATTTAATGTAATAGTTGAGGATGGATCGGTAGAAGAGGTATCAAGGAAGATTTTAATGTTATATGAGAAATGTAGGGTAGGGGAGGTGCGAGAGATTGAGGAATGGTATGAAAGATGGAAGAAGAAGCATGTAAGACAAGGATAGAATGGTAAAGGATGTATTTTGAGAGGGGGGATGAAAGGGAGGATGAAAGGAAGGATGAAAGGGAAGGATGGAATAATGTTCAAGTCGGATTAAAAAAAAAAAGAAAATATATTCAAGTTTATCTATTTATCGTTTTTTTTGGAATATATTTTGCGAATTAGGAACGAAGAGTGAGTTGTTTGGACTTGGTATGAGATTCGTTTGTGCGAAAACCTTGTACTATAATTTTTCCGGGTTTTTCTTTAATTAACCAACCTTCTTTATTTAAAAGTTGAAGTATAAATGGTTTAATTTTAGGCTGTTTATTCTTGCTATGAAGACCAGCGCCGGTTATAATTTCTAATGGAGTGGGTATATTGGTTTGAAGTTTTTGTTCGTGGCACCACCATTGTGCAACAGCTTTTTTAACTAAAGGAGTGGCTTCGGCAACAGTTAACCCATGAAGATCGATTAGATAACTAGGAAAACTTGAAAAAAAAAATTAGGATAATCATTTGTTTCAAGGATAATATTACCTATTCTGTATCATACACATTTTAGCTCTGGTGCTCCATAATTTAACTTTGGAATTATATTCTTGAGCCTAGAAATGAATTTTATGAAAGAGAAAATGGGAAGGTACCTTTTCGGAATAATGTGTAACCATATCTCTGTAGTATCCATGTGTTTTTGCTTTTTGATAGGCTTTTGCGGCTTCTTTAAATGCATGATTTCTGTTAAAAATGAATATTGATAAATTGGCTTTACACTCCTCAAGAGTGTAGTTGGTATGTATCATATCATCGGAAGAAGGATTAAGTTTCGATTTATCATTGTCATTAATGTGATTGTGATTGTGACGTTTTGGAGAGGATGTGTTAGAATGATAAGTTTGATCTTGGTTTTTGATATATACAGGACTTCGTTGAATCGTTTTTATTACACTTATTGCTTTTGGAAGATTATTTTCCACTGAAAGTAATATTCTGCTATACATATGTTCTTCTAGAAATGGGAATTGTTTTTTCAATTCTTTTAGGTTGTTTTTATAATCATTTTGTAGCATGGCGAGCGATTCGTTGATTCTTTTTATGATGTAATCACTTGATAATAAAGTATATACAGATTTTGATAGAGAAACCGAAGATTGGTGATAAATCGATGCAGCTTGTTTCCTAGGGATATTAAAAATGTCAACGAGCCATTCGATATTCGGAATAATATCATTCCATTTTAAACCAGATTCCACATTAATATCTACCATTGATTCCCGAGGTTCATTACATTTATACCATTCATTTAACGAAATGTTTTGTATATTTTTACGTTTTTTACATTTTGTCTTTGGAATTTCAGACAAATTTTCAGAAAGCAAATCATTCAAGGACTTTTGATTCTTATCATCATCCATCATATCCAGATTTTCATTTATCACTTTCTCTAAACCATTTCCATATTCTTCCTGAATATGTTTCAAAACGTTTATATCTTGTTGAGGAAAAATCATTTGTAGAAAAGATAATGTATCATTATTAGGGGTTTTCGTCTTGGGAACAGAAAGTTTGGATTCGTCTTTAGATTGGTTGTCTTTATGATATTTCATTTTTAAAATATTTTTTTATCACTAACTCTTATGCTGGAATACTTATGCGTAAAAACCATTCTTAAATATTTAAGGAATTTTGGATAAAAAATAGTACAATAAGTAACCAAGGTATTTCTGATTATCATGCAATAGAAAGATTAAAGTTATCTTTAAATTTTAGCTTTCTTTTGTATTTTTTATCATTTTGTATACATTACATATCGGCAAGGTTAAGGAAAAAAATATTAATTTATACATGTCTGAATAGCATAAAATATTCATGATATGATATTTTTTCTATTTAACATGTATTCTACTTTTATATAAAAGAATATATTCTTATTTTTTTAAGGATATTATTACTAATTTTTAATAGAACATATTTTTTGATAAAAAAACCTTCTATTAAACTCTCAATCACTTATAATCAAATAATAAGAAGTAATATTAATTAGATTTTTAAATAGAAATAATATTTTATTTTAAATACTTAGCAGACAAGAGTTTTGTTAATATTAGTTTATGAAAATATAAACTTTTTAAGAATTCTTAACAAGATTTCTAATATCCAGAATATGCAAAGACATTTCTTGATCTTGTATTATATTTTTAATATATGTTATAATATGGTATTTTTCAAAAGAATTAATATTAATTTTTTAAAAAATGTAAATAATCTTATCTATATATTGCTAGAATCAAAAATTACAAGCTTAAAGACTATAAAGATATTATCTAACAATATTATAAGTATTACATGATCTCAATCTTGTAATATGTCTAAAAATGCAAAATAAATTATATCAAAATATCAAATAATATCAAATATTTTTAATGAAATATCATATTTACATTAATTCATTTCTACTCCTCGGAGATAAGTTTTGTTACTTTTCCAATTGCCACAGTAAGACCTTCATTACGAAGAATAAATCGACCAAGTTGTTTATATTTATCAAATGTTTCAAGACACAGAGGAGAAGCTACTTCTAACAAAGCTACAATTTTCATGCCTTTTGTTGCAAATGCAGGAGGCTTTTTACTTCGCCGATTTGTAAGCTTATCAAGTTTATAAAGCAATTTCTATAATATGTCAGCTTATATTATAAAAAGTATACTTACCAAAAAAGTAACCTCTTGAACTGCTGAATGAATATGAATAATACATGAATAACCAGCAGTAAGTAAGCTTTTAACTTCCAAAATAGCTATCTGTGCTTCAAATATTTTAGCCGTACTAACAGGACTTTCTAATGATGATAAAATATGACCCGTCATAACATCTTCTTCTTCTACTCCCTTTATTCGAAGCTTTATTTGTTCACCACAACGACCTACTCGTATTTCTTCTAATTCATTATATAATCCTACAACTTCAACAACAGTCTAAAATATTATTGAGAATTGTCTTGATATGACAAATATATACCTTGTTTGGCATAAGAATAACATTAGATCCTTTTTTAACATAACCACTTTCAATTTTTCCTTCAATAACCAAGCCCATATCCTAATAAAAATTAAGATATGATAAATATTTATATAATATAAAGACCTTATATTTCGCTTGAATAGGAATGATTAATGGAGTATTCAGTTTCCGTTCAAATGTATCCATTTCGTCTAAATATTCAAGAAGAGATGGTCCATTATACCATGGGCATATTTTTTTATCAATACGCTCTTTAATATTTATACCAGTAAATGCAGATATTGGCATAAATACAAAATCTATATATCTTAAACCCATTAAACCCCCCAAAAAAAACATATGATACCTGTCTTGGGATTATATCCCACTTCCTTTCTCAAAAACGTTGTAATCCCATTTGTACATTCATCATATCTTAAAATATTTTAGATAAATATTAATCAATAATCATTTAACCTTTCTTTTGACCATTCTACTGTAGGATCATCCATTTTATTAATTGCTACAATAAGTTTTGAGACCCCTTGTGTTTTTGAAAGCATAGCATGTTCTCTTGTTTGTCCACCTTTTTCAAATCCTGTTTCATATTCTCCCTTTCGTGCAGAAATAACAAGTACTGCCACCTCTGCTTGAGCAGTACCTTCTATCATATTCGGTACATAGGATTTATGACCAGGTGCATCAAGAACTTGAATCATTAATACATACCATGCAATTATTCATATATTACTTGTATAACGACGTTTTTCTGTTTCAAAATACGCTCTACCCAATTCAACTGTCTTTCCCTTAGATCGCTCTTCTTTTGTAGAATCCAATGCCCACGATAAATACCTTTTTCATTAAAAATATACTTAATATCCTTTTCTATCTTCATACCAACTTTCTCGGCCTGCTTCTTTTGCATCTTTTTCATATTTTTCCATGGTTCTTTTGTCTACCATTCCTGTCATATAAAGAATATTCCCTCTAAACCTCTTAAACCAATAAATAATCATATTTAAATAACTACCCAAGTGTAGATTTTCCTGCATCAACATGCCCAATAAAAACTACATTTACATGTTCTTTTCCATATATATCTTGTAAAACCTCTTCATCTATTTCTTCCTGAAATTGACTAGCAATATCAAGATCTTTACGTTCTTCATCTCCCGTCACTGAAACATGATTCTTTTCTTGTTTTGATGCTGCTAATGATAAATTTTCCATATCCATTGACGGTACCCTTTTATCCACTTTATTTACCCTATTACCATTCCTTCCAACAACCGATCCGTCTAATCCAGATACTTTAGGTGCATCATCTACCCTTATTACCTTAGCAGATGTACGCTGTCCACTTGTTGCTGACCCTTTGGATTCTGGTGTGGCTTCAAATTTCAAAAAAAAAATACATAAAAAAAAGAATTCCTATACTCATCCCCTTCTCAATGCCACGAATATTCATTCCTTGCCTTGAATAATCCCTATTACATGGCTCATATTTTCGATCATCATATCTCTGGTTATAGCCCATAAAGTGCCCATATGGCATATTGTTCGCATCGCAATTCATAGTACAATCTAAAAAAAAGATAAAAAAACTCTTATTTCCCCATTTTCATGACCCTGTGGCCCATAATACATGTTTCTAGGTCGGAATTCTTCTGCCTCTGCAGACATCCGTAATTGTCCAATTTTTCGCGGAATTTCTTCAAGATCTATCTTATCCTCCCAAGTACCTTCTTTATCACTGTTATTTGCCTCTGAATTCATGCTTAATATCTCTTTAAATCTATATTATTTATTTCTCAATAAAAAACTCTATTTTTCGTCAAAAAAAAGCCCGGAAAAAAGGATCTAAATATATCAGTAAAGAATATTCTATTTATCATATTTTGGACCTGTTTTAGCGCCTTTAAAGCCCTTTTTATAGGTAATTGAGGCCAGCTAAGAGATAAGGAAAATTTTGGTGTGGTGCGTGGGACTAGGCTGATCGATATTCCAACGTCAAAATAAATAAGGTTGGAAAAAAAAAATAAAATGACAGGTTAAACTTAAGAAAAACAGGTAAATAAATACGCAGAATGAACCGGGCTAATATTTTTAGTAGATATTGTTTTTTTTCCGGGCGAAAAAGGCTTAAAAATGGATGATTTTTTGGCAAAGTTTAATATAAACAAAGATGAGACTTAGATTGACCTTAATAGAGTCTCTATTGCAGCGGCAACCTTTGCAATACGTAGCGGAGTAAGTATTGCAGGTGGTATTGCGCTTCGCCAGGTTTCTAGGTACATTAAGGACATGCCATCTCAGTCCCAGCGTCAGATGTTAGATTCATTAAAAAAGCAGCTTGAACAAAAGATACGGGTAGATATATGATGCCTATAGATTTGTATTGATCGTATGAAAGATTGTTACGCCGGCGATTGATTTGATAGAGATTATGTATTTTTTTTTTTGGTGAAGAAGACCATATATAATGGGATAATAGATCAGCTAGAGGAAATACAAGTCTTGGGAGTACGGTTCATCTAACGAACTCACTTCGTAGAGATATAAATGCATTTGCAAAACGTGTGAGTGATGCGGCAGATGAGCAAGAAATCTCAAAACATATTAATAAGAATAATATGGGAGTTATTATGGCAGATATGAAAAACCTTTTATCAAGGATTGAGGATGTAGGTATGAGGGTAAAATGATGTAGTTTGATGAGATTTAGGCGGTTCCTCTTATATCTCTTGCGTTGACAACATCAGGAGCAAATATATCATCATCATTGCCAAATACAGTTTCACCATCTCGACTGTTACAGGCATCATCATTCCTTATATCAGCAGATTCATTATTTTGTAAGACGCCGACACTTAAGTTTCAACAGGTTGGACCTGTTTTTGTATTGAAACTTTATACAATATTCTCAGGAAGTGCTAGAATAGCACATATGATCTCAACAAGTGATATAACATGGAAAGAGGAGCATGCTAAATGTTTAGTATCAATTATTAGGGTAGATTTAAATGATTCAATGGAATCAAAGGGAGATCTGGCTCGTAAGAGGGTAAATGAATATGCATATGAATTACAAGTGATTGAAGACTTAAATGATGGAAGATATCATGAGGAAATAGAGAAAAAAAGTATGAAAAAAAGCAAGAATGGGCACATACATGGTTCTAGAAGGAATATACCGATTCATTTGATTTCAAGGCTTTTTTTTAGTGCATCAGGAAGACTTCTTAATATTGAAGAAGCAAAAACACCTGTTCTTGTTCTAAAACTCAACCATGCACTCTCACCTCCAAGAAAATTATTAGAATCAATTAGGGATGATGATACAGAAGATTCTGAAACTCAAGAAAATGTTGATGAAGAATCATTTTATGATAAAATTAATGATCCAGAAAATATAGAATGGATTGCATTTGAAATTTGGAATGATGATATGGATGATGAAGAGGAAAGTCAAGATAATACAAGCAGTAATACAAGTGATGTCAGTGAAAGCTCAAGTGATAATGATAATTGTGATAATATATATGAAAATGTAAATAATGGAGACAATTGCAATAATGATAAGGGATATTTAAAGAATATGTCATCTTCTGATAATCAGAAAGCATCTAAAGAAATTACGAATGATGGAAATAAGGTTTTAAAGTCAGAAAAGCAAGTAGATGAATTTTCAGCAGCATTGAAAGCATTAGACATTAATGTTGAAACTACAGATGAAATTTTAGAGCTACAAAAAGGCTCCAATACCAATTTAGAAACATTGTCACTTCTTGAATATATCATTAGATTGACGGCATTGCAAACATCTGAACAAACATCTTTACTTTCTGTTACTGATGAAAGAATATCCTTATTTTTGAGAGATGATAGTCATAATTCTCGAACAAGAGAACGAACAGGAGCTTTAGAATATGGAGAGACACCTCGCAGTTCACCTTCATCAATAAAACTTGAGAAAGATAGTATAAAATCTCAAGAAAATCGTAGAATTAGAAAAGATTTACTTCTTAACAGTCGCAATTCCCCAAGAAGTCCTCTTTCATTAGGCTAGACTTAAGAACTATAATGCTTAAGATGTTTTAAACAAATCAGAGCAATTAACAATGCAAAAAGATATAGCTTATAAAAAATTAATGGCAAACTATTTCTAATATGATACACATTATAGAATAATTCTACACAATTAACATATTATTCAAATTAAATTATAAATTGAACTCTAATGAGATTATATCATAAATAGTTCTAACATATATACATGTCTATGTTCAAAAATTCATATAAATAAGATATTTCAGGTTTTTATTTACAAAATAAATATATAGGATTTTTATTGCTTATAAATATAATAGTATCCCTAGAATAAATAATATTAATTATCTAGTTGCATCTTTTAATATAACAAAAAATTTAAAAATAGAAGAAATCATTATTTTTATGTATTTAGCTTCCTCTTTTTAGAATAGAAAATCAGATATCATTAGAAAAATTCTGGATATTTTCAGGCCTATAAACAGTATTTATTTTAAAAAAATCATTGGTATCTAATAACATATTAGAATATATTTTTAGAAAAAAACCTTGTTAATACATATATTTAAATCGGGCATCTTACTCAAAAACTTTCATTTAGGGTTGGTATATAAGCCCAATAATAATTTTCTATCCATTGACATAGTTTGTAATACATTTTGAGGAATATTATTAGTATTAATATGACAATTTGAAGATTCGCATGTAGAATCAAATAAATAGTCAAACCCAACTTTAGATAATAAATATGGGTAAGATATATCCAAAATTTCAGAATTAAAATTCCGATAATCATTTGATATCATTATTTGAGGATCTGTAAGTAGTTCAGGAATTTTAGTGTTATCATTATTTTGCATTTTCAAATACTGATCACATCCAACAAATTCAGATGTAAAGACCCGAGAATCTATACCTATGTCTGATCTCATATACGGATAAATGGGTACACTATCAAAATGTGTATACGCAGATTTATCACATGTTTGATAAAAATTCATTTGATCTAGAACAAAAATAAAATTAAAATTAATTTCTTCAATAACAAGGGGATAAAAACAATTACACATATATTGAGGATATTCATGAATCATTTCAGTAGGCTTCAATTCAGAACCCAAATTTTGAGAACAAAATACTGAATCTGAATCATATAAACCATTCGGCTCAAATCTTGCTTCCTGAGCTTTTATATCTATATTACTTGGTGTTTTGGGCACTTCAGGCAGATGAATCCATTGCAGAGAATTGTTTAATGTATTATAATCCGTTGGAAACGAATAAATTTGCACTGAATTCCTGATCCCTTGATCTTTTTCAATATCACAAAATCCCCTCTCATTCTTCATCATTGGTGATATCTTTTTCCTATCTAATCCTTATTAATCATGTATTTTTTATCTTGAAAAATTTCACTTTTTTTTGACATTTTAAGTGCCATTTTTTCAACATCTAATGAAACAAATGATTCCCCTAATTCATGATGACATATACATCTCGTTTTAGACCCTTTTTTCGTGCGCTCTGTCGGCATCTGTACACATTGAGATACCGGTCTTCCCTTACGTTTGATCTCAAAAAGCTGCCGATTTTCATGATCGCACAAAGACGATCGATGTCCTCTGATACAACTAGAGCTATATATACTATTAATACCTAGTTTTCTCCTCTTTTCTCCTGCTACTGACCATGCATATTTAATATCATTAATATACACCATACTAAGTCAAAATTAGTCCTTTTTCAACGCAAAAAAAAGGAAAAAAATCCTTAAATACAACTTAACTTACTTTTTTTAATCTAAAATACTTGTTTCCTGTGAAATTGACCACTTTTAGGTGCCTCTAGAAAGTACTTGATAATCTTGAATTTTTCTGACGTCGATCTCAGGTAAATTAGGTAAAAATTGCTCAGAAAATCCTGAAAATATAAAGTTTCAAGAACATCCAATATTTCCTATGAAATGTTTGTAGGAAAATCTATGGATTGATATTTTGTGTTTAGTTTTGTATTTTTTAAGTAAAAGAAAAAAGTTGTATTGAAGATGATTAAGTTATGAAAGATATAAAATTCTATGAAAATTTGGAAAGAATATGATTTAAAATAGTGTTTTTTTAGTTAAATTTTGAGAAGAATTGATGTTTTTTTGGTTGAGAATGAAATATCGGCCTTTTTACATGATCTGACAAGAATTGAGAAAATATATACAAGATAAAGAGAAAAATAAGATTTTAACAGAATATTTTTGAGTATTAGATGTAGTAATGAGTGTTTTTTTGGGGATATTTTGGTCATGAGGGGATTAAATATGAAAAACGTCAACTTGCAAGCTTTTTTTGAAATTGAAGAGAATAAAAAGGCAATTATTAAAAACAAAGGAGATAATAGTAATTAAATAATGGATATTAATAGGTATTTTAAATAAAAAAGGTGTTTTATGTATTTTTTTTTACATGGAAAATCTATAATATATAAATGTAGTTATAAGTCTGATCGTCGAGCGTTGGATCTGACGACGACCAAAATTTTTTGAGAGAAATTCTGGACAAAAAAGCGAGAAAAACGAGGGAAATCAGTAGAAAACCCGATGAAATCTTTGTTCCAATGATTTATATGAGTATTTTACTAGTTTATTTGTTTTTGAACGGTTAAAAATGGAGTATTTTTGACAGAAAAGTAAAAAAAGAGGAAAAAGAAGGGAAAACAGAGGAAAATAGGATGATATATATTAGAATTGTATATGAAATTATGCATTTATTAAGTATATTTTTTTTTGGACTTTAAAAGGGTTTATTTGGATTTTTGAGTTATATATCCTATAAATATTGGTTTTTTTTTATATAAAAGTCGAAGAAACGACTGTTTTTATGCGATAGAAGGCTATGAATATGGGGTAGAAGACGAGATTTTGGCTAGATTTTATAATTTTAGCTATACAAACAAAATTCGGGAAATAGGTGCCTAATATCTTTAAAAAATATGAGTATTCATATAGGAATTTCGGTGATATTTCAACATTATTTCCTCTGAAAAATTATGCAAAGTTATTTTTTATTGCATGTCTGTATAATAAGAAAAATATCGAGACTCGATAAAAATTATTTGAAAATTATGATATATAAAGTTTAGGAAGTATATTTGTAGAAATGTCACTTAATACATAGTTACATTCTACTTTTATTTCTTTCTATACCAAAACTTAAAAAACAATACTTTGAAAAAGTTGTATTGGATCTATATTTTCAAGGGAATTTTGTATTTAACTATATTAGGGATTGTCAATTGCATTATGATATTATGTCGAAAAAAGAAAACAAGAATTAATAGAACGTAAATTGATGGTTTTGATTTATCGTTGCATCGAGACTAATATTATAACATCTTGTTTAAAAAGAAATTACTATAAAAATAAGTAATTATCACTTATTTCTTGCAAAAAGGATATTTGGGATTTTAATTAGAAAATTATGATATATTTTTACTATCAAACAATAAAAAATAAAAATTTGGATTATCTAATATATCTTTGTCTATTAAAAATGTTTAGACGATAGATAGTATCAGATATGTTGCTAGTCTTTATGGTTATCAAGACAAAGAATGCGATTAGTTTAATTTTATTAAAAAATTCTCTTAATTTTTTACCGTTGAAGACAATAAGGAATATCTTAATTTAAAAAACCAAGGGTCAGAAAATAATAAAACCAAAAATATAGGAAATCATGATTCAAACGTTGACTAGATTCATTAATATTTATTCTAGATATTTCAATATTATTTGGAATCAAGGGTCAGAGTATAGATATAATTATCTATAAGAATACACTAGTATAAAAAAAAAAGATGAAACGAGCATGTTTTCTTTAACTATTAGAAAAAGTCTATTTTTTTCGAAACTTCAAAATATTTTCTTACAAAGTGGTTAAAAGACAGGGTATATATATAGATAATTGTATTTTGAAACCTATTCTAGTTGAATCATTTGATTTTATTCGATTGCCTATGCAATTCAGACGATTCATTTATCATTTTGTTCATTTTAGACTTTCAGATCATCTTTTCTTTATCAGCAAGTTCTTTTAAGTAATTTTATGTATAATTACATATTTTTAAGGATCAAATTATGTCAAAATATGAAAATAAACTATATCAACATAATTATTTATTGCCAACTTCTAAACATAAGTTGAAACTTAAAATAGAATATCTTTTGCTATTCGAATATTATGGTATTTAATTTAAAGACATTGAATGTTTATTTTATTCAGTTTATTTTTTTGTAATTTGACATTTTTTTAGATATTAGTTTATTTATGCCAATTATACATAAATATCTACAACTAATCACATTATTCTTATATAATTTAAACATCAGGGCTTTCTAAAAAACAAATGTACTCCAATAGAAAGAACAAGAGTTCCGAACACAGTAGTCGCTAGTAAAAAGGCTATATTTGAGGTTTCGCCTTCTGTTTTTTTCCTAGTTTTTTCAATTATAGAAATACTTTTTATTTATACAAACCTGGGTGTAGCAGAATATGGAGCTTGTGCTGCTTCAACTAACTGTATTGATGAATTCATTTCTTTAGATTTATAATAGAGTTATACCTGTACAAATAAATCAGATGTTGACATCCATGGTATGCTAACATGAATTGGAGATCGAAGACATTGAGCTTGAGTATACTGATCTGGCTGAATATCACATCTCTATTCTTATTTTAAAAATAAAAACCAATAATTAAAATATTAAACCTGCTGTTGGCGATCAAGATCTGCTTTTGTAGCTACATAGATGCATGGAATCGAATTTATTTCTGGATATTTTTCCTTTTAAAGTTAATCAATATTAATAACATATAAGAGTCAAACATTTAATTTTAACAAATAGCCAAAGCTCTCAGGATCTGATGAATCATAAGTTAAGCATAATACATCACATGAATCTAATTTTTTTGGATTACTTAAAACGCTGCTTTCATCATCTGTTAGTTCTTCAAGCTTATATGTTTTAGTTTTTATTTGCATGATTCATCTTTCTTACCACAAGATATCGTTGAATACTTTGAATTTCAACACTGTTCACAACTATTCTATGACCTTTTGTAGGAGTATATTTCGGATTATAAGGAGTATTTATAAATGAGTCTAACAGGCAGCTTTTCCCTGATTTTCTTTTTCCAACAACATAACACAAAAAAACATTTCTATTCACTTTAACAAGCTTCTTTCCTCTTTTTCGAGGTTTTGTTAAATGCAATGCATCAATTGTTCCTTCTTTTCCTGGCGATTCAAAACCTAGATATGCAAGATATGCAAGAGTTGTTGGATAACTTAAAAGGGTCGTCATACTCCATTGAGCAAGCCATCCATTATATGTAACATATCCCATCTCATTTCTAACAGTAGAATCTGGGAACGATGAAAGAACCCATAGCTCTGGAAGTCCAGGTGTAGATACAAATAAAGCGTTCAATTCATCTGAATTTAAAGCACCATCATTATCTTTGTCCATTAATGAAAAATAATCAACCAAAAAACGATATCCTAAAGGACTAAGCTCTACACTTTGATCAGATCTAACTTCGACTCTTTTTTTTTTATTAATCAATAATAATAATCAGAATTCTTATACTTAGGATTAAGAAAATCATCTTTCAGACTTAAACTATCTGTATATTTAAAAGATCTTAAAATTTGCCAGGTAGTCTCGTGTCTTCCCTTCACTGAAAAAAGCTTATTCAACACCAAAAATCCTGTTTCTGTTAAACCATTATTTCTTATTGCTTCAGAAGACAGTTTTGAAACAGAAAACTTAATATCATGGAAATCTGATTGTGTCATTGGCTTTTCAAAACATCTTCTTTGTAAAGAATCCAGCTCTTCATCATTCAATATACCATCATGATCTTTATCAGATAAAACTACATTTCAATATTAGCAATTGTTATATCTATCTATCTATAACTTACAAAATATCCTCTTCAAAGCAACTATAGCTGCTGGTTTCAACTCCTAATAATAACATAAATATAAAACAAAAATATCTTATCCATACTTGTTCTTTTACATTAAATAGTGGTGCTATAGGATGTGTAACCGCTCGTTGACATAGATAAAACACCTTATAATTAAACAAAAACATATGAAAACATATAAAAAAACCTCATTCACATTCTTATGGGTCTTTCCACTTGATCTACTACTTTTATAACCTTACAAATAGATTATTCACCAACCAACCTGATACAACTTTCAACTTCCTAACATATAAGTAATCTCTTTTAAAAAAAAAAATACATAAATTCACCTTGAATTCCCTCATAATAGGAAGCATCTCTTCCTCGATAACCTGGCATCCTTCTTTATCCAGATTATCACATTTATTAGCACAAAGTACAACTGGCAGCTAAATATATTAACTCACATTTATACATGAATAATTATCACATTAACACCAAGTGATCTAAAAAATGGCAGCCAAAATAATGAAATACGTTCTTCGCTATAACTATCTGCATAGACTAGACAAATCACATTTGCTTTACGTAGTTCCTTTATAAGTACTGGTCGATCCACTGGGTCTGAAGATGTATCAACAATGATCGTATTAGTATTACTGTATATATCAGGGACACTGATAGGCGGTATAACGTATTTAAAGTCAAATTAGGTTCCATCATATATATATGGTCTTATCTTCTGGATATAAGAGACATTTGTCTCCTATAAAACGTAAGAAAAGCGGGAAAAAAGGCACGAAACGCCTTGTAACCTTTACGAGAGACGTAATTAAGCTTGATTTTCCTACATGGTTATCTCCTACGACGACAATTCTAATATTAGACATAATTGAGAATATTTTTAGCTATTTTTCTCAAAAATAAGCCGTTTTTTTTCGTTCTTTTTGCAATATATAGGTTTTCAGATGATTAGAATTGTATTCTACAAAAAACAGGCGAGTTTTCCGGTTATTTTTGGCCAAAATACATTTTTTCAAAAAAAATGAGGTTAGATGTAGATCGATTTCGAGAGACAAAGGTTAATCAGCAAGGTAAGAAGAAATAGGTAAAAAGAGTATTTTTTGACGAGAAAATAGATAAATAATAAGAATCGGCGGGTAAAAGTGTCCTATAGACGTTTTTTCCGGGTTTTTTTTTGAGCTCATAGGACTGAGATCTAGTTAAAACTAAAAATATATGAATAACTCTATAATAACGGGGGAAAAGGCGTTTTTAAGGCTTTAAAATACTAAATATTGATTTTAAATAAAAGGACTATTTCATTGTTACTTTTTTTTCTGGAAAAAAACCATTAAATTTGGAGATATTACTGAAGATTTTATATTTCATCTTTTAAATCTATGACAATGGACGTTACAGAGCCATTAATAGAACAGGAACATCAATTTTCATTAGTAGAAGGTGTATACAAACTGAGAAAGCAGTTTGTTTTACATTCTATTACATATTCTTTAAAAAATGCTGATACAGATCCTTTATCAGTTGATATAAATCCTATAACAAATAAAATAGAGATCAGCATAGTAGATATTAAGCAGGATAAGTGTCCATTGAAAATAAAACAGTTATTTGAAGATAAAAATTTATTAATTCAGGATGAAGTATCATTGGATCAAATAAATGATATAGAAACATTTGTATCATCAGATGATACAGATCTAATGAAAGATATATTACTAGAATCAAAGAACATGGATGAATACAGCCTTTTATCAGCAAATTTATCTTCTAATCAAATATCTTTTACAGGAAATGTTTCAGAAACATCAAAAGATAATAATACTATGAAATCATATAATCCACTTAATCTAAAAAGTCTAAGTCTTCCTTCAAAGAAGCTTAAACCAAAAAACAGTATATTAAAAACGAGTTCATCATTTATTTCAAGAATTATTTTACATGATGACATGATCAAATGTGTAGCTTCTAAAACATCAGATATTATTTATATTTTCTCAAATGTAGAGAAGGTTTTTAATTGGATTGGGATATTTCCTGATGCCAAGGTATATATGAAACCTAAGAAGTTTATATTCTAAGGCAATTACCAGGAAGAATTTATTTCAAAGATTATTTTTTCAAAAGCACATATTACATGTCATGATGCAAATCAATTTACAAAGAGTATCAATCAAATTGACACTGTATTTGGCTTTTCAACATCAGATATTATTTGGTTTGATCCAATTAGTACAAAATATACACATTTAAATAAACAAGTAATTCTATAAGATTCAATAAAATTAATTAATCAATCAATCAATCAATTAATTAATCAATAGGGTATTGTCAATTCATCGCCTGTCAATTGCATCAAATGGATACCTAGAACTGAAAATCTTTTTATAGTTGCTCATAATGATGGTTCATTAATTATATATAATAAAGAAAAAGAGAAATGTTTTTTTGCACAAGATGACAATTGCATGGAAAGATCAGATTCATCTGAATTTAAAGTACTTAAATCATTATCTGATACAGAAAATCAAAGACATAACCCAATTTCTTATTGGCAATTTTATAAACATTCACCAACATGTAATTATTATAACAATATTCTATTATTTATGGCTAATATTCTCAGCTCTTGCTTTTTCTCCTGTTTCTTGTCATATTGCTGTTGTATTTTCTAATGGTACACTAAAACTAATAGACTATAAGAATGAAAAGTATTACAATTCTTTTAAATTAATAATATTTATCAAATACTAGGCATATTGACACCTATAATAGCTGGTATGGTGGTCTGATTTGTGTATCTTGGTCTCCAAATGGACAATATATATTGGTAAGTTTATCATTTAGAAAATGATAAATTTAAGGCTTTTATAGACAGGAGGAGAAGATGATTTAGTTACTGTATGGTCATTTCTAGATAGAAAAATTGTTTATCGCTGTCAAGGCCATCAATCTTGGGTGACTGGTGTATCATTTGATCCATGGAGATGTAATAAAAACCATTACAGATTTGGAAGCGTTGGAGAAGACGGTAGATTATTATTATGGGAATTTGATGCTGATTCTCTTGATAAAACTAAGGATGTATGTATTTTTTCCTTATTTCTTTAATATATATATATAGTTTGATCAATCCAATGGACATTCTCCCCTCAAAAACAATCATAAAACTATCACAACACCTTTTCTTGACACTAAAACACAAAAGGATTCTTTAAATACCTCTTCTGAACCTCTATATCATGCACCAATGTCATATGCATCTGTATCTATTCTTTCACCTATCATGGTTGCTATAATATTACTAAAATACTTCAACTAATACATCCAGTCTAAAATAATAAGCGATCAATCACTGTCTGGCCTTGTATTTTGCCAAAACTTTATAGTTATTTCTGGAAAAAAAGGTAAATATCTTTTTTCTCAAATTTTATCATTTTTATTCAATTTTTCTTAGATTTCATTCAAATATGGGATAGACCATAATATTCACCATGTAAATCTCTATCTATACATGCTTTTTCTTCTTCAAAACTATGCTTCATTCATTAGTATCTTCATTTTTTACTTATTTTTTATGAAAAATTTCAAATTTGGGGATAAAAATTCATTTTTCTGGACAAAAAAAACAACATAATATTGAAAACTCTTTCTATCTACAATATTAAAAAACTTTCACTTTGATTTCATCTTTCTTTTTCAACATAATTGGACAAATATACATCACTCTTTGCAAATCACTTATCATACTCAAAAAACTCTTTTAAACACTTTTATATACTATCTCTTATCTATAAATACAGCAATCATACATATTTATTATCATCATATAATAACTTATGGCATCTAAAATTTTATATGATATTTAAGGGCTAGAAAGCGTAAAAAAAAAGGTTTTTATCCGATAAAAGGCTACATATTCATAGAAATAAGCAATATCTTATCGGGAATTAAGTTCTATCACTGGGAGAATATGTATTTGTCTTTTTTTCCTGAAAAAACTAACAAAAAACACAGATTTTACAGATTTTTTAAGTTTAAGCTCATTAAAAGATGAATATCTCTGGAAAATTACAAAATACAATCTCTTTATTTGATATAAGGTGATTATGATGCATAAAAAGTGGTTTTTATTGGGTATTTATTGGTTAATATAAGGCTACAAACACCTCTTCCATATATTATTATATTACGTGGGAATAATACAGAGGCAGAAGGTGTTACAGTGAATGGCAGCGTTGTATTATCTATAAATGACTCTATTTCTGTTAAATCTATTATATTTCGTTTTTATGGAGTGAATAAAGTCAAGTATAATCTTTATGATGAAATTTTTTGGGTATTTAAAGGGATTAGATGGACAGAAATGGTGATGTCATCAGCAAGAATGCCGGTAGAACGTAATCAGAAGCAAAAATCTCTTGTTTTTGAGAAGGAAATTTCTCTTTTCCCGATTAATGGGACAAAAACTATTGGAAAAGGTATTTTTATTAATATTTAGAAGGATTTAGCTTATATATGATCTAGGGAATCATGAATTTCCCTTTGAAATTCATATTCCTGGGGGTTTTTGTGTATTTTTTTTTATAGACCATATGATTGATGTATAAATAGATATTCCAGAGTCAGTTGGGCCTTATGAACAAGGAGATTCTATGGGATTTCTTGTCTATAAGATGAAAGTCACAATAGAAAGACCTGTATTTCTTTCAAATATTGTTTATAGAAAAGTATTATCTATAAATGATATGTTTTGCAACTAACGAATTGAAGCATGTTCATATTATACGTACTTTACCGCCTTTTTCACTAGATTCTATTCATGCAATGGTATATTATAAAGAAAGGAAATGGAATGAATATATTTATTTAACTTATATTAGTATGTTGAAGATACATGGCTAAACAAAATTGAATATAACATTAATATTCCTACAAAAGCCTGTGAAGTAGGCAGTATAATTCCTATTGATATGCGGTTTGTACCTTTGATAAAAAACCTTAGGATCTTAAAGATTACATGTTCTTTAAGGGAATATATTACTTTAAAAATTACATCTGGATATCATGGTATGCCATCAAAATATGAAATTACTCGTCAGATTTCAGTTTGTAAGATTAAAAATGTACCAAAAAACAATGACGAATGGAAATTGCAAAAAGATATAGCTATACCAAGTTCATTATCATCATGTATTCAAAATTGTGATGTTAAACATATTAAAGTGAGACATAAGTAAGTCTTTTTTTGATTCTTGTATATTATTTTATATATATTTTTAGATTGAAAATTATAGTTACCCTTATTAATCCAGATGGTCATATTTCTGAGGTATTATATTGACAATTAATGAAACAATTACTTATTTTTATAGCTTCGTGTTTCTTTACCTATCATTATTCTTATACCACCCGCCTTGCTTATTAATAATGATTATTATGTATATCTATCTACACTAGAACTTCAACTTCCAAGCTATGATAAGCATATTTATGATCGTATTTGGGATGGAGTTTCTTCTATACATAGAAATCAATCTATTTCTCATGAAACAACAACACCATTACATATTACAAACAATTCAACATATTCTCATTATGCAAATCCTACAGGATCTTCGTCTAATGATTCTGAAAGACAGCCATATGTTGAAGAATTGCAAAATACTACTCAGGATCAAGAAAATGATCATAATCAAGCCAATAATCATTCAAGTCAATATTTAACACCTTCTAACACATCAGGTATAATTCCACCTAGTGATTCAACTAATCAGGCATCGTTACATGAATCTGAAGTTCATCATGATCTTTCTAGACCATTTTCTCCAGAAATTAATGGTCATTCTTTAAATACAATTACTCAATCTGATATTCAACAAACATCTCAACAAGAGGAAAATACTTTTGTCAATAATCTTTCTCAAGTTCCATCTTATTATGTTGCAAATCATCATGTTTCTATCATTGCTACACCTATTAGTCAGTCTCTTCCTACTTATGAAGCGTCTGTCTCTAATCCACAAGAAAATATCAATCAAACATCAACAAGACAGCCTAAACAAACACTACGTCATCGTTTATTTCCTTTCAAACTTCATGCTAATAGATTTTTCAAAGTTCTTTTTATTCAACATCGAACATAAGCTCTTTAAGTGACTTGATCAGCCATGTAATTTCATATATATACTGGATCTATCTATAATTATGTCTTCTATATATTATTTATAAAAACTTATATATATTATCTTATCTGTACAAACTGGATCTATGGTATTATCGTTATCAAGATTATCTCAAGTATGATAGTGAATATTATTAATTGCAGAACCCGGCATGTTTTATACTTTATTTCATATGCAAAACGATGTTTCTCTACAAACAAGTGGTTTTCCTTGTATGGACAGCCTATTTATACAACTCATCCGCATCTTGTTAAGCCTGCTGAATGTTGGTCAAAATTTAATATATATATATATCAGTTTAAACTGATTTTTTAAGTAACTCCTGGTATTACTGTAGCCGAATATGCTGCTCGTCGCTCTCAACTTGCTGCTGCTTTACCTGCTCATAGTCTTACTATATTGATAGGTGCACAAATAATGTATAAAACTGCATCCACATTGTAGGAAAAAACCAGAGATCTGACAGTTTAATACATTATTAGTATTTTCTAATGATTATAGCTATGTTTTTCATCAATATCCCAATTTTTTCTATTTAACAGGTATATCAAACCATTTTTGAGATTTTATTAAGGCTAGAAGGAGTAAATGAGCCTTATTCTATATTTGCAATGGGTATTATATTGAGATATCCATTTTTTCGACTTATCTATTGTAGAAAGAGATAATAGTTCTGATGGATTTAAATCATATCTTTTTTTACGCAATAAAGATCCAGAAGAAGAACGTTGGGAAGGTCCACGTACTGGCATTGAAGAAGCAAAGGATATTTTTCATATTGACGAAGTCAAATCATCCTTTTTTCCTGTAAAAAAGTAGTTTATATTGTTCAGGTATATGATCTTCAAGAAGCACAAGATATCTTAGGCAAATCTATTCGTCGAATAAGACAGATCTATGCAGACATCCCATTTAATGCAAATATCTCATCAATCCATCCTAAATCAAAAGCATCTGATATATTAGACAGTCTTTGTAAATGTCTTTTATCCCATCCAATTTTACCAATAACTCCATGGATTCATCAATTACGAGAAATCAAAAGTGAAGCTGAACTAAATCTTATGGAACAAGCGGCATCTCGTTCTGCTGCTGCCTTTAACTCTACCATGCAAACCCCATCAGAAACAGAGGGTTTGTTATGGGCCAAATTATCATATGAATTCAAAAAGAGGGATTGTGATGAAGCTTATGTTCCTGTAATTGCAGGCGGCACAGTAAATTGACAAAAGATATATGTTAAATATGTTGATGCCATTTAGAATGCATTAATTATTCATTATACAATGAATAACATGCAATTACGGTAAACCTAAGTCATAGAACAAACCAGTTAACTAATACAGCCAAGTAATGGTGATCTTGTCCTTGTAGATGCAGGTGGTGTAAGTATTATTGAGTATTAAGACTGTTTTTAAATCATCCTTATAGGAATACGGAAATTATGTGACAGATATCACTCGAACATGGCCAGTTAATGGAGTTTTTTCGCCACAACAAAGAGATCTTTATCAGGCAGTATTAAATGTACAAAAAGCCTGTATCCAGTTATGTTCAGAAAGACATGCCTTATCCTTAGATATGATACACCAACATAGTGTTGAATTATTGAAAACAGAATTAAAACAATTAGGTTTTAATATTTCATATTCAGTATACCACTTTAATATATTTATTGTATAACTGACTAATACAAGGATCTATATAATATATTGTATCCTCATTACATAGGCCATCATATAGGTATCTAATTTATTATATGTATAGATACAGATATAACTACTATTAATTAATTTAGGACTAGATATACATGATTGCTCAAAACTACCTGGAAGAAGACTTTTAAAAAATAATCAAACGGTTATTTTTCATACCATTTTAAAGAATACTATCTAACCCTCCAAGATTGCTATAGAACCTGGCTTATACATACCAGATTTGCCCAGATTTCCAAAACATTTTAGAGGACTTGGAGTTAGGATTGAAGACAGTATACGAGTAGGCAAAGAAAATCCAACCGTACTAAGTAAAGATGCTGTAAAAGAAATCGTAGATATTGAAAAAATATGCGATAAATACAAGCAGAAAAATGATTAAATATGACATATTAACGCCTTCTTTTGCATTTGATATACTTATATATATATATATATTATATGTAAATGTATATTTTATTATATTGAAATACGAATTTTATTCATTTCCAATATCAGACCCAATTTATCAGTAATTTCGGAGCTTTGCAATCTAATAGGTTTCATATTCCTTAAAAGTTCTTTATTTTCTTCGTTATCTTCAAGCACATTTCTCAAGCAAAATATAGCATACTCTTTTAAATCTTTTATATAATGTTAGTCAAAGAAAAATAATAAAAGATAATACAAGGATTTTCATCATCAATTCTGCATTGAGACAATATCAATTCCAGTCCATGTAACTCTCGTATATCATCCTGAACTTTCTTGTTTTTAAAACATAACGTAGATAATAATTGTATAATATCCCTTTTGAAATATGGAAATGTAATTTTATTAGAGTCATTGTTTAAAGTTTTACTTGTTTTATTTTGTGATATACTATAATCATGTATGGATTGTAAAAGGTCTAAATTAAATATAAGAACAAAATAATTTAATATGCTAAACACTAACTTATTAAATTTTTTAATAAATCATTTTTCAAAAGCAATTGCTTTGTTTTAAAATTCTTTGACACATGAAAAGCACATGAAATCAATATTTCAGTGGCTTTTAATATTTTTTGATTTTCTGCAAATATTTGATTGCCATCAGATACCTGTGTTTTTACTATTTCAACCATTGATATACATGATAAATTTAACATAGATTCTATAAATTTGCACAATTTTTCGGATATAATTTCTTGATCGGTATAATTAGAAAGAAATGTATTCAAAAATTTCATGAAAACCAATTGGGAATCATTCATTTGAACTCCAGGTCTGAATTTAACTTGATCAAACAAACATACATTAAAATAGTTTATATTTACTTATTCATAAAGATAAACCATTCGTCTACCTTATCCTTTTGTATAAATGAAAAAAATAAGGTTTGTCTAAAGATTTAATAAGCTTAAAAATAATGTCCAGATTTCACAAAACATACAGTAATTCAAAATTATTAGACATTTCATCCATGTACATTTTTTCTGATAAAGAACAAAATAAAATCATCATTTCTCTTGCCATATCATTGTTAAACAAAATATCACTGAAAAAGCTTTTAATTATAGTCTATTTCCCTTTTTTTTCCCGTTACCAAACAAAAGAATTATCTTTAAATAAATCGTTCAAAAAGATTAACAAAGCATTCATCTCTTTTCCATGACTTTCAAGACAAAACCACCTAGAAAAAACATACAACATTAAACAAAAGGAAATAAACAGACAAATAAAATACTCAAGACTCTCCAAATCAAAGTTCTTAAACAATGCAACAAGAAACATGCTCCTTTCAACACAATTCAAAAAAATTAGATCATCCAACACTGATAAAGATCGAAAAATGCATGTTTCAAGACAAGAAAGCGTTTTCGCCTCATCATCATTCACATTTGTTTCTTCATTAACCCCTTTAAAAACATCAATATGCAAACGAATAGCCCTCCTCAATATCCGACAAACTTCAGACGCCTTATAAAAAATACTGACTCTTGTTAAACCCCATTTATTATATAAAAATATTATAAAATATACCATGTACGTGCATTTCCTGCCAAATTTAACCCATACAAAAAAACATTGTCCTCATAATAAATCGGATCAAAACAAATAGATATATGATTAAGGCGTGCACATATATCAAGACGCCTATATAGCTCAATTATCTCCTCTGAAATCGTCTCCAATATAGCCTCTTCATCTTGCTTATCTGGTATACTAAACGTTCAGCATAGAATATCAACTAATAGAGAATACCCACCTATATTTTGGATACGTCCGGTTACATAGTTTTTGTGAGCTTTTGGAGGCAAACCTCCTGTATTTATACATTTTCCTGATCAAAAGAAATCAATGAGTTGTATCGCCTAATTAAGTAAAAAGTAATAGAAAAGGGTAATAAGCTTCCATAAAGAGTAACCTTCAATTATAAATCTGCATACAACTCGATAAATGAGTCACGAAAACGCTTGTATTTTAATATATATATAGATATATAGAAAGATGAAACGGTGCATACAATAAGTATTCTATGTGCATATACAGGAGCTTTTTGATAGATATATTGTTAGAATTCATGTCCAATATAAATATAATAATAATTAAATAAAATATATAAAAAATACATTGCAAGATATATCGCCTGGATATATTCCGTATATACCGATGTATTGTGCATCTATGCATATATAAGCGTCTATTTATCTCTCTAAGACTGTGTAAACGCTTTAAAAAAGGTATAAAGAATGTTATTAATGATTATTATTTTTACTCTTATTGATCATAGAATTTGTAGTAGCCGGTGTGTATCAAGCATACAGCTCGGTAAATCAGAGCATATAATTCGAATAACCTGTGCATATATGCCTTATCTTGTTGATTGATCGTATTGGTATCTTCTTTTTTTTATATTTGTACCTTTAAGTTGAATGATTCATACAATTGCACCGTCCGGCACCTCTATTGACACGTATGTAACGCCGTTTCATGAGCGTTATTCTTCTCCGGCTATGCTTTCATTGTTTTCGCAGCGAAACCGCATTAATCTTTGGAGAAAGTTGTGGATTGATCTTGCAACAGCTCAGCGCGAAGCAGGTCTTGAGCAAATCACAGATATTGCTCTTGAAGCTCTTAAAAGGCATTCAGAGATTACAGATGAGGAGCTAGAAATTGCGCGTAATGAAGAGAAACGCTGCAAGTATGTTTTTTCGGTTGAAAGATTCAATTGACAAATAAAGACATGAAGTAATGGCGCATATTTATACATATATTAAGGTAGCACCTGAGGCAAGTAGTATTTTACATTTAGGTGCTACGTCTTGTTATGTTATGGACAATGCAGATCTAATTGTTATGCGGGATGGGTTGGATATTGTATTAAACAAGCTAGCAAATGTAATACATCGACTTTCAACGTTTTGTAGGACGTATAAAGGACTTCCTATGCTTGGATATACACATTATCAACCGGCACAATTGACGACAGTTGGAAAACGGGGGGCATTATGGCTTCAGGTTGGGTTTTTACCCAGAAAATATGTTTTTTATTAATAAAAAACATATAGGATTATGTTTGGGATCTAAGAAATTTAAAAAGAGCAAAGGAATGTCTTTGTTTTAGAGGGGTTAAAGGAACAACGGGTACACAGGCATCATTTCTTGCATTATTTGATCAAGATCATGATAAAGTAGTGAATCAAGAAGCTAAGAAAATTATTTATTAAATAATAGGTAAAACAAGTTGAACAACGTGTAGCAGAATTATCAGGATTCAGTCGTACATATCTAATAACAGGGCAAACATATTCTAGAAAAGTAGATATTGATATCTTAGGACCATTAGCATCATTTGGTGCATCTGCACATAAAATGGCAACAGATCTTCGATTATTAGCAAATGAAAAGCAAATAGAAGAACCATTTGATATAGGTCAGATTGGATCAAGTGCTATGGCGTACAAACGAAATCCAATGCGATCAGAAAGAATTTGTGCACTAGCAAGACATTTAAATGTATTATACTTGGATGCAACAATGACTCATTCAGTGCAATGGTTTGAAAGAACATTGGATGACAGGTAAATACATCTTATGTTATTTTTTTTTTTTATAATGAGTTAATATTTTTATAGTGCAAATAGAAGAATATGTATTCCTGAAGCATTTCTTGCTGCAGATGCAATATTAGAGCTATTGATGAATATAACATCAGGGTTAATTGTATATCCAAACGTTATTTCCAAGATAATTGCAAAAGAGCTCCCATTCATGGCAACAGAGAACATTATTATGGCAATGGTACGCAAAGGTGGTGATCGTCAAATATGTCATGAAAAGATTAGAATCCTTTCAAGAGAAGCATCATATATGGTGAAAGAAGAAGGAAAAGACAATGATCTGATTGAAAGAATACAAAAGGATGTATATTTTGAGCCCATCTGGTCAGAGTTAGACGCTTTATTAGATCCAAGTACATTTATTGGACGTGCACCTGAACAAACTGAACAATTCCTAAATACAGAAGTCGAGGAAGCACTTGAACCTTTTAGAAATCATCTAACTGACCGGGAAGTTGATTTAACTGTTTAACACTGTTTTTACTTGTAATTATGGACCAAATATGGGAATCTTGTGTTTCTTTCTCCATTTTTATTTCATCAACTTCAATAGGCAACTTCTCATCAGGATTAAATTCAAGAATACTTTCATACGCATGAATCACATCCTTTATATCGTTACAAACTTCTTCACAAGCAAGCAATTGTTCTTTTTCTTCTTGAACTTGTTTTTCTACAAGGCGACACAATGTATACCGGGCCTAATCATCAATATTAAAAAATATACAGATCCTATTATTAAAAACACACATGATGAGGTCTATGTTCATTAATAAGATGATGCATATTTAACAATATAATTCGAATATGTTCTACTTTTTCGACAAACTGGATCCAACTTAGATAAACCCACTAAAATACCTATCTACCTGTTCAGGTGCAATTGACATAATCCCAATTAACTCAAGGAAATTAAGTAAAAGACTTTTTAACATTTTTTTTAGTTCATATATACGTTTTTGTGCACAAAGTGGGCCATTATTTGAATCAAAAAGTTCTTGGATGCCAAAATCAGAGAGTGACGGCAATTCATCAGGAATCTTCCGATATTTCAGCATATTGAAAAGTCTATTTTCTTGTATACTTTCCACTGCTCATGGAAACACCGGTAAAATCCTTTAGTAGGTGCTTTCGGTGGTGTAAAGAACCTCTCTAACTTAGGACTACATGTACTCTCTACATCATAGACATTCAAATTATCCAAATCACAGATAGAATCATATTTTTTTTCTTTAAAAGCATCCAGATTCTTTTGGGTAAATAATTTATAATGTCTTGGCGGTGGTGGAAAAGTTGAAGATAGCTCTGTTTCTAATGCTGGATCTTGCATCTTCAAGGAATAATATTAATAATATCTAGAGAGGCATAAAATATGTTTTTTGTTGTAAAAATTGGATAAATGAAATGAACTTAGTTTTTTTTTCATATTCGAAGGTATAAAATATATTAAACTATTTATAACATAAAATATTTGACAGATAAAAGATAAATCCTTAATAAATAAAGGGAAACTGTGCAATGCACAGAACAATATTATTTATGTATATATTTGTAGATAAATATATGTTAAACAAGCATCAATAAAAATTCTTAATCCATATATTTAAATGATTTGATTTAGTTTGCTTGATAAGAACATTAAGGAGATTTCCTAATAATAAATTTAATTGTTGTATAAATTCCAGGATTTTGCAAATATCAATATAATAGATTAAAAAATACGTGAAATTCTATTTGTTCTTTTAGTTGTAGAAAGACGTTGCCAACTTGGTTTCTGATCAATTTTAAATAATTCCTGATGAACTTTATAAAAAGAGGGTATTGAATATTGGGTAAATTTCCTAGAAATAAAAAGTTAGATATATATATATATATAATATAAATAAATATACCTAGATTTTTTGAGAAAATATACAAAAAAAGAAGCAGAAGCAGAAAAAATGATAAAACAAATGATATTCTTATAAATATTCAAAACTGTATATGGCCAATATGACAAATTCAAAATATTCCAATGTTCGATAGATGTAATTAACTTTCTCCAAAGATAATATAGAACTTATATATGTTAGAAACAATGTCTTGATTTAAAAACAACATACAAACTAAAGATATCCCTATAGATTTATACATTGGAGAAAAAAAAATAATAAAACATATAAGTGCATAAGGTATTTTCGAAAATATCCAAGAATATATATGGTTTTGAGCATTTTTTGTAGTATTTTTAAGTTGTTGTATTTGATCCAATAAACCATCCATTGTTTCATTTACCAGAGTACACATAGACTTAATGGTTGAGAGAGACTTATTACCAATTTTTGATTGTAAAACCTTATATATAAAATTAAATTTTATTTCAAAAAATAAAATATAAAAACCTCAATAGAAGACATAGATGAGAACAAATCATTGTATGAATATGTTAAATTTTCCAATGTTTTTGAAAAAATTTCAGCAACCTTTTATCTTTTTAAATCATATCAAATAATAATTTTATAATTACCGTAGATGTAGATAATATTTTCCGAGAAAGACTTTCAATAGATCCAAAAGATGAATCCTAAACAAAATTATCAATCTATCTTTAAAATGAAATTATATTACCAATGATATAAATATTTTATCCAAAAGATTAACAATTGAATCTAAATTATTTCGCTGGATATTTGATAAATCGTTATTTATCTATATAAACACAAATATATATATATATATTATTCAATTTCCTTTAAATAACCTACCTTTTTTATTGATTCGAAACTATCTAAAACCGTTTCGCCTGCTGCACTCCAGGCTTCACGTGATGATAACCCAATATCTTTTATTTCCTTCTTTAAATGTGATCCCTCCTACTACCTTCAATAAAAGCTTAAATATTCATAAAAAATTATTACTTCTTCAACTTTTTCTGCTACTTTATCCAAATCCGTAGTAATTTTATACATTTTTTTATTCACATCCTCCATTGACATATTAATCGAATCCGTAAACATTGTTAATAATAAATTCATCCTTTTTTCCATTTCTTTAATTTCATTTCGCATTGTTAACATATTATTCTCCATGTCTTCCTGAAAATCTTGCCACATATGTTCAAGTTTATACTTGTCATAGATCCGAATATCAATATCTTCTAATTCTTTCTTTAAATTATGAAGTAAAACCATTTGAACTTGCGTAAGGTTTCGGTGTAATGAAAGTAATTGATCTTCTCAATTAACATTTCAAAAAAAAAAATTAAAATATACCTTTCTCCACCTCCGTTCGTGCAACATAACACCTAAAACAATGATATAACACCTTGTTCCTGTATTTTTCTCTTAAAAACTTACATTCGTGTAACATCTCTAAAATATCCTGAATAGCTTATTTTCTTCAGAATTAATGATAAAATATCCAATCCACGCACCTCGTCCACCACTGAGGACGTGTCTCAAGTTCTTTGACACATTTTTCAAGGCTTTTTTCCCGGCATGCCGCCGGAATCTCTGCATGAGCTGTTCCCAACTCACAAAGCGTTAATTTCACCGCAAATGCCGCTTTTTCTGCCTCGTAAAGATCAGAATCCATTTCTTTACACTGAGAAATAAGTGATGATGCTGCTGAGCGGAAACAAGATGGTTTTCTAGCTAATAAACTTAATGTTTCTAACATCGGCATAAATAACTCGTTTTCGTCCGCAATTTCGAGTAAAATATCGCTGTTTTCGGGATTTAATAAGAAGTCCTCTTCAGATGAACAAATTCCTCTTAAAATACCGAAAATTCCGAGGTAAAAAGGCCAACGGAGCATCGTTTTTTTTATCATTTTTTTTGAGGTCGTCCACGCAGAGGCCAAAACGTGGAGAGACTTTAATTAAGAGTGTAATTAAGGAATCACGATGACGTCAAAAAAAATGAATTTTAGAAAAAAAATAATTATGATTGAATGAATGGAAGAAAAAAGGAGATAATAATAGATTCTGATTAGTATTGAGTAGGGGAGTAATATAAAAGTCGAACGGGGAAAAACGGAGCATTTTTGGAGGATTTAGAGGAAAAAAGAGAAAAATTAAGAAAAAGGATATTTTAAGGGGAGAAAAGAGGAGAAATCAAGGATAATAGATAAGAATGTCTTTTAGAGAAGATTTTGATATTGAAGAATCTTTTTTTTCGGGTGAAAAATGGTCAGATGGGAGTTTTTTTTTAGACACAAATAGTCCGTCTTCAAGAAAGCGAAAAAAGAGGTTTGAGGATGAATCAGAAGATGATATGGATGAAGATGAAGTAGAATGGGAGGATTTTGGCTTTGGTAGTTGAAAAAATGGTGAAATTTTGAAAAATATAGAAATATTTATGGTTATTAGAATCAGAAGATGGAGAGAAGAATACAGGAAAAAAGGAAGATGAATGTAGTTTTGAATATAAAATAAAAGAGGAATTAGGTAGAAAAAGGTTTTTTTTGCATTGGGAGAATGAAAAAATGATGTTCATATTTATAGATATGGGATTAAAGAAAAAGACAGAAAATTGCGTCTTGAGATTCATAAATTGCATTTGCTTTGTTTGATTTCACATGCGTCTTTAAGGAATTTTTTTTGTAGAGACAAAAGATTGCAGGTTTTAAGATGATATTTTATGATATTGTATTTAAATGATATAGGCTAAACTTAAAGTGATTTTACCAGATGAAATTCGAGAATTATTTCATCCAGGTGCTAAGATTTCTCAATATAGGAAATCAAGAATGTTTATGACAGCTCTTAAAGCAATTGTCAATATTTGGAAAAGAAAATTTAGAAAGAATAAATATGGATTATCAAGATCATTATGGAGAAGTCCAGAACAAATTGACAAAGTATATCTTAAATTCTGTTTTGTATAATTTTTCATATAGATATAGTTTCAAATTGGAAAGTCATATGATAATATATATTGTTTTGAGGACTTTTTAAAAGCAGCAGAAGAATTACAAGGATCTCGTGATCTTGGTGCCCAATTATTTGTGGCATTTTTACGTAGTAACAATGTAAAAACTCGGTTGACTGTATTTCTTCAACCTTTATCATATGGATTTGATAAATCAAACCCTTTACATGATTCAACATTGGAAACTTTTAATAAAAATAATATTTCTATTCTTAAGGACAATTGTATAGATAAAGAAAAAGATAAACATTCTAATTGTGATGTTTTTCATACAAATGAAGAATCTATCCGATCAATTCGGCGGTTTAACTCTTCTCATCTCAATCATTTTATCACCAATTCTTCAAATAGTAATTATTAGATTATCTTATGATCCAATATTAAATCATTATAGATAATTCAATTGATATAAAAGAATCATTACATCCTTTTTATTGGGCAGAAGTACTTAATCCAATTACACAAAAATGGATATTTGTTGATCCAATGGTTTCATATTTAATAGGAAAACCAAGTAAATTTGAATCACTTGTCTCTAAATCTAAAAATTCATTAAGTTATATTATATCATTTGATGAAGGCATTTAATATTCATATAAATAGCAACAATTGCTGATTTAATTATGTAGATGGATATGTAAAAGATGTAACTCGTAGGTATACAAGACATTTTAACAGTAAAGTTAGAAAGCAACGTCTAGAATCCGTTGCTGGTGGTGAAGAATGGTGGGAAAATGTTCTAAATTTCTATAGATCAGGTTATATTAATGTAAGTTTTTTCAATTGAATTTTATCAAGTAAGTTAATTGTAAAAAGCAACCTTATGATATAATTGAGGATGAAGAGTTCATGCAACGTCAGGCTTATGAAAAAATACCTCAGAATATTAAGGATCTTAAGGATCATCCATTGTATTTACATAATATTATTCAATATTTATTAATTCAACTAGATTTATTATAGAAAGACATCTTAAAAGAAATCAATTCATTCTTTCAAGGAAACCTTGCTCATTTTTAACAATTAAAAGGAATGGAATCCATGTTAAAGAGCCAATATTTCATCGTAAAGATATAGTTACTGTCTTATCAGCTACTAAATGGTACCAGCTTGGAAGAAAAATTAAGGTAAATCTTCTTTAAGACTTAAACCATTTTTTATATGAAAAGTTTGGGGAACAACCATTAAAAATTGTCCCAGATCATAGAAAAATTGCTGATCTAGATCAATTGAATACTAATATACAACATGAAACAATAGGACTTTATTCAGAATCACAAACTGAATTATATATTCCTCCTTCTGTTATCAATGGCAAAGTACCAAGAAATGCTTATGGTAATCTTGATATTTTTGTACCATCAATGATTCCTCAAGGAGCTATACATTTACCATGTAAGCAAAATATACAATTCTTCAAAAAATTAAACAAAAATAGTCTCTGGTATATCTTTAACTGCAAAAATACTAGGAATTGATTATGCAGATGCTGTTGTATGTTTCTTTTACTAATATTATTACATTTAATTCTTCTAGGTTGGATTTAAATTTGAAAAAAGGCTATCTCTTCCTATTATAAAGGGTATTATTATTGCAAAAGAATATGAAGAGGCTATTTCTTTAGCTTTTAAGATTATGAAAGAAGAGGAATATGAAAAGATCTCTCTGAAATTAACAAACATTATATTGGCAAGGTGGAAACGTTTTTATAGAAAACTTTCTATATGTGAAAGGTATTTTATATGTTTTTCTATATAAAAAATCACTTAACTAATATGTACAGGCTTAAACAATATGATATAAAGCATGCTCTAGACTGATAATATACTTCTGTAGGGTTAGGGCCCTTGATCTCTTTTCAACTTGATTGATAACATGTTTTTTTGCTTCTTATCAAATATATACTGCTTAACCAGATAAAATACTGATCGATGCTTTTATTAAAGACATTATTGCTACATAGGCCGTCGTTTATTCGAAAATCTCTGTATCATTTTACACCTCATCTTTTGAAAGATCAAAATTTAGAAAAAGATACATATTTTGGCTTTAAAAAGGTCCCAGAATCTCAGAAAGAACGTCTCGGTTTGTTGAGAACATATTTATATATCGGCCAACATTATTATTAGTTCATAATGTCTTTACATCTGTTGCATCTTCATATGATTTAATGAATGATATTATGTCTTTGGGAATTCATAGATTATGGAAGGATGAATTCGTTCAGAGGTTAAATCCAGGGTCTCTAGATGGAGAACCAATGGATCTTTTAGATGTAGCAGGAGGAACAGGGGATATTGCATTTCGTTTATTAGATTATGCCACAGATGTTCATCTTGATACACAAACAAGGGTAAAATGTGTAGATATAAACCCGGATATGATAGAGATTGGAAAAAAGAATCTTATGAATAGTCGTTACAGATATTGTATGTATTTTTTTTCAAAAAAAAAAATTGATATTTTCTAGCTAAAAGAATAGAATTTTTTATACAGAATGCAGAGAAATTGACGGATATTGAAACGTCATCTATAGATATTTATACAATTGCATTTGGTATTCGGAATTGTACAAGAATTATGGATGTTTTGAAAGAAGCATATCGTGTTTTAAAGCCAGGAGGGGTTTTTAGTTGTTTAGAATTCTCAAAAGTATATTTTAAACCTTTAAAACCATTATATGATTATTATTTATTTAATATTATTCCAATTATGGGTGAGGTTGTGGCAGGAAATAGAGATAGTTATCAATATCTTGCTGAATCTATTGCAAAACATCCTGATCAGAAGACATTTTCCAAAATGATGGAAAGTACAGGATTTAGATTGATAGGAGATGGATATCGTAATCTTTCTTTTGGAATTGTTAGTATACATACAGGGATTAAACCAATGATAAGTTGAAAAAATATATATCAATCAAATATTTCAGATTCTTTAATAACAGATCTTTAAATCCATATCTAATTGAATTGAAATTAAAGCGATTGAGTATATTTTTCAATATATTCTTCTAATTTTTCAGAAGGAATTACAGCATATCTCAAATCGCATAACACCTCATCAGGTAATGAAAGAAGTGTAGTATTTTTTGTTACCGTTGATGTTTCTTTTAGCAATGCATAGAAATCTTTTTCTTTCCTTTTACTATCATATTTCATTTCTAATTATAGCTAAATAGATCATAATCTTGACAATTATATACTTACGCTCTTGATATGCCCTAAAAAGCTTTTCTCTTTCTTTATCATTCATTCCAAAATCTTTATACTCTTGTTCCTTCTTAAACTTCCTTCTAAATTCATGCCAATACATCTTAGATGTTTGTGGGATCTGAAGTAATGTTATAAATGATATTTTAGGCTTGAATATCATAAGTATCATAAAAATAACACATAATCTTATCTTCTTACATCTCTTTTTGGCCTTAATTCTATTTCTTTCTTCTGTTGTGCAATTCTTTCCCTACAGAATTCTTCAAACAAATCTTTTCTTCCTTTCATTGTATTAATTACTATATAAAAAGTATTATTAAAGTCCAAATATGATCATAAAACGTACAGAAATACCGTGGGTCCATTGAAATCTTTGAAACCTCTTGATCCCATGGATGATATGGATTAACATCCAATTCTTGTAACATTGTCTATATATAATTAGATTAACTCAATAAATCAATCCATTCATCTACTTTAAACTGTAATGCCTTTTCTTCTTCCATCATTTCCATCTCATTCTCAATATATATCATTCCATTGTTCTCCATACCCTCAAGTTGCCAGGCAATATCATTTTCTGTATATTCTGTATGATCTAATCCTGTAGATGGTTCATTACATGAATCTTCCTCACGTATTTCATTTTCTTCATCATGATACACATCTGATGAGTCTTTCGTATCAAAACTATTCAATGATTCCTCTGATTCACTAGATAATTCTTCTGATCCTTCTAAATTCTCACTAAAATCCTTTCCATTCTTCTTTTCTTCAATCATTGCCGCATAAACTTCTTCCGGCGGAACCCAAAGAGAAACTCCCGTCTCTGGATTATGTACAAATTGACATCGTCGCTTTGTAATCACTCTAACCCAGGGAAATGCCTTGGCAATTGGATATCTCAAAAATATCAATAATTCTCATATTATACCCCCATATTCTCACTTGTATTTTGGACGATCTGTTTTTCCATAGCGAGATCGTTCTCTGCCTATAGGATATGACCTGTTCTTCTCCAATAATCCCGATTTTTCTCCTGATTTCTCTAAAACCTTGGTTTCTTCTAATAACACCGTATTATTCAATTTTGACCCCTCTGAATCATGAATTGGACGTTTATACGTAGATACACGGGTTTCCTTATGGTAATAATATAAATGGCCAGACGGCGCTTATCATTCCATGAACATATAATCTTCAAGAAAAAAAACTACCTAAATGTTGCGTCCAGCCCGGAGGAAGAGGCTCTGAAGATCCCGTTTTTTCGTAATCCGGTATAATCGATTCCGTCATTTCTAAAATACTGCTTTTTAAGGTCTTTTAATAGCTTTTTTAACTCAAAAAATGCAAATTAAAATTTTCATCTTTTTTATAAGGTTAAAATGAAAACGCAGGTTGTCATGGCAACCTAGCTGGTCATTGTCATAGCAACACATATTATGTTTCCATAACAACCTGCACGTTTATATAGACTCGGACGACAAGAAAAAAACCTGAAGATTTGTATTAAAATAAAACGAGAATTTTGGAGGAAAAACGCCGAGAAATCGGTCAAATCTATTTAAAATGTCGAGAAGGTGAGTATTGTAGGAGCATTTTCCAGTTTTCAGCGTTAAAAACGGATAGATATGACTCGAGAACGACTATTTTTAGTCCAGAAGGTTAGATTGGATAAAAATGAGGAAAAAAGGGCTCTAAATCGGGATTTTAGGACGTCTTTTCCAGGTAGAATATGCATTAGAAGCTATATCTCATGCGGGAACGGCATTGGGAGTGATGTCTACGGATGGGATTGTTTTAGCGGCAGAAAAAAAGGTTATCAGTAAATTACTAGAGAAAAACATATCAACAGAGAAGATATATGTTATTGACGAGTAAAGAGATGTGTTATAATTAATTTTGAGTGAATTAAGTGAGTTAGTCATATGATATGTGCGGTTGCGGGGGTTACGGCAGATGCGAATATTCTTGTTAATTATACACAAAAAGTTTCACAACAGTACTTATTTACATATGGATGTCATATGCCATGTGAAGAAATTGTAAAAAGTCTATGTAATGTGAAACAAGGATATACACAATATGGAGGTAGAATAAGGGATAAAAAGAGGGAAAAATTAATGTAGAATAAGGATTACGACCTTTTGGAGTTTCATTTTTGTGGGCAGGATATGATCCGATTCGTGGTTTTCAATTATATCAATCAAATCCATCGGGGAACTATGGAGGATGGAAAGCGACATGTATTGGAGCAAATAGTGCGTCAGCACAGAGTTTACTTAAGCAGGATTATAAAGAAACAAGTCTAAAAGAGGCATGTTCTTTAGCAATTAAAGTATTGTCAAAAACAGTAGATAGTACGACATTGTCAAATGAAAAAGGTAATTATGAATTAATTTCCTGTATAAATTGATATAAATATTTCTAGTTGAATTTGCGACAATAGGAACTAATAAACAGGGAAAGATTTATCATCATATTTGGAGTCCGGATGAAATTGATACACTTCTGAAAGAAAATAAATTATTAGAAGATACAGAAACAGAAACATAATATTTTAAGAAACTGCCATCAAAACGTTTATCTTGAAAATATTTATACAATATTATCCAAAGATTTGAAAAAAAAAAGCTATTAAAATATCGTTTATAAAAATAGATCTTGTATAATTTAGAAAAATTAAATAACTGGCCCGGCATCTAAAACATTTTGCGTAGCCATATCTTTGTATTTTTCAAAATTCTTAATAAAAAGTTCAGCTAGTTTATGAAGGTTTTCATAAAATTCTTCTAAATATAATATAAATATCTAGAGAAAAAAAAAAAAGAAAGAAGAAAAACTTACCCTTAGTACCTTTCCAGCTTTCAGAGGGATTAAGAATTTCTGAAGGAATTCCCTCAATATGTTTAGGGATTTGCAAATTGAAGACAGGGAAATTTTGATATTCAGCTTTTGCCAATTCCCCAGAATGAATTGCATCTAAAATAGTTCTGGTATATTTAAGAGGACATCGCTCACCACCTTTTGAAGAAGACTGGCCAATCCAACCAGTATTAATCAGCCAAGCGTCTGCATTATGTTTTTTAATTCTTTCAGATAACATAATTGCATATTCCATAGGATGAAGAACAAGAAATGGTTCACCAAAACATGCTGAAAATGTTGGTTGAGCTTCAGTTATTCCATCCTCAGTTCCAGATATTTTACTAGTATATCCGCTAATAAAATTATATATAATTTGGTCATTTGTAAGTTTAGAAACAGGAGGTAAAATAGCAAGAGCATCACATGTTAATAGAATAATATTTTTCGGATGACCACTTGATAGACCTGAAACTTTTGCATTTGGAATATATTCAATAGGATAAGCACAACGTGTATTTTCAGTAATAGAAATATCAGTATAATCAACAACTCGAGTTTTAGGATCAAAAATAACATTCTCCAAAATAGAACCAAAACGAATTGCATTAAAAATTTCTGGTTCTTTTTCCTGTGATAAATTTATACATTTTGCATAACATCCTCCCTCAATATTGAAAATTCCAGTATCTGTCCACTAATATATATTATAAAATAATTCAATTGAACTAAAAAAAAGAATTTACACAATGCTCATCATCACCAATAAGATAACGTGAAGGATCTGCTGATAATGTTGTCTTTCCTGTGCCAGATAATCCAAAAAAAACAGAAACATCTCCATTTTCCCCTTCATTAGCAGAAGAATGAAGTGGTAATACATTATACAAAAGAGGCTGAAGATAGAACATGACAGTAAGAATACCCTTTTTCATTTCTCCTGCATATTCCCTACAATATCTAAGTTCAGCTCCTCTTTTATACATTAATATTACGTTCCAAGAATAATCATCTCCCGATCTTCCAAATTAATAGCCACTGACGTACGTGATGTCATCCCAGTAGTATATCTGTTAGCAGGAACTTGATTTCCGTCATTATTATGTATTTAATAACTATATTTCATACATGAACCTGAGTTATATATAACAAAATCCGGTTTTTGACAAATATCATCCTCCTCAGTCTGATTAATGAGCATATTCTTCATAAACAAACAATGATATGGACGTGCACAAATCACACGTACTTTAATCCTGTATCTTTTATCTGCTCCTGCATATCCGTCAAAAACATAGATTCTCTTCAATGTATTCAAATAATCAATTGCTCGTTCACGATTAATTAACCACACTGTATGGGGCATCTAAAACTATTGATTAGAATGTCTTTCTTTGCATATCATTATATGTAAAATATTAAATGCCTTAGAATTAACTGGTCCCCACTGCTCATTCATTAAATCAAAAATATACAACAATTTTTATCTTAATATACCCAGACTTTTTCTGTTGATTGAGAATGTTCTACAATACGTTTATCCTTTGGTGATCTCCCTGTTTTTTCACCTGAAAAAGCTGCCAGTGCACCCGTAGATGTAATTGCTGAACATGACTCATAAGTAAGTGCATCTTCATAAAGCGATGCAACCGATGGATTATACTGAATTGATACTTTATTATGATCAATATGAAGAGTTTCTATCAATTCTTTCTGTATTTCTAAAAAATTTTTGACACAGTTCATTTTTAAAATTTATATATATATGAATTTTGCTTTAAAACAAGTTATTTTCTTCAGTATCCAAAGTGTTCCAGAAAAGAATCTTTAAATGACTAATATTCCTCTGTTAATTCATGATCTTTTTGTATAAAAATTCAATTTACTTTTAAAAACCCTATATTTATAGATTTTTTGAAAAAAAGGTTTAGAAAAAGATGTAAAAGCAAGACCGGGTAAGAATATATAGAAAAACGACAAATGATGTCCATATAAGTCCATTATTATATAGAAATTTTTAATGATATTTAATTTTAAAGAAACTATTCAAAATTAATATATGTATATATTTGTAATATTTAATTTATGAATCAAATATAAAAATATACCATTAATGATTTTTGAGAGCTTGTGATATCTAAACGATTGTATAATACAGTTTTTTTTTGCGAGAAGAAGGAGATTAATAATGTATTATATATAATAGTTTAGATATGTTGAAGAATTAATTGTGTGGATCATTTTCAGAGCCAGAAATAATAACTATTTTGAATGATTAATTCTTAATTGCAAGAAAAAAATTGAATATACCATCATTTACCTATAAAAATTAGAAGGGATTAATGTGAAGAAAAAAAAACTTACTTTAAGTACCATTCTACAGAGTTGTGTAGCTAATAATAATTGTTGACGTTTATTAATCAATGAATCAATGATATATTGTTCCTTCATGTCTATTTTATTTATTAAAAGGAGAAGATAATTATTAAAAAACAAACCATCATTATTTTTTTGCATACAATCAATTCCTAATGCAGGATTAGAATGTCTTATTTGTTTTGATTTGATATTTGTTAATGTTTCAATTGGTGAAAGACCAGAATTTTCTGCAAGTGCCATTGGAATTACATCTAGAGCATTTGCAAATGCTCTCATAGCATATTGTTCAATCCCAGGTGCCTAATTATAAAAAGTTTAATATTTAGGAAAAAAAAATGATAAATAAATACTTTGTCTGCGGCATCTGCAACAGCAATAGAACAAGAAATTTCGGCAGAACCGCCCCCATAAACTACTCGATTGTCTTTTACCAAATTACGTACAACACAAAGAGCATCACGAATAGCACGCTTAGCCTCATCAATAATCTATCTTTAATCAATAGATCCGTAGAATTTCTAATAATGAAGAAACCATTTTATTGCTTCCTCGGATAAAAATAGTAACTGCTCTTGTATTTACACAACCTTCAATAACTAACATTTTATCTCGAGTTGTACCAAAAGATAATTCTCGTACAAGACCTGCCGTTCCAAGCTTTTCTGCAGTCAAATCTTCAAATCTTGGAACAATTCGTCCATTTGTAGCAACTGCGATCAACTAAAATTTATATAAACACTACTCCATATTCAAATAAAGAATTCTATAAACCTCAATTTCCGGTCCTCCTACCCAACGTACAGCAGGTAGATGATTTTGAAGCAAAAGATGATTTGCCTCATCATCAAATCCCCATTGACAAATAACAAGATTTGCACCCGTATCTTTGATTTTTTTAACCATTTCTTCAAATTTTTCTCTTTCATAGTTCTGAAGCTTCTTAAACTCTTCTACACATGTAATATCAAGCTTATGTTTCGTTTTGGGCTTCGGTGGTTCAAATGCACATGTAAGAATAGCTATTTTTGCATCTGATACACAACGTGGCATCTGTGGATGCGACATATCTTTATCAATAACCACTCCTTTTACTAACATCGTATCTTCTAATGCTCCTCCCACTTTTCCATCAATTTTTATAAGCTCAAAATTAACATCCTTTCGATCTAAGTCTGCTACCGAAAGAATTGCTTCAACTGCAATCCCTGAAAACTTGTCGTGTGCCTTAGATACTATTTTACTGCTAAGAGACGTTTTTGTCGCTCTAAAAAGATTTGTTGTATCTTCCTTCGAAAATTCCACCACATCTGCAATAGAATCAAGATGTTCCACCGCAATCTTGCATGCCTGATCATATCCATCTGCAATCTTGATCGGATGAATCCCTTTATTAATCAATTCTTCTGCATTTTCCAGTAATGCCCCCGCAAGTACTAAACTCTCATTTAGAAAAAAAATACAGAAACCCCTAAACATCTCTAACCAACTACACCCGTCGTACCGTCCCCAATCTCTTCATCCTGTGATTTAGATCTATTTTTAAACATATGTTAAACCCCCCCTCAATTTTGTCTCCAAAAAAAATACATACAATTCAACCATAAGCTTTGCAATTTGATGTTCCACTTCCATTTGACTCAAAATAGTTGCTCCATCATTAGTAATCGTAATATCTCCATCCGGTGATATCAAAATCTTGTCCAGGCCTCAAATTTCAATCAATTCACTTCGTTCTTGAACTAATTCATTCTTCTATTTTACCTCTAGGTCCTAGCGACGATTTCAATATGTTTGCTACCGTTTTTGCCGCCAAAATATGAGACTAAATTAAAAATAAGTCTCCTCCCTTAAAATACTCAAAAATACTCAAAAACTTGCCTTGATTGCTTCATTTCCTGATAATCTATGCCCAAATAAACGATAAAAACACTAAAAAAACCCAAAAAAAGACCCTTTACCTCTTTTTTTTCCCTTGACTATCAACTTATATTAGTTATATAAAATACTTCTTTATATAATACTCTTTAAGAATAATAAACGGATTTCCTTGTTCATCCCGAGCTACAAACGCATTTTTCATGTCAAATACGACCTCTCCCATTGCTTTACCCTGCTTTTAAGCCCTTATTTTCTGGTATTTGCTGGTTGACTAAATCTCAGTATTTTATAGAGGTTGAGAGGGTTTAAACCCGAAGATCGAGAGGGGGCGACGAGACGTCAAAAAAATGTGTGTATTTTTGTAGGGGGGAAAAGTCGTGTAAATTGACGAGATAAAGGGTTATCAACGCAAATGAGAGGCAGGAGAGATAAGAAAGAAGGTAATTAAAAAAAATCCGGTGAAAAAAGACTAATTTTTGGGCGAGATATTGATAAAATAGATGAGGAGAGAAAAGATGGGGATCTATCAGAGGGAGAAAGCGAGAATGACGATGAGATTTATGTTGTAGAAAGGATTCTGGGTCATCGATTGAATATGGTATGTTTTTTTTTGAGTTTAAAGGGAGGAAAAACGGGTATTTTTGGAGAAAATGTGTAAGAAATGAATTATGAGAGAGAATTCAATGGAAAGGGGGAAATATGGGGATATTATGTGAGAATATGAGTTTTTATGAGAGTATAAATGGGGGGGGGATGTTTTTTAGGGGTTTTTTTGGGGTCAGAATGGCTAAGATAATGTTATAGAAGCGAACAGGATGGGAATATCTTATTAAATGGAAAGGATATGATAAAGCAGATGATAATACGTGGGAAGGAGAGAAATCATGCGAGTATGTTTAAAAATTTATGTATAAAGAGGGATTTTTTAAAATGAGAAGAGGATGTAAAGATTTGATTGAACAGTATTGGGAAAGTATAGGTGGACGATTAATTCCATCAGAGAAGCCGAATTCACGTAAAAGAAAGTCTAGTCAATTGCGTAAAAATGAGAATAATGAGTATGATGTGAAATATCGAGGATCGACGAGTAGATCTAAAGAAATATCTACGAGTGATTTATCAACAGAAACATGGAAGCCTCCAATGCATCTTTCATCATGGGAAGATGAAATTGAATCAGTTGATACGATTGAGCGGGATGCATCTGGAAAATTGCTTGTATATGTTAATTGGTAGATAGAATAATATTGAAAGAGGATAAAATTAATAAGATATAGGGTCCATGGTAAAAAATCTGTACATGATAGTTTACTGATATATCAAAAATGTCCTTTAAAAGTAAGTAATGATAAATAAGAATTTAAAAATATGTTAATAATGATTTAGATGCTTCATTTTTATGAAAACCATTTGGTTTTTCGAGATGTTGCATAAAAATAGAAATGAAAGCTTTGCAATAATGGTACATTTAGTACGTTAAGAACATGTATATATTTGTGATGAACGCAATGGTTGATTGATATTATAAATTACATAATTTTTTAGGGTCTAGTTTCTAAAGGAATATGAATCACATAAACTATTTAGAAAAGAAATATATAAACTAAAAAAGCGAAAACTACTACAAAGGCTGCTACTATATATAATTTCCTATTGAAATATAATCAGAAAAAAATATAAATATAAAGGTAATTACAGGCTAAAACTATTTCTAGAAACAGATATTTCAGATTTTACTCCGATATCTAGATCTTCCACCTAAAAACATTATCATCTCATCGTCCTTATATTCAAAACACTCTTTTACTTACCTTTCCTTCTAGTTTTCCAACAATTAGTTTCTTCAATATCTCTCTGGCTTCATCTGAATGTCCAACATCCTCAAATGATTCTGTTGCATCTTGACCTACAAAAACTATCATACACAATTCATACATTCAATTCTTATATACCTGCTACTTCAAATAATACTTCTTCTCCACCTGGATGCTCATTTATAAAAGGACTAACATTATACACCATTTTATCAATGACCATATACAAATCATCTCGGCTAACATGTTTCGCTACTTCTGATGCTCTTATTGTTTTCAATTTATCTATATCAACACTTTCTACCATTGTTTTTTTTCAAAGTCCTGCTGTATTTACTGATTTTAATACACAAAATAAAGCACAAAAATACAACACTGCTTCAACAGTAACAGGTTATTATTTATTTATGAAGGACTAAGTTTATCCTGGAAATAATATTAAGATTTTATAGCGTATGGTTTATCCGCTTAGTCGGAAAGTTAAGTATACAAGTCTCTAGGAATCAGAATAAACAAAGTTATAAACGGTATTGATCTTGATCTCTGTTAATATCAAGTGGCTGCAGATGAGTGGGTCAATAAGCAAGGAGAAAGCAGAGTCAAATACAGAAGTCTTAAAGATGTTATTAAAATTACCAGGAAACAAGTGAATAAATAGGAAATAAAGGATATAATATTGATATTTATGTTAGATACTGCTCGGATTGTAAGAGGAATGATCATCCCAGGTGGGCGAGCTGGTCTTTGGGGATTTTTTTGTGTATCAGGTAAAAAAACAACAACAAAAGTGATTTATGAAAGATTAAAGCTAATTGATATGATAAAGATGCTCTGGAATACATAGGAGTATGGGTACTCATATTAGCAGAGGTAAAGAAGGATTTTTATACATTTTTTTTTTGGGTTATATGATTAAGAGTATATTTATAGTCAAGTCAGTAGACCTTGATTCATGGACGAATGAGCAGCTAGAAAATATGATACGCTGGGGAAATGAACGTGCAAATAAGTGATGAATGAGGGGGTTTTATATTAAGGTTTAATTATTTTTAGGTATTGGGAGGCGAAGCTGATTCCAGGTCATATTCCATCAGAAAGGTAGAATAAGTTTTTTATGTATATTTTTGTCATAATATTGTATCAGTAAGATTGACAATTATATAAGAACCAAGTATGAGACGAAAAGATGGGTTATGGATGGGCCTATTCCTGATCCATCTACATTTGACGAATGTACTGATAATGAAATTGTGAGTTGATAAGATGGAGGGTTAATATTTAATAACGACTATGGTTAGATTCATAATATTGTTTCGAGCCATGTTTTAGACAAAAATTCGGCTTCTTCTGTAGCATCTAAGGCTGCAAAGCAGGTGTATACGAAAGAACATCAAATATTGGGTAATTTATTTCCTTTTTCTGAGAAAAAAGAAGCGCCATTGCATCACCATCATCATCATCATCATCATCAAAATCTATCTCGACAAAATCCTATTAAATCAAAAGAACCTTTATTTAAATCAAATTTAAAGAATCATTCCAATATTTTAGAATTTCATGAGTCACAATCGTCTAATACGCATGAAAAATCATCAAGAGCTAATCTTAAAACATCAATTCTGTCTCTTTATTCAACGACATCTACGTCTCAACCAAATATTTTGTCTAAATCTTTGGTAAAAGATACATGTTTACCTGAAGATCAACAAACGTCTAAACATGAGTCATTATTGTTGGATAATTCTAAGGATATTTCTAAAAGCCTCCAGGATCTTGGTATTTCTGATGAACAAAAAATATTTCATACTTCTTCTTCTGAATCTTCACATCAATTCTCAAATCCTGCAGTATCTTATTTATTGAATACGCAAAAATTTCCTTCTGTTTCTGCATCTCATGATATCACTGCAATGAAAGACAAAACATCAAGAACAAGCCGAAACCCAAGTTATTCCAAAGGAATATCATCAAATGATAAAGTTTTTGATTCAGAAAGTCCATTTATTAAAAGCTTTGCAACAGATGCACCGAAAATATTTCCAACTCCTGATAAAGATTCTTCTTCTAAACAATGGGATAGCGATTCATTAACATTTAGTTCCTTTCAGCCGTCTAATTTTTTTACCGACTCCGATACCTTATCTTTTCATACTTCTCCATGGTCAATTGATGAGCCTAAAGAAATACAACGGAATCCTATTAGTTATCAGAAGGATGTACTTCATAAGGATGATGTCCATGACAAAAATGTCCTTTTCTATGACGATTCAATTATTTCTACTACAGATGTATGGAAATAAAATATACAATTCATACAGTCGTCAATATACATCTTTGGAATACTTTTTTGTCTGTGTCTAGACATATTTCTTAATAATCAAAGAAATTAGAATGTTTTCATGGATAGATAAAATATATTTCTTAATAATTGTTATTGATTTTATGATTTCATTAATATTTCTAACTAATAACTGAATCAAGATGTTTTTTCTTGAGAAATATCAATAAATAAATGATTCTTTAAAAGATCCAGAGTAGATGATATTAAGAAACAAATACAATAATGAATTTATATAAAAAAAAATTCAAAAGATTCTATATATCTCTAATAAAATAATGATTTGATCAGTTTTATACAAAATACCTCATATTTCTTGATATTCTTCTCAAGTTTAAATAAGCCAGTGAATTACAATAAAGAAGTTAATTTTAAAAAAGCTTGTTATACTTTTTTTCATATTATTTCTGGTTAGATTATAAATTAAAATTGTTATTAAAAATAGCCACTAAGCTTTCTTCATAATTAATTTTTAAATCAATCAATGCTATGGTATAATTTCCTAGATACTTATTTACATATTTTAACTATAATTCATGTTTTAAATTGTAAAATTTAAAATAATAAAACCTTTTAGCTACGATATTTATCATCAAAATTCCCTTTTTTATAATTTCGACTCCTTCCTTTAGAATTTCTTGAAGAATAACTCTGTCCGTTTTGTTCTAATCCATCTGATGGATTATAATTACTTTCATTATTTTTTTTTGAATCTAACTCTTTCTTTAACTCAATTACAAGAGTCCTCATTTTGCTATATCCCATATGAAGCTATTCCATTGAGTTTTCTCATATCAAACGATAGTTTTACTTACTTTCCCTCCAAAATGATCTGCCAACCGTCTATCATTGTCTAATCGAGATAAATATGCCCCGCAAACGTCACAAACTTGAAGTTTCTGATGTCCTAATGATCCACTATTGGTAGATATTGATTTTAACTCTTTCTTTACAACATTTAGCCCTAATTTTTAACGGATAAAAACATACTTCTCGTTCTGATCTGTCAATTTTATATTTTTCCACTTTATGATACTCCTCTACTGCACGCATCACCTCCCCTTGCTCACCTAGTATTAAATTAAATAAAAAAAACATCAGAAAAATATAATATCAAGCACCTAAAACCCCTACTTCTTCTAATGCTGTATCAATAATTTTTTCAAGTTCTGCCATATCTCTAGCCTATAAAAACTTAATAAAAATATTTTTCATGGCAAAAAAATGACCAGCTGACTTGCTTTAGCCAATTCCTCCGGTGTTTTCTCTAATCTCTTTTGTGCTGAATCAATACGACGATTACAATCATCAATATATTTGTTCAAATCCCTTAAATAGTCATATTCAAACCCATAATCCTTCTTTAAACGTGCTTTCTGATAATCTGCCTTCAGCTTATCTGAATGGATTTTAGAACAGGGCCCAAGATCCATTTTCTATAAGGAAATATCCCATCAATATACTTCAAAAAAAAAAATAAATGATAAATACTGTATTTCTATAAAAATTAAATACGATTTATGATAAAATATATAATAAAACATACGTAAACATATCATGAGGACAATCTCCACAAAGAAAACTTCTACAAACTTTTGGACTCGTAAAAGACATAGTTTGTTGATGTGAAGAACCCATCATATCTGAGCCCATAAGTTGCTAAAATAAATAAATACATAAATATATATAAAACTCATATGACCCAACCTCTAAAAGCTTCCTCTGTTCAGATGCCATTCTGAAACTTGTATAAACAGATAAAAATAATGAATATGAATGATGTCGGTAAAAAGTCGATAGGGTTATGAACCACTCGGAACAAGTAGAAACAGGTTGAACCGGACCCAGTTTCAATAAAAATATGTGTTATCCTAATTAAAATATGTTATGAATCATTATGTATTTGTTTTTAAAGATGTGTCATAATGTAAATCATATAACATTATTTCTTATGTAAAATAAGATATAAGCAGCAGATGACTAGATGATAGATAAATAAATTGTAAATATAAAGCTTTAAATACTTACAACAACGTCCCGTTCATTACAATAAACCACTCGACGATCATCAAACAAGTTCCATGAATTTGTAAAGCTGTTTTTTACCATTGCAGTATCTATTATATAAGTAAGATAAAAGGATAGAAAGTATCCTTACAATGTCCTCCGTCTAGATTTCCATAGTGATTTGTAACGGCGTATAAATGATAAAGATATTGTCCATGATTAAGTGGATCAGAAAGAGATTGTGTGCTATCGAGTAAAAAGTCAGTAAGATCAAAATTATTAATTAAAAAGTCGATTTTAGTGTTAATTTTGTCTTTCCAATGTCCACATGTTTGAAACCGTTTAAGATGTATTAAAAGTATTTGCGGAATTTTGGATATGGTTAAAGTTTTAGTAGCATCTCTTGGTTTTCTGCATTTTGAGCAATACCTATGATTATTTAAAAAAAAAAAAACACTATTCATTTAGAAGAAGAAATACCATTGTTCTTTATCCTTAAGATATTCCTATTTTAATTAATATTAGAAAAATAGATAGATAGATAGATAGATTATTTTACTTTTTGAACAAAAAATTGAAGACATTCATATAAAGTTGAGGTTTTGGTTTGCGTAAGTGGTATTGGCAGTGAAAGATATGTAAAAGGATTATATGTGGTGGATTGAAAGTCACATGTTAGACATTTTAATCTACTTTGCAATTGTCCTTGAAAAAGAGAAACAACAATGCTATTATTTAGACGAACATATCTTTGCCATTCAATACTTGAAGCAATCTTATCAGGCATGTTTTCTATTTTCAATTCTTCTTCTGGTGTTAATTCTTTTGGTTTTAGTTGTCCGGCTGCAATATTTAATTCTTCATGAAGTCCATCTAAAAGAAAGGCCAAAAATTCCTGAGAATCCTGCTGATCATTGTCACGAAATTGTTCTTTAAGACGTCCAACAACATTCTTTTTAAATTTAAAAAAAAAAATGTAAAAAATAATCTTTCTAACCTTAAAAAAAAGTGGAGATACATATGTATGCTCATTATCCCAAAGATATGTAATTAACCGTGCAAATGTTTGAACAAGCTCTCCTTTATATCCTAAAGGATTATTGAAATTAATATGTTTTTTATAACTCCCATCTATGAAATATTTTAAACATAAAAATGAAGATAAACAATATACCTCTATAATATCTTACAAAAGGAATAGTACTATTTAAACACTGTATAATAGCATTCATATAACATGTATTACCCAAATTTGTCAATCCTGTAGCACCTATAATTCCACGAATACAAAACTGTTCTGTATTATAAATCTGAGATGTAAGTGCTTGAGGCTTTGTAGTAATTGCACTTGTATCAGATAACGAATGTTGCTTAAACTTGTAACTATCCAATGAATTATATTCTCTGGATGTTGAATATTGAGGAAACTCATTATTGGTATTCTTAGGTTTGATATAATCATAAAAAGGATTATTAGGAGAAATTCCCTTTTTCTCAAAATTATTAAGATCGTTAGCAGGCATTTTTTGTGACCTATTTTCATATGTATCTATGCTATGATGATCTCTTAAAGAGCTATGAATATTATTTGTTTCAAAATAAGGCGTAAATTTTGTTGATGATTGTTGAGATAAGGCAAAGTGTGAAGGCTAAATATAATATTAATAAGTACGAATTACAATTAATGAAATTGTTACGTATTTCTCCTTTATCTTTGAATGCAATTCATCATTTGATCCTGATGAAATATCTGTATTTTTATCTGTTAAATTCATGTTATTTTTAAACATTGATTGAAATTTCCCCATAGACACCCTAATATAAAAATTAATATATCTAGATATATGTGATATTTTCTTTACGTCATTTCTACTGAATCCTTGAGGTTTTTCTTTTCAAGTCCTATATCAACATTATATAAAGAATAATCAGATGGTGCATATGAATTAGGAATATTAATGTTTGATTTTAAAAATGAACGATTTGATTCATGATTTAAAGGCAACCGATTTTCCGTAAAGTCATCTCTTATATTATGAGTATTAGTTCCTATTATGAAATCGCAAAAAATATCATTTTTCTTTATAAAATTAATCCATTCCTTAAGACCTCCAGAAAGTAGCATAGGTATATGTTTTAATGGTTTTTGAAATCCACCATAATTATATATAGCTTTATTTAAATTATGAAATATACGAGCCTTTTCCTTTTGAAAAATGTTTCCATTTAAATTATCATTTTTACTATCCCAATCATAGTAAACAATAAAATCAAATTTATGTCTATTAGAAAAGGTTTTCTGTTCTAATGATGGCGATATTATTAATGATTCTTCCAATTGATCCCCTGATATACTAGCATAAATTAATCATCATCATCATCAATCCTTCTATCACTTAAATCTTACTCTTCTTGTAATGTTAAAATAATAGGTTCTATACATACTATATTTTCTGAAGCAATCCTAAATTTATTAAATTCGCTTCTTGGTCTAATATCTAGAAATAAAATTCGAGATTTATTATCTTTAGAAATAATATACTTGTATAATGTATCTGAATCAATAAAAGAAAAATTAGGGAATATAGCCATTTGATCTGAAGGTACTTGTTTTTTGTTTAAGTCTGTCAGTAAATTTCCTGATGTAAATGGATTCATATCCTTATTACCAGTTTCTAAAAAAGATGGCTTTAAATCTGAATTAGTAGGCGAAAACTATCATATAATTCATTATCTCTACAATACATACTAAACGCTAACCTTGAAACAAGGTACCGGCTGTCTAAATTGACTATCCTGCATATTTATACTCTGAGTACGTCTAATCTCTGATATTTCCATAGAATCGTTTCTTGGAAAGTCTATCTTTTCATTTAAAGAAAAATTATAATTCAACCCTGAATTCTTATCTCTCTGTATCAATTCAGGTGAAACATGTTCAGATGAAAAATTAGGAAACGTTTCTTTCATATTAACCATCATATTAGACTTATCTAATGTCATTTTCTCGATATCTCTTAATTTCAAAATTTGATGGATTTTTTGAAATCTAAAAAATGATGACGATGTTTCCTAGATTCTTTAGAATCTTTAAACATCTCCCTTTCAAAATTAACCTGTTTAAGCTCCTGATATTGTCTCAAAACCGGTCCTGCTCGGCTTTTAAACGAAACATAATCTTTATGTCCAGGAATCACTATTTGACTTAAAAATAACCCAAAAAAAACATTTAAAACACCTTCAATCACTATAGACGATGCTCTTAAGTACTTTACATACGCCATTTCAAGCTGCATTTCCCCTTCACAACTAAACGCCTTTCAGACCCAATCAGCCCCTGTTTTTCACGAAAAAAAAGCATTCTATTAAAAAAACCTGGTCATACAGCTTCCTCGCCGTAGATACCCACAGTTTTATAGGATATTTAGCACTTTTTTCCGTAATCGCTGCTTTTCTCCTCAATACTTCCAGAGTGTCTCCTGGTCCCGGTTCCCCCTGTTCTGACCCCATTTTTTCGCATTCCTATTAAAATATCCTTAATTCTACTGATTCTCCCTCGATTCTCCCCGTATTTATGTATAATTTATGCATATTTGTTGGGGAAATATGGAGAATGTTGGGTTTTCTTGAATGAGGAGAGTTCTGGAGGTGACGATGGTTAGGAGGTTGCTGGGGAGACGGTTGCCGGGGAGATGGTTGTCGTGGAGATGTTGCTATAGAGAAGTTGCTATAGTGATGGTTGTTATAGAGATGGTTGCTAGGAAGATGTTTCTATAGTGACGGTTGCTACGGCGTTGCTACGGCGTTGCTATAGTTACCGTTGTCGGGTAGGGTTCTTCTGGTGATGCTTCCTAGATGGATGTTAGTAGGGCGCACCTTATTAGGAGACCCGTTTTAGGAGACGCCGTTGCTACGACGACTGTTGCTACGACGACTGTTGCCGGGACACTTGTTGCTATAGCATCTGTTTCTGCGACAACCGTTGCTGTGACAACCGTTGCTGGGTTACGATCTCTATAGTAACCCTTTGCTCTCCTCCAACCTCACGGACCAGCAAAATGCTAAGTTGGTGGACGTTTAGGGCGTTTGATGAGTTAGTTGGTGAGTAAAACTGAGTATATATATAGAATCAGACGAGAATTTTGATATACTGACTTTTTTTCCGTAGAAAAAGCGACTTCAGAGAGCATACAAACGGGAACAGAAGATCTCGCATCATGTCTAGAGATATGCGATAAGATTAGGAGTAAATCAGTACCTGCTAAGGACGCTATGAGGAGTCTTAGAAGGAGAATGGGTCATAGAAGTCCAGGGGTTCAAATCCAGGTCTTAAAAGTATGAAAAATGGAGGATATTTTATGGAATGATTGATGAGGGAATATAGCTTATAGATCTTTGTGTAAAGAATGGAGGAGATCATTTCTTATTAGAGATATCATCACGGGAGTTTATGGATCATTTGGTGTCTTTTTTGAAGGCAGAAGTGATATTTTTTGGAGTAAAAAGAAAGGAGTTTAATTTTCGTATAGAAGACGATAGAACATGATAATGGAATGAAAGAAGAGGTTAAAAGGAGGATATTAGAGCTTATTCAAGTATGGGCGGTTTTATTTGAGAAAAAGGAACATTTAGGCTATGTTTGTACAGTGTATGAAGATCTTCGATCTCAGGGTTATGAATTTCCACCTAGACCGCCGCTTAATGCGACGTTTATTGATTCTTTTTCAGTATATTTTAGGGTTATGTGTTTTTTATGGCTAATATGAATATATAGCCTCCTGAATGGAGTGATTCTAGTATTTGTATGCTTTGTAGGACGAGGTTTACGTTTAAGAATAGGAAACATCATTGTAGGAATTGTGGGGGAGTTTTTTGTCAATCGTGTTCATCGAAATCGAGGCCTCTTTTATATATGGGTATTATTGAGCCGGCTAGAGTTTGTGATAATTGTTATTCTAAAAAAACGCAAACGCCGGCTATTTCTATGAGTAGTAATGTTTCAGGAATGGAATATCCTGAATATTCGAATGTAGATGATGATAGTGATTTAAAATATGCTATAAAACTGTCTTTAGAAGAAAATAAATTACAAAAGTCAAGATTTCAACAAGATCTTGCTAAAGATCATGAAAAGCAGTATTCAGATGATGAAGATTTGAAAAAAGCAATTTCATTAAGCTTGAAAGAATTGGAGCAATCGAAATCAGTCAATTTTACGCCTGATGTAAAAACAATTACTCCAGATCTTCAAGTTGCATTATCCGGTTTATCTATTATTACTAACATAATTATAGCCGAAATTTGAACATGAACTTACTGCATCAGAGATAGAGAATATTAATACTTTTTGTATGTTAATTCAAGGACTTCAAATGGCACCTATAGGATCGATTTTAAGGGATCATTATGTTCAAGAATTACATGATTCTGTTGTAAAATTAAAACCGAAACTTATTCGTTCTTTAGGCAATACTATTAGTAAATACGGTTGGTTAGCTTTTTAATTCTTATAAATTTTAATTTTTTTTTTAGAAAAATTAATTGATATTCATTCTAAACTTTCAACTGTTATGAAATATTATGATAAATTATTGGAAGATCGTTTATCTACAGCTTATTCAAGACATCATGTTTCTTCTATACATGAAAAAGGTTCTTTATATCCTTTTAATCAAGGTTATAATTCATCTTTATTAACACCGACCTCTTCAATGCCTTCTGAATATTATTCACATTATAAAAAACTTCAACAACAAAAAAATCCTACATTCTATTCATCTCATATACCATCACAACAGGCTTCTTCAACTTCTATTTTGCCTTCAAGGGAAATTATTTCTTCCACCATGTCAAATTATTCATCAGATGCTTTTTCACATGATACCTTTACAACTAAACCTTCTTCTACTTCTATTAAGGATTCCTCTTTATCAATTCATGATCAACATAACCCAGATAACTTATCTTTTCCTCAAAAAACTCTTACACAAGATAAAACAGAACCACCAACACAAGTATCTCTAATTGATTTATAATATTCTATATTTTCAGGTAATTAAATTCTGCTTTTTTTTGAGTATAAATTTTTCTTTTCATAGAATCTTGTGTATTTTTCAATAAATTCAAAGTTTTCGGGTTTTTTTCTTAAAATCTTTAAAAACTTATTATGTCTTGGAAATCTCATTTCAGTCAGGAACTAGATGGTATTGTATCTTTCTTAAAAAGTACTCTAAAGGTTTTTAATAGATTCTTAGACTTTTTAACAGATGACTTAGAAGGTAAATTATAAAATATAAAATAAATTTTATTAAGGATTTAGATTTTTCACAAGAAGAACTTGGTAAAAATGTTAATGGAAGCCTTTTGTGATTAATATTTGTCAAGAAAAATTAACATGGGCATCGGCTAAAGTTAGAGAGCGATTAAAAGATGTTTTACATGTTAAACAAAAAGATATACAAGAAGCACTAAAATATTGTCATTTTGATGTAGATAAAGCATGTTCCAGAATCATGGGTACAGAGGGGAACTTTTTTGTATAAGGTTGATATAAATTTAGAGCGAAAACATTTAAAAGAAGGGTTAAATATAAATAAAACACCATTAAAAAAAGGTATAATATTTTTTTTATCAACAGATATATTCTTTTATGAATATATATTAATATATGAGAACAATTTTCTTATTAAAATCTTTAAAGGTTTTATTTGTTATAATAATAGTTCATTAAATAAGGAAAATTTAAAGAGTGAAAATAGTTATAAGGAATTTTATAATATTTTTACAAACAAATAGGTCAATCTAGTCATGAAATATCTTCAGAGGGAAATACATCTGAAACTAAAGAAATATCTGGATCAAAACAATCAAAACTTATAGCTTTAGCAAGTTCTAAACATAAATTATCATCAAATAACCCTATATCATCATCATCATCATCATTGAAATCCGTTTCACTTCTATCTCATTTAACTAGAGAGAAATTTAAAGCGGCTAATGATAGTGAAAATAATAATAATTTATCTAAAACAATATTAGATGTACAAACAAATCTTACAAAATGTGATGTTGAAAAGGACTTAAATCTTCTGAATGAATCTTCAGAAGAGGGTCAAAAGGATGAAATTATTGATAATTCTTTAAATATCTTTTTAAAAAAAAATGAACATAATATAGAAGTAAAGCCTTCTAAATTTGCATTAACTATTTTTGGAGAAAAATTAGAATTATCTGATTATTTTTACAAGTTTGCTAATCAGAGGTTTTCTTTATTTGCAGGAGCATCAGAGAACGATCTTAAATTATCACATAATAAAGCGTCTAATAAACCATTGAAATCTCAAAAAAAAGGTATTTTGTAAACATTTTATATTATTCAGCTTAATATTATATAAGAAAAAAAATTAAAAACTCCAAGTAGTGTTAAATCACCAATTTGCTCAGAAATTATATCAGATCAAGACAATTTGCATAATAAACTAAATACTTTAAACATATCCTTAGAACAAGGGGATAAAGATGAAACAGATTATCATGAATCTTATGAATTAAGCGTATTAATAATGAATTTTTGATATTTAGTTATATATTATTAGGAATCAAAAAACAAAATATCCAATTTAAAAACAGCTAATATAAAAAATAAGCCTAACGTTAATATTGTTATTATTGGTAAATTTAGGATTAGAAGTTATTGTTAATATGATTTTAATATTTTTTAGGACATGTAGATGCAGGGAAAAGTACATTAATAGGAAGACTTTTATATGATTTAAAAGTTGTTGATGCCGAAACTATTGAAAAATTAAAACGAGAAGCAAGCAAATCAGGGAAACCATCTTTTCATTTTGCATGGGTTTTAGATCAAACATCAGAGGAGCGTGATCGGTATATATTTATTATTATATAATGTATTTTGTATTAAAAGTCAAAAGTGGGGTTACTATGGACTTAGGTATTAATTACTTTGAGACTTCTTTACGTAGATATACTATTTTAGATGCACCTGGACATAAAGATTTTATTCCTAACATGATAGCAGGAGCTTCTCATGTATTTTATGACAATTTAATAACATCGTCTTATTTAAATTATAGGCAGATGTAGCTCTATTAGTTATAGATGCTTCTTATGGTTCGTTTGAATCAGGATTTACAGCACATGGACAAACCAGAGAACATGTTATTTTAGCACGTAGTTTAGGCATTCAAAAAATAATTGTTGCTATTAATAAACTCGAAACTGTATATATTTCATTAATTTTTTTCTTTATTAATATCATTATAGATTAATTGGTCTCAAGAAAGATATGAAGATATTATGGCACAAATACTTCAGTTTTTTATATATAAAGGATTTCAAAAGTCTAATATTTCATTTATACCCTGTAGTGGACTTACAGGTGAAAATTTAACAAATACAATTCCTTTAAACCCTCAGCTCAAGTTATGGTATTCCGATTTTACACTCTTAGATGCTTTAGGTGCTTTACGAATATTTTTATCTCCAAAAGCTTATCTATAATTAGAAAATATATCGATTAATCGTCAGCAACTTGATACATTTCTTCGAATCTCTATTATGGATGTTTATAAGTCTTCTAACACTTTAGTTTCTGTGGTTGGGAGAATTGAAACTGGTATTGTAAATGTAGGAAAAGAAGTAATTGTTATGCCTTCGAAAAAAAATGGAATAATTAGCTGTAATATTTTGGTTGTTATCTAAATATCTTCTAATTTTATTAGCTATTTATATTCATGATAATCTTCAGGATCTTGCATTTTCAGGGGACGAAGTCTTGATTAATTTATCAAATATTGATTTGTCTTATTTAAAGTCTTATTTCCAGACTTATATTTTTATATAATAATTAATTATTTTTTAGGCCAGGTGATATTATATGTGATTTAGAAAATCCAGTTCAAATTGTTTCAAAATTTCGTGCAAAGATTATTACTTTTGATTTACTTAGACCACTAACTATAGGAACACCGGTAAATACATTTATATACAATTAAAACTATTATTGATTTTAATTAAAAGCTTATTATTCATAGAGGACGATTAAATGTAGATGCAAATATCAAAAAATTGATTTCAATTATTGACAAATCAACGGGTCAAGTTAAGAAAAAAGATCCTAAGTAATAAGAAAAAAAAAAGTAGCATTCTATTCTAATCGAATTAGATTTATTGGTAGCTTTGATGCAGCTGTCGTTGAAATCGAATTCTGTAAACATGCTGAAGCAATGGAATCTTTTAAACATTGTAAAGAGTTAGGTCGGTTTATTGCACGATCACAAGGAGAAACCATAGCAGCAGGTATTATTGAAGACGAGTAGTTATAAATATTTAATAATTAATTTATTCATATTTATATATACATGTTTTTAAATAACTTGATCCATAAAAAAACTATGTAAAATGTTTTTTGTTTTTAAACCATTTAAAGTTCGTCATGAGGAGGTGTATCATCTTTAGCTGATTCGTCTAAATTTACACATTAGCTTATATAAATTCATACGTTAATTATAAAACATACATAATTTAGATGTAATAGGCATTACTATGTCAGACAATGCATTTCTTTTTTCTTCAAAATCAACAGTTGTTGCTGTCATAGAATTTTGCTCCAACCACTTGAGTGTTTCTTCAACGGCATCTGAAATCGTCTTTTTGTCTTCTTCACTTAGTTTTCCGCCCATTCCTTCAGTATCCTTTAATTGATTCTTTAACGTATGAACATAGGATTCTAAGGAATTTCTTGCTTCAATCTTTTCTTTCTGTGCACGATCTTCATCTGCAAATTGTTCGGCTTCTTTAATCATACGATCAATTTCCTCTTGTGATAATCGGCCCTTATCATTCTTGATGGTAATTGACTCGGATTTACCTGCACCTTTATCCATTGCTGAAACCGTTAAGACTCCATTGGCATCAATCTCAAAGGTTACTTCGATTTGAGGTACTCCACGAGGTGCTGGTGGGATTCCGGTTAATTCAAATTTACCCAACATATTGTTATCTTTTGTTAATGGACGTTCACCTTCAAACACTTGAATCAATACAACTGCTTGGTTATCCGTTGCCGTAGAAAAGATTTGAGATTTACGTGTGGGAATGACGGTATTACGTGCGATCAATTTCGTCATTACTCCACCCGTTGTTTCAATTCCCAGTGTTAACGGATTTACGTCTACTAATACAATATCTTCGACTCCTTCTTCATGTGATAAAATTCCACCTTGTACCGTTGCTCCATAGGCTACTGCTTCATCAGGATTAATACTTTTTGACACTTTTTTTCCGTCAAAAAATTCCTCCAATAATTGTTGCACTTTGGGAATACGAGTTGATCCTCCGACTAAAACAATATCATCAATGTCTGATTTCTTTACATTCCCATCTTTTAAAACTTGTTCAACCGGTTTCATTGTTTTTTTGAACAAGTGCATATTGATTTCTTCAAATTTTGCACGTGTTAATGTTTCTGAAAAATCAATACCCTGATATAATGATTCTATCTCAACTCTTGCTGACATTTGTGATGATAACGTTCGTTTAGCCTTTTCTACTTCTCGTTTAAGCTTTCCTAAGGCTTTTGGATCACTATCAAGTCTAACTCCATGTTTTTGATGAAATAACGTTTTAAAATGTGCCATCACTTGATGATCAAAATCTTCCCCTCCTAAATGTGTATCTCCTGCCGTCGCAATCACCTCGAATACCCCATCTTCAATCGATAAAAGTGATACATCAAACGTACCTCCTCCTAAATCATACACAATAATAAGACGTTCTCCTTCTTTCTTATCTAATCCATATGCAATTGCTGCCGCCGTCGGCTCATTAACAATACGCAACACATTAAGTCCCGCAATTGTACCTGCATCCTAAAAAAATATCATTAATACACAAACATCTTGTTTTATCGATTTGTTATTCTTATACTTTGGTAGCTTGCCGTTGTGCATCATTAAAATATGCCGGAACCGTCACCACTGCGTGTGTCACTGTTCGTCCTAAATACGATTCTGCTATTTCTTTCATTTTACGAAGTACCATAGCCGATATTTCTTCCGGCGTAAATGTTTTCTTTTCCCCCGCAATATTCACTTCTACATGAGGTTTACCCTCATGATGATTCACCTTAAATGGAAAATTCTTAATATCCGATTGAACATCGGCTTCATCAAATCGTCGTCCAATTAATCGTTTAACATCAAATATCGTATTTAACGGATTCGCTGGTGCTTGATTTTTCGCCGCATCTCCTACAAGTCTTTCTTCATTCGTAAACGCTACATATGACGGCGTAATCCTATTTCCTTGATCATTTGCTAGAATTTCTACCCGTCCTGATTGCATGACTCCAACACATGAATATGTTGTTCCTAAATCAATTCCAATGACTGAATATCATCAAAAATCACATTTTAATAATGTAATAAGAAAAGATATTATTTCTTTTCCTCCATCATACCCGTTCCATATGATTCTTCTTTTTGACTCCTTCCACTTCTTGGTAATGCAAATAATAACAATAATACAATCCAAAAATAATGTTTTACTACTTTTTTCTGTATTTTATTCATTTTTAAATTTTAATGATTTTTTGTAACTCTTGAAAATTTCAGAATCTTTATAACCCTTATAATTATTATAGCCCTTATATAGCCCTTATATAATTCTTATATAATCCTTATATAAATCCTTATAATCCTTGTATAAATCCTTATTATTTTTATAATTCTTATATAATATTTATAATACTTAGAATTATTCTTATAATTATTTCTTATAATTATTATAACCTTTAATTAATCTTATTTTTAGCACTTTTATTATGTAATTAATAACAATTACCAATGTAAAAACTAATAATTATTATATAAACCTGTTTATTTTAATAATAATTAATATAATTGAATAGAATAAAAAGAATAACGACGGGTATTTTAAGAATTTGGTTCAAAAAAAGTAGAAATTTTTAGGTTTAAAGTTGGGGTTAGGTTAAAGTTAGGGGTTAGGTTAAAGTCAGGGGTTAGGGTTTGTGTTTTAGGGTTGTTAGGGTTGTGTTTAGGTTTGAGGGTGTTGTTAGGGTTAGGATGCTGGCGCGTCCGGGGGTTAGGGTTAGGTTGTATAGAAGAAGCTTCGGGTTAGGGGAAGGTTAGGGTTAGGGTGTAATAAGGAGTATATAAGAAGTATTAATGTGTGTATAGTGCGAAGTTATATAATGTGTAGTATGTATGTGTAGTATGTACAATGTATGCGTATATAATGCGTGTACAATGCGTCTATAACGTCCGTATAACGTCTGTATAAGTGTACTCATATATGTGTACTCATATGTGTACTCATGTCTATTATATATGGTATAATATAGCGTACGAGTATAGCGTACGAAGTATAGTGTGTACGTTAATATAAGTATAATGTATGTACGTATAATGTATGTACATACATAAGCAGATGTAGAAGTGCAAGTAGAAGTGCAAGAAGTGCAAGTATATATAAATGTATAGATATAAAGTATAGGTAGAAGTATAAGTATAGGTAGAAGTATAAAGCTTATGTATACACAAGTATAATGTACAAATATGTTTAACGTGCGACTAATGTATAACGTATTAATATATATAATGTACTTGTACTTTTGTAGAATAATATAAATATTATATAAAAGTAGAGTGAAGTAGAGAGAGAAGAGTGAAGAGTGAAGAGTAATTAATATTATTATATATATGTGTGTGCTTCTATGAAATGAGAAATAAAAAAAGAAAATATAAAATAAAGATAATAATGATAATAAATAAAATAATGATAATAAATAAAAAATTTTGTTTGTTTTTTATTTTATTTCTTTTTTTTTTCTTTACTTATAGAGTTAGTTTATACAAGGTATTAACATCGGAGTTTAAAATTAAAAGGATATATAATGGCGGGAAGAGAAAATTATAGTTCATACTTACCTGGCATCGATATTGGCAGCTCAAGAAGTGCTGATATCTTGTGGATGGACTTAACATTGCACAGCGTTAAGTTCTCCGCTGCGAACAGGATTCGTCTTGTCTCGGATGCATCATTTTTGAATTCGTCCTTCGGGACTTTTTATTTATTTTTCAAAATTGATCCGGTTATTATTTTATAAACAGCTCAATTTTGAAAAATAAATAAAAAGGATCTGAAAAGAAGAAGTAAAAGAAGTGGAAAAAAAGAAGTAAAAAATAAAAGGTTGGAGTTGGGGTTAGGGTTGGGTTGTAGTTGTGTTAGGGTTGGGCTGTGGTTAGGGTTATGTGGAGAGATGTTAAGGAGTTTAATAAGGAGTTAATAAAAGGGTTAGGGTTAGGGTGGAGTTGAAGTTAGGGTGGCGTTGAAGTTAGGGTTACTTCTTAGGGTTAGGGTTAAAGTTTAGTCTGAAGTGTGCGTCAGGGTTAGGGTTATTAAGAAGGGTTATTAAGGGAGGAAAGAAGAGAGTAAAAGGAGAGAGTAGAGGGTGGAGTGCAGAGAATAGATAGGGTTAGGGTTAACGTCAGGTTAGGGTTCTGCGTAGGGTTAGGGTTCGACGTCGGGTCAGAGTTAAACTATAGGATATTCTGTAATCTAAATAATAATGTATTAACCTATAAAAATTATATATATTTAGATTGTAAATCCCAATTTCTTCCATATAGTATCCACTTTCTTAATCTATAAATATATATATAAGTAAAGAAAAAAAAAAGAAATAAAATAAATTAAAATGAAATGATTCCACTTACCAATTGTAAAAAGTGATGATCATTAATATAGGAAATAATCATTTCTTCTAGGGTATCTGTATTTTCTTGTGAAAGTGATAAAGTAGATTCGTAAGGAGCAGTACTTGGAGGTGTTGGTAATTTTTTTGTATCCAGCGTTTTTTTATTATCAATCACCGTTTTTATTGATAAATTTGTATGATCAGTAACTGGTTCTTCTTTTAAATTATTTGTATTTTTTTTTGTCTTGCAAGTAGACGATTTTCTAGGTTTCTTTTTCTCGATTAGCTCTGTAGTTAAATTAGATTTATAATGAATATTTTCCTTTGTCATTTTTGTTAAGTTGTTCATATTTGATACCCATTCATTTTGATTTTTATAAGTTGTATCTAAATATAAAAATTTGTTTGTATTTGAAGGCGTTGGAAATCTAAGATCTGCCAGACTTGATACTGGTTCTTGTTCCATTGACGTATATCCTTCATACATTTTTTTTGCTAAAGGTTCCTCTATTTCCCCTTGATCCCATGGTTTTACATGGTTTAATGATTTTTCGTATTTTTGAAGCTCAATTGATACTTGTTCTAAAGAACGAGTGTCAATCGCATTCCTTATCTTTCCTGCATGCTGTTCAAGTATACCTCGAACTGAATGAAAGATATCATCCGTAGAAAACTTCATTTGAAACCTAGAGATTTTCTACTTGTATAAATGTTTGTTTTTTAGAATAGATATAATTCCTACTCTTGATACATCATTGTACCATTTGATACCAATACATGGCGCCCTAATAACCTTGTATCAGGATGTTTTATAAAGATTAATATATAATAAAAACCGTGTAATAATAATAATGCCTGACTGTTGAGGGCCATTTTCTGATTGAAACAGGGGGATTTTAAGTCGTGATAAACGAGTAATGTTCAATTGTTCCTATCAAAATTTACCCTTTTTTAACTATATTTTTGTATAAAAATACAAAGATGATAGCACCACGGATCACCTTCATGGTGACTTCATCATGTCCACTAATGTTGTTCATTTCAAACTGAATCTCAAGGTCTCTGTGAGGATAATGAAGCCATTGAATGCTGGATGGGGAGTGTTTGGGTGATGTTTCGTCTTTTTGTGTGGCATAGGAGTAACGTTCTAAAGGGAAGCTCAAGCTTGTAAAGGGTTCTTGTTTCATGCAAATATCTGCTATATCTGCCTTATTTCTTTGTTGTATGCGGGCTATATGCGGGCTATATGCGCAATATATGCGTCTTATATGCGTCGTGGATACGCGTTATAGATACGTGCTGGATACACGTGCAGGATTCATCAATACAATAAAAACCAAAAAAAACCAAATTGATTGCCAAAAGGTTTTTGGCAGGCTGAATTCTTGTTAAAAACACTTTATTTCTTCTTAAAAGATAAGATTTTGGATAATTCTAGGTTTCATTCAAAAAAACACATAAATATTGCATTTCTACTTATTTTCTACTTATTTTCTACTTATTTCTACTTATTTCTATCTATTTTTATATCATCTCAACTTGCTTCATCAGCTCGATTAATCAGGTTATTCGGGCATTTTATTTATTCTTAACGGGTTTCTCAATCATTTTATTTATTTTTATTAGTTTTTCTAAATTCTTAACATTTGTTAAGCACCAGTTAATCATTATCTAACGGGTTCTCAAGATTTCTTAATATTCATAAGAGGCCGTTTTTAAAGGGATCAAGAGGGGTATAAATCCGTGTCTAATGAGATCCTTTAAAGGATCGGATATTAAGGTTTATGACATGGGTTAAATGGATATTAGGGTTGAATGAAGTTAAGAAGGTTTCTAAAGAGGTTAAGAACCAGATAATAATAGAAGGATCCCGGGATTTTATATCAAGATCAAGGGATTATTTTGAAAGCAGGGGGATAAGTTTGTATGAATGGGAGAGGGTATGATGAAGAGTGAAAGAAAGATAGATATGGTATAAAAGGAGGGTATTTTAGGGGCATCTTTTTATGGAAGGCATCCCGTTTAATAATCATATATAAAAACGAGTATGAGTTGAAAAAAGCAGGAGGACTCCTTTTTATCAGATAAATTTATGGGTAAAAAGTATTTGGTTATTGGAAGAAAGGGATGAAATAGAAAACGTATTGAAGGAATGAAGTTGCAGAGTAAAACGGGGGGATCGAGCCGGGAAATATAGTAATATTGTGTGTGAAGCTAGTTGTAAACTATAGAATTGAATAGAGGAGTGAAAATTCCGAATTATTTATCAGTGGGTATTTGGGGGTTATGGATAGGATGAAGCCGGGTACGTCACCTTTGTTGGAACCGGGTTCATGTACAGCATCGTCGAATTCGCTACCACCATCACCTAAATTGTTGGATACGTTTCTTGCTGATGTTCCTAATACACCAATTACACCATTTACTAATCGGGATTCTGGCAATAATACAGATAATACGTCGCCTCTTAATTTTTATAGCCGGGATGATAAAGATGTCTGTGTTATTCCGTCAGAGGATGTATCTTCTCCATTGGTATTTACGCAAAAAGATCAGGAGTTATCAAATAATGATAAATATGTACCGAAAATGTCAGCGGTATATTTTGAAAAAGTGAATCCAGAATATTCAGATGGTGATGCGAATTTTTCTATCCCTGATATTTCATCATTATCATGTAAAGAATTGAATGAAGAGGGTATAAAAAAGGTCCTTCCATATGAAGGAAGTGTATTAGTTAAACCGGGGGAAAATAAAACATCATCTCCTTTGATAAAAGATAGGATGTTTTCTCATGAAACTATATATCCTGCCAAGAAAGTAGGTGAATTAACTGAAAATCGAGGACGTCCAGCAGCTTGTTTGTTTGTTGCTAGGTTTTTTTTGAAAGATTGATAAGGCATCATTCGGTTAATATAATGATTAGTTTATCATCATCACGTACAGACGAACAATTATGTGCATCTGTTACAAATCATTTTCGCAAGGTAAATATTATTCAAGGACAGCAATGAAAAAACCATTAATTCGAGTTCTTAGTGGGGCAATTTGCTTAATGTAAAAGTATTAAAGGATTGGATGCAACGACCGTATTCTTTTGTACAATTTGAAGTAAGGATTCACCGTTTTCTCCTTAGATCCATACTGATATAGAAAAAAAGAATTTCGAAGATGCAAAGAGAGCTTTGCGCGAAGCTCATAATACAATTATTGATGGGCGACACATTCGTGTAGAAAAAGCACGTGTTAATCGTACACTTTATATTTCTCGAATTGGACAATCATTAGAAGAACAGGTTTTATCTTTCTTTTATAATTAATATTTTTTTTTTTGATTCATTTAAGGATGTTAAAAATTTGCTTGAACCATATGGCGAAATTGAAGATATCGTAATTCCTTCTAGTTCTAATCAAATGCTTCGTAACGATATGGGGAAATGTTGTTTTGCTCGTTTTGCTTTTAGAGATGATGCAATTCAAGCGTTTAGTGTAATATTTTTCGTTACGAATAACTCTTACTTAATATGTATTGCTAGAATCTTCGTCGTAATGGGAATTGGATTGTTGAATGGGCTCAGAACCTTGATCAAAATGCTTCGCAAATACCAATGATTCCTATTGATAAAACTTCCATTTTTGTAGGACAGTTAAATCCATCTTTAGTGACTCGGGAATCTCTTTTAAATAGGTTTAAGAAATACGGCGAAATTGTTGATTGTAGTCTTGTTAATAAACCTAATTCTAATCGAACTGCTTTTGCATTTTTACAATTTGAGTCAGCTGTAAGTAGATTGATAAATATTTGAAAAGATGTTGATTTTTTAAGACTAGTGCATCTGCTGCTGTTGAAAATGAGGTATTAATTTTGTTTTATTGGCGGGGTTTAACTTGACTCTTTATAGAATAACAGTAATTTCCTTGATAGAGTAATTAGAGTACAGTTTCGCGAATTGTATGATAAAACTGATTTATCTACATATGATTCAAGACCGTTACTACCTTCTATTAGTCCTCAATCTCAATTTACTTGTAAATTTCCCCTTTCAAACCCATTTATTCCGAGATTGCGCTCCAGGTCAAATGATTCTTTGTCTCTCACGAATAGAGGCTCTATTTATGGGCAAGATAATTCTGGTATACATGGTTATTATCCAGAAGTGACGAATCAGGCATTTTCCATGGTAATTCATTTTATTCATCTCTATTTTTTTCTAATTATCAAGCGATCGCATGAAGCTTTTATGGCAGCTTATAGAGCTGCATTGGCTGCAACTACATCTTTGAACCAACCTTCTGCAATCAATACTCAAAACGGATATTCAGGAAATATTCAAGTTCCATATCCAGGCACTCCTGTCGGATTAACAAATCACATTAATTCAAACTCTTCTACTTCGGGATATGCTAATCAGCATGCAATGATGAATATTCATCAGAATCCTAATATTATACCTTCGCCGTTTTATTATTTTACCGGAGGAATGAGTGTTCCTCCTCAAAATATAACGTCAAATTCTTTAAATCAGGATAATTTATCTCCTCAGCAGCAGCATGTTAAAGGAAACAATGTTTCTCCTCCTTTTTTATCACATTGGGGAGCATTTGTTCCTACATTTATTCATGGCCCAGGAACCTCTATGCAAGCATCTATATCATTGCCAGGGCATTCTTTTTCACATCAAGACTCAATGAATAGATTCTATCATTTTACTGAAGGTATTTCTAATGGTTCTATTCATCCCACATGGGATCCATCCTTTGGTTATTATCGCTTTGATAATCAGTGTTCTCCAGAGATGCTTGCCTTTCCTGTACAAATGCCAACTCTTCAAGATAGTTTGAATTCTAGTTTTCCTGTGTATGGAGAAGTTTCAGGACATAATACGGATCAAAATGTTCACCCGCCTTGTTCACACAATCAGGCTACTGTTAATGGAGGAATTACAACTTAGTATATCATCTTTATTCATATTTTAGGTGTTTGAATATTATTGACCGTTTGATTATGATCTCTAAATTACGACTTATATTTATATAATCATTCATTGATTGTTATAAAAAATATCATAGGGGTTCAAGGTATTATATTGATAGTGTATAATCTTAAGGTTAATACTTTTACATGGTTATATAATAGATAGGTGATTGGTTAGTAAAAAAAAACATATGTATTTTTAATGATAAATAAATTTGTTTATAAAACTCATATTTCAATTTCTATCCAGAAATGTGCTAATATAATGTTTACATATATAAAGGTATAGTATATAAACTATCTCGAATATTTAGAATTTTCGACATGATACAACCTTACACTTGTTAAGTATGAAAGCTAACCAAAAAAAATTAGGCAATATGCATAGTCTATGCTCTCTCAGACCGATAAAATAAGTTAAAAGACCAAGCAATGATGACTCAGTATAAATAGATATTGATCTTGAAGTTAATCTGCGTCATATTAACTTTGTTTTGCTGTGCCTAAATAACTAAGTCATTGAGCTTATCATAAATGGCGTATGAGAGTATAAAAAGACCTTGTTCTTCAACGAGTAGTTCTTTGAAAACGCCACTTGTATATAATTTTTAAATGGTTTTTAATCAGTCTTGATATGCATAATGTTAAAATAAAAAAATAAAATTGATATTTCCATTTAACAGATTTAAAGAAACCTTCTGCTTAAAATTTGTTTATTGCAGTTTTAAAAATTCCCTATAAATATTTATAATTATGTTTACCTTTTAAAAATAAATAAAAAAAGGTAAAATGAAAATTTATGATACAATGAATTAAGTATTTAAAACATTGATAATGGACTTGGCTTGTTTTTCATTTTTTACCTATAGAGATAAGCGGTGAAAAAATAGATAGGATGAAACAACCTTTATAATATAAGATATTGTTTTATTAGACAATTCGTCAAAGCATCTCATAAAAATACTGGATTTACCAGATTGTTGACAGTCTGATTTAGAAACAACGCCATTTAAAATGGTTGATGATTTGTTTGGCTGATTAGTTTTTTTAGCGATCAAAACATTCTTCTTAGAATCAGAATTCAACGTTGTAATCCAAAGAATGCCAGAACCAATGTACTTCCATTGTTCTGAATCTGTATAAACAAACACTTTTGCTTTACTTTTGTTCAATATCAAACCGGCTTTTTTATTAGAAACCTTTGAAGAATCCGCAGGCTCAGATGTCGTATTTAATGGAGGATTTTCGGAATTATGTTCATAATTTTTTCTAGACTCATGATTTTTAAAAATTTGCAATACCCAAGGATTATCACGATTAATGATTCTATATGAAACGATATAAAAAAGATCTGCATTATTATCATTTTTAAATTGCAACAAAATATATGAAATTCGATCTTGTATAAAACATGCTTCAAAACATTAATTAACTTGAATATAAAGACTAAAGCCTTACCTATGCTTACTTCTCGTTTGGACTGTCTTACTATTGTAGAATACCTTTGTAATTCTCCACAAACAATAACTTCTTGAGAAGATAAATTGCAAATCTCTAACGTGAACATATCCGTTGTGCATGTATATTTGATTATAAGGAACACTTTTTGTTCAATATCGAAAACATTTCTCCAAAATGTAGAATCCCAAAAGAATACAACTGCCTTCTCGCAAAATAGTATTTCACTATTTTCAGATGAAAGCGATGAAGGTAATTGATTAATTAATTTACTGTTTCTATATAGGATCTCAGTATGACCCGAACCATTTTTATTTGATAAAGCTTCAGATGTTTCTGCTGCATTAGGATCTGAATACAAAAGTCCTAAGATGGAATCGTTAAATATCATAGAAGTCAATGATATTCTTCCCAAATCTGGCATAGGAAGTTGTGGCACTGTTGAAGTTTGAGATTTATTTAAACCATTATCCGAGGATGCTTGTTCTCCTACAGATGAAGCCGTATCTGATTCAGTCTTGGTTTTTCCTGAGCTTTGAGTTGATTTTGAATAAATAGAAGCATCAGAATCAGTGACTGAGTGAGCCGTAGCATTTTTATAAGATGATAATGATAACTTCTTAATTCCATTTTCTTTTGAATCCACATTTGAATTAGAAGACTTGGATGATGAAATCGAATTATCTTCATTAGTAGCATATGATGTTGTTGCTTCTGAAATAGAATCCGACCTTGACTCTGCAGAGCATGTACTGTGCTCCGAAGATTCCTGTTCATTAGATTTGCTATTATTAATATCTGGGGATTTGGAAATATCTGTGAAGGATTCATTTTCTTCTGGTAATGTTTCGAGTCTTATTTTCGACGCTCTTGAAAATAAATATGAACCTGAATAATTGTTTGGTCGGTTATTTTTATCAGAAAAAGAAAATACGCCATTTGATGTGCGATCTGGAGGCTGAGGAAATAAATGCGTATTTAAACTCGATTGATTAACGGCAGGCCTAGACGTTGTTTTTTGCATATATTCTGCTGATTTAGGAGTAATTGGCTCAGATTTGTTTTGATGAGTTGCAATAACATTATACGCATTGAGGTGTGGTTGACATGCAGGTATTGATTGATAATTACTTTCTTTTGTATTGATACCCTTCGATTCTGCATTCTCGATGATATGATTCTCCTTTTCTGATGCTACAGATAATTGATTTTTAGTATGGGATTTATCTTGATTTTGAGATTTTAATGATCGTGATGGTAAATGTATTTTTTTATATGGTGTTAAATCAAATGACAAACCATTATTCATTTCATCAGAAATGATAGGAGATTTTCCCATATCTTTTGAAGCAACATGGTCATCTATTGGTGATGGTTTTAATGTTGAATAATCGGTATTTTGGACTGCGCGACTAGATGAAAGCAAATTTATCCATAGTTTCTTGAGTTTCTTGCTAAGTGCGGTCAAATACATCTGTTCGCGTTCATAAATTGAAAGCATAAAAGTTTGCTCATCATCTGTTTCAATCACTTTAAATATCCTGGTTAGAAAAGGCTGGAACATAAGAAATTTGAATTTAGGAATTTCTATGTCCAAAAATAATACAATATCGGTTAAAAGAACAAGTTCAATGTATTTTTGAATAACCTCCCCCGTAATACTGTGAACCATCTTAAGAAAGAAATTTGATCGAGCAATTACAGAACGAACAAATGGAAGTTGAGGAGGTTGAAGGTTCAAGATATATTTCTTAAATGATAAGATAATATTAAAAAAAAAAAAAATGAAATAAATGTTACCTTTGATTCAAGCGTAAATAAATCCCTCATTCTGCTAACATCCAATTCTTTTTCAACTTGACGAACACTACAGGTTAAATTATGTAGCATATCCATATTATTAGGTGCAGAAGGCGTTTTTCCTATTTCCTCCCTGATAGTTTTAATATGCCCTCGTGCTTTGGAAAGTAATAAATGGAAGCATTGATGTGCATATGAAAATTGTTCACTTAATTCATCATCTGTATCTGCTAAAGCACGAAGAAATTTTCGAAAAATCCGCGTATATACTTTTACTCTATGTAAAGGACTGCTTAAAAGCCATTGACATTTTTTAGTACTTGTAGATTGTAAAATTCCGCAATTGCACAATGCAATAGTTAACCATTTATGATTATCCGGGCTTAAAAATTGATCATCTAGCTTTAATGTATACACCGATATATATAATTCGAATGATTCTAATATCGTATCTGTCTTTAACATGTTAACTTCTTGTATTTAAATATTTAGGAGCTTCCTACAAACATTGGAATAGTATTCATCAATGTTTTATGAAGAAAATGCTGCGGAATATACATTTCAAACGTCTGTTTCACATATAAGTCTTTTTCTATCATAAATAATAAAAATATACATTAATAATAGAGCTGCTAGCCGTAATAAAAATACTGATACAACGTGATATGATTTCTAACGATGATAAATCTAATTGTGACATAAGTGCTCCCCGTAAAAGCAATTCCTGAAAAACAGAAAGCTCTATTATATATATCTTTTCCGTCGTCCACCAATGATTTAAAATTTCCGATAATGTAGCTAATGAATTCGTAGATGTTAAGGCTTCTGATGGAACACTTGATACTGATGCGGAATTCGAACATTTTATCGTAAGCGGCGGTGATGGCGGTGTATATGCCGGAGGTAACATCGATATTTTTTGTGAAGGAACATAACTAGGCAATGGATCGAAAATATTCTAATTATTATTACTCCATAAATAATAATTATCGTATAAAATAAAATATACTGATAAAGGCTCCGCTTCAAGTCCAATTTGAATTGCGTTTTCAACTACCCGTATCACCTCATCAATTGATTGTGGTGTACATAACCCAATCTCCTCTAACTATATATTATATTAAAACCTTATTTCCCCTTATATATGCGTATTACATTTGTATTTGGTGTATGCAATGTATTTTTCATCATAATATTAAAGGCATCCTGCTATTAATAACGCGTTTATCCCTGATATTTTCCTATATACACCTTATTTATCTCTTATATGCGTGTTGTATGCGTGTTGTATGCGTAATATATGCGTTATATATGCGTTCTATATGCGCGTCGTATTCCTCACCACTTTTGCACGACTTTCCCCTGTCTTTAAATATCCAATTGATTCTTTAAAATATCTGTTAATAAAATTAAAAACAAATGTTAATTATATTAAATCTTTCCTTTCTAGACTTATTCTTTTCCTTTTTTTACTCCTTTTTCTCCTCTCCATTCTTACGCTAACCCCTTTTTCTATACAGAAATATGATTTCGCGTTTCCCGCGACACTAACGCGTGTTTCACGAAGCAGGATAATCCCAGGCTTGAATCCGTTGGGTGTAGTTATATGTAGGGTTATAATAGGAATGTAGGGTTAGGTGTCGGGTTTGGGGTTAGCGTGTATTTGTAGGGTTAGGTGTGTCGTTGTAGGGTTAGGGATAAGGGTGTTTGGGGTTAGGGTTGTTGCTGCGACTGTAGGGTTAGGGTTCTTCTTAGGGTTCTTCTTAGGGTTGCCCTTAGGGTTGCCCTTAGGGTTGCTCTTTATAGTAATATTTCTTTTTGTAGGGTTAATAGTTTAGGGTTGGAACGACTTTAAAGGAGTCGAACGTCTTAAAAGATATAATAAATTGATACTAAGAAAAAAAGGTAAAGAACGTTTAAATAACAAGAATTACTAATTTTTTTGATAGGAAAGTGCATAAAGATATTATATTTCCTTTTTGTCCGAAAAAAAACGACCCAGTTTTGACGAATATTGGATTAAAGAGTGTTTAAAGATAGTTTTAAAGAAATCCCTATTATTGGGAATAAAATCGCAGTAATTCGTTAAATACATTAGGAATTTATATAAAAAGGCATAGAAGTGTTGTTTATTCGTTTTTTTTTCGTTTTTTTTCTCTAAGAAAAGGGTTATTTTTGAGCGAATAAGATATATAAATTGATATAAGGTTTCTTTGATTGGGATATTTTTATAAAGAGAAAAATAAGTTAGTTATTGTTTTCAGTTGAATCATTTATATTGGAAGTCTTATTTTCAGTTTCTGTTTTTTTTTTGGTATTTTTTGATTTATAATTTTTAAAGTATACGGGTTTGGGTCTTTGTCTATTTTTTCTTAGAGTCTCATGAGTTGTTTAAAAGAGTCATTTCCTCCAATGTTTTGTTTTAAGGAAGGAGATATTCTTGGAAAGTATGTATTTTTTTAGTATTTTTAGGTATACTTAATTTATAGTTGTTATACTGTAATTGGAATTCTTAATCGTGGTTCTTATGGGATTGTTTTATTAGCTCAGGATTCTCAGAATTGTCAGGTTGCGATTAAGGTCCTTTCTCACTCTACTCAAGAATATAAGACGGAATTTGAAATATTATCGACTTTACCTCCTTCGGAATATATTATTTCATATAAGACTTCATTTTCTGAAAATGAATATCTTTTTATTGTTCTCGAATATTATCCTCTTGGAGATTTGTATGAGGCTATTATATCTAATAGATTGCCGAAGGATACGGAAGCTATTCGTTCATTTATGCTTCAACTCGTGGATGGTATTTCGTTTCTTCATAAAAATGGTGTATATCATCGAGATCTTAAGCCTGAAAATATTTTGCTTTTTCACAATCTGGAAAATAATTCTATATCAGTTAAGATTGGTGATTTTGGCTTAGCGACTACACAGAAGATTGTTAATGATGTTGGTACTGGAAGTAATCGATACATGGCACCAGAACAATATGAGGTTCCTGTCTTCCATTCTCTCGGAGTATATCATTATGATGCATCTAAAGTAGATATATGGGCTCTTGGGATTTGTCTTTTAAATATTGTTTTTTCTAAAAACCCTTTTAAAGTACCTTCTGTCAGCGATTTGATTTTTTTGGATTATATGAGAGATCCTATTTCTCTTTTTGATGTTTTTCCGAATATGAGTGAGGATATGTTTAAGGTTCTTCAATGTTCTTTAGTCTGTTCTCCAGAAAAACGCTCTTTAGATGAAATGAGATCTGCTATTGAAAATTTGTTTGAATGGACAATTGACTCGCAATATGTTGAAGAAAACACTGCTGAAAAAAAATTATCAGTATTTAATTATGAAAATATTTCTACTACTGAGCCTAGAAAGTCTTTGCGCTCACCAAGCATTACATCATTTCCACATCATACCCCTTTTTCATGGTCAAAGGCTCTTCAATCTACTGATGTGACTGAAAACAAGAATAATGATAATACTGGAAATAGTATGTTTTCAAATGTTCCTGTATTTCTGGCTCATAAGCCTGAGGAAAATGGTGTGGAAAAAGAAAAAAGGGATCCTGCTGGCCCTTTGAAATCTGGACTAGCTACAAGTATTGAATCATACTTTCATATTAATCAGACAGGGATTATGGATGATAAAAAGATACCTAAAAGCTCTCTTGATACCACTGCTAATATTATATTCCCGACAAGTGTTAAAGGATCAAAGAGCCATCTTTTATTTGGTAAAAGTTGGGCTGATGATGATGATGATGATGATGATGATGATAGTTCAGACGACGATGGATCTGGTATTTCTTTGTATAATCCTCCTCAGAAGTTAAATTATAATACTGATGAATATACTGAAAATGTAACTGAAGCGTCGAATAAAAAAGGCAATGATCTTTGTTTATGGACGCTTACATTGGAAGATAATATTTTATATTTTTAAGTAATGTGTTTATTTCCTTGCTTCATGATTTTTGGATGTATCTAATTAAAAATTATAAATATTATATTGGAATAGATGTTATGTGGAATAATTTTTATGAAATTATATATATGATTTATATTATTTATATTATTTATATTATTTATATGATTTATATGATTTATATGATTTATATGATTTATATGGTTTATATGATTTATATAGTTTAGTTTATATGATTTAATTTTCCTCGCTTCAATTGATTGTTCAGAGTAGTTTGAATTACTGTCTTAATACAATAAGGTCTTTATTTGATAAAAGACGTGTTATTGATGTTTAAAAACAAGTAAATTTATTATTTAGCTTATAGGCTTTCAAAAGCATTTTTAATAAGTTCTCGATGCTCTTGCTCATGCTGAATTTTATTTCCCGTAGCTACAGAAGCTGATGGTAATCTTCCTACATATTTTACTTTTTTATTTTTATGAAATTGAGTTTCACGAAGAACCGTTTCAAGACGAGGTTGGATATATTGCCATGCACCTGCATTTAAGGGTTCCTAAAACATTAGAATTGTTTATTTACATTTTAAATAATATGTACCTCTTGGCACCAAATCAATTCCTTAAGATTTGGATAACTATCCAAACATTCTTTTAAGCCTTGAAAATGAAATGGATGAATCTGCTCACATCTTACAATAGCAGTATCATCAATGTTGCGTTCTCCACGTTCTTTATAAAGAGAAACATATATTTGACCCGTACATAAAATCAATTTATTACATAGTTCACGAGGTTTAAGAAACTTGTTTTCATGACAAGGATCATCTAAAATACGTTGAAAATGCGAAATTTCAGAGAATTCTGATAGATTTGAGCGTGCTAATGGATGTCGTAAAAGAGATTTACTAAAAAATATTATAAGAGGTTTGCGAAACTCACGATGTATTTGTCGGCGAAGAAGATGAAAAAGATTTGCAGGTGTAGTTGGATATGCTATTTGAATATTACATTCTTGGTGTTGCCGTTGAAGTCTCTCTTTTGATGGAAATACACGATAATCGTCATTGACCAATTGAAGATAACGTTCTATCCTACCCGAAGAATGTTCTGGGCCTTGTCCATCATATCCATGTGGAAGTGACATTACAATTCCACTTCGTTGACGCCATTTTACTTCTGCTGAAGCTATGAATTGATCAATGATGCATTGTGCATTATTTGCAAAATCTCCAAACTGTGCTTCCCACATAACTAAAGAATTAGGAGATATAAGCGAATATCCATATTCAAAGCCTAAAACACCGAATTCGCTTAAAGAAGAATTACTTATTACAAATTTTGCTTGTTTTGGATCGATAAAGTTTAATGGTATATATGTGTCTTCATTTTCTTGATCATGAAGAACTGCATGTCTTTGCGAAAAAGTACCTCGTTCAACATCTTGGCCACTTACTCGAACATGACATCCTTCCATTAAAAGAGTAGCAAATGCTAAAACTTCACCTGTTGCCCAATCAATATTTTTTTCTTCTTCTATAGATAGTGCACGATTTTTCATAATACGTTTTAGATTGGGATGGATGTTGAAATCTTTTGGATATGAAAATATTTTTCTTGCTAAATCTTTAAGAGTTTCCTTATCTACAGAAGTTGGAAGATGAGGAAAATTCTTTACTATAAGGTCTCGAGGAGATGCAAATCCTATTATTATTTTAGAATAAGTTTTTTTAATAGTGTAAATTAATACCATTCCATGCACTTGTTAACCATTCACGAGATGTTGGTTTGTAATCTTTTGCTTTTTTGAAACTACTTTCAAGAATATCCCAAACACTATAGCATATAAGTAAAAATATGAAAAGAGTGTATTTTTAACAATTTTTTGTGTTCATTAATATCTTTTTCACTAAAAGATCCTTCTTTTATAAGTTGTTTTGTATATTTTTCTAATGTTGATGTTTGTTGTATAATTTTTCGATACATTAAAGGTTGTGTAAAACTTGGCTGATCTGTTTCATTATGCCCATGTTTTCGATAGCATAAAATATCAATTACTACATCTTTCTTAAAGGCTGCACGCCATTCACTAGCTATTTTGCATATAAATACTAATGCTTCAACATCGTCTCCGTTAACATGGAAAATCGGTGCATCAATACTTTTAGCAATATCTGAACAATACGGAGTAGATCTTGCAAATCTTGGGTCTGTAGTAAATCCTATTTGATTGTTAATAATCAAATGAATTGTTCCCCCTGTCGAATATTTAGGAAGTGCATGAAATCCCATCGTTTCATAGACAACCCCTTGTGCAGCAAATGCTGCATCTCCGTGTAATAATATAGACATAGATTTGGAATGTTCTTTGTCATCATTTGCGTAAAATTGAATTGCACGAGTCTGTCCAAGAACAACGGGATCCTCCGCTTCTAAATGAGATGGGTTTGCAACAAGAGAAAGATAAACACGTTTTCCAGATGGTGTTGGACGTTCATAATTCATTCCAAGATGATACTTTACATCTCCTGAACCTTCACTATCAGGATCTAAGAATCCTGAAAACTCCGAAAATATAGATTCGTTAGGTTTTTTAACAACATTGGATAAAACGTTCAGTCTTCCACGATGTGCCATTCCAATAACAATAGATTCAATACCAAGATCAACAGAATGATCGATTAAAGCTTTCATCCCAGGAATAAGAGACTCACATCCTTCAAGTCCAAATCGTTTATCATTTGGATATTTCGTAGCAAGAAATTTTTCAAAAGAATCGCTCCAAATTAATCGATCAAGAATACGTTGTTTTTCCTCATTATTATATTGATAAGGAACAGGAATTTCAAGTCGTTCTCGAAGCCAATTACATTGATATCTATCTGGAATATGAACATATTCAACACCATACGATCCACCTGTATATTATTAACATAAGCTTATAAAAATATAATGTTTACTATATAACCGTTTAAGATTCTCTACTATTGAAAGAAGTGTCATTTTAGACTGTCCTTCTTTAGAAAAACCTGGCAGAATCCCTGGTCCAAGGCTAAATTCCGTATTAAGATCCTTCTCTGTAAATCCATAATATTCTAATGTCAATTCTTTCGGAATTTCTTTTACTAAATCATCTTTCGCTTTAATACCAAGAGGATCAATATCCGCACATAAATGACCTCGAACTTGGTATGCTCGAACTAGCAATTGCACTTTCAAATGCTGAATAATACTAGCGCTATCATCTATTCCCGTAGGAAGCGTGGGAATCTCTTCAATTGACGCTGGAATAATCGTTGGTGGCGGATGAAACGCATAAATAGGTTTGACATTCTTATTACTCATATTTTTAAAATATATTTGCCACGAAACATGTACTTCTTCTGGATTTTTTTTCCATATTTCATACATCGCGTCAATATAATTTGCTGATGTCCCATGAAGAAACGAATCATTCCATTCCTAAAATATCCCTTAATATCTATTATTTCCTCCTATTATTAGCCTACTGATGCTCTTTTTACTGATGTTATTGAATGCATTCTTTTCATACACCGTCCCGCGGCATTTATACCCTTCCAGATGCCCTTTTTTTCCGGAAAAAAAGGGTTCCTGCCTATATTGAGGTCTATCTTTCTAAAAAAATGTATATTTATCCTCATAATACGGCTTATTTTGCCTTTTTTTCGACTTTTCTTTCTGCTGAATTTATATGTCGTTTGCTGATGGGTTGCCTAGGCAATCTAAAAGTTTATTAGGGTTAAAGATGAATGAAAAATATTTCAATTTTATACAGGAAAAAACACGGATTCTGCTTTATTTTATCTTTATATTTCTTTCTGAATATAAAAAGTGTTCTTTTTATGTATTTTGAAGAAATATCTGGTGACTGTTTTTTTATACTATTTTTTGACGAAGATCGACTGGAATAACGTTTAAAAAAATTAACTGAAAAAATGGTCAGATATGGTGAGTTTTTATGAGAGTTTTAAGCGTTTAAAACGCTTATTTTATCCTGTTTAACGGGTCTTTTATATATTGTTTTTTGTTTTTTCTTTTTTTCCGGGTAAAAAAATGAGTCTAACAAGTTATTAGCATCAGAACCAAGTAATCTAGCTAAATCAGCTAAAGCTCGTGGAGAACATGTATATTTTATATGATTTAATGATTATGAGTTATGGATTGATTGTTTTTAGCTTTCTGTGCATTTTAAAAATACACGAGAGGTTGCTAAGACGATCAAAGGTCTTAGTCTGACGAGGGCATTTCAATATTTAGAAAATGTTAAAGAACACAAGGAAGCGGTTCCCTATAGGAGATATCATCGTGGTCTTGGACGTACGGCCCAAGGAAAGCCTTTTGGGGTTACTTTAGGTATTAATTTGGACTATATATATATATATATTGATTGGTTTCAAGCCCGATGGCCAGAAAAATCAGTTAAATTTATAGTTGATTTGCTTAATAATGCAAAGAGTAATGCGGATTTTAAAGGACTTGATGTAGAAAATTTATATATTACACATATTCAAGTAAATAGAGCACCAAGACAACGTCAGCGAACATATCGTGCTCATGGTCGAATTAATCCTTATATGAATAGTCCCTGTCATATTGAAATTGTTGTTTCTGAGGATATAGAGACAATAAAAAAAGCAGATGATTCTAAAGCTATTCAACGCAATAGATAGAAGAATTATGAAATATACTTTAGAATGTTATATAATTATCTAGGAATAAATATGATATCTAAGTGAATTGGATAAAATTATGTATATATTAAAAATTATTGAAATATGTACAAGTATTTTTGATTTTTTTAAAAAGAGAATATATCTTTTTATATAAATTATTGTAACGATTAAGTTTAATCTTTTTAAAACTTGTGTAGATAAAATATTAGTTTATTTCTGGGATTTTTATATTAATTTCTCTATTATGTTTTTTATTATATCGAGATCTTTCACTTTATAAAATTTACTCTTTTATAGAGTTTTATATTAAAAGAATACTTGATTCTTTCATAACAATTATGAATTTTTAAATCTTTAAATAATTTGTTTATTGTTATTGTGTTTGTATTTAAAAATTCTTTTATTCATTTATATCTAATTCTTTTGTAAACTTTTTATACATTAAAAAATCTGTTTCAAAGATATTGTTTTTTACTAATAAATCTTTTTTATTTTTTAAAAGTTTTCTTTTTAATCATTTTAACCTTTTTTTCATTTTTTTAGCCTTTTTTTTTGACTTTTTTTAATTTTTTTAATAATTTTTAACAACTTTTTAATAACTTTTTAACTTTTTCTTAACGATTTCTTAACTTTTTTTAACTTTTCTTAACTTTTCTTAACATTTTTCCTAACCCACGTTCAACCCAAAACTAATCTTATTAACCTCTCGAACAACCTTTCTTTAATTTGGCTTAGAAAATTAGACTGAAATTAGACAAAATGTCTCTCATTCTTAATCATTCTTAATGCAATTTGTTCAACACAACATTAAATCTCTGTTTTTTGACAAAATAGAGTTTCGCGACTCAGAAAAAGATGATAAAGGACTAAAAGTTACAGTTATTGAAACAGACGGTTAATATTTGGTACCAAATATTAACCTATTAATCTATATTTATAGGGATTAATCTATATATTGGAACTTCATATGGATATGTCTATCATTTTGTTTTAGAAAATAGGAAAAATGTATGTTTTTTGGGGTAAAATATCTTGGTGTAAGAATTATCTAGTTGTCATTGTTTCCTGAATTTATTTTTGCTTCTAAACACAATTTATTGGAGAGGAAATTAGTGAAATCAATTTTTATTTTGTCTCAAATTACACTTGTACTTATACTCTGTGGTTTTTATGGTTTTGCGACTTGTAATTTTTCTTAGTTTTAATAGGAAATGTTCTTTTTTTCTGTGGTTATCCAGAGCTTTCTCCAGTATCTGGTCTGGGTCCTATTAAGGATGTTGTAGATATTTGTCAAGATCTGGATAAGTTTGGAGAGACTGAATTAGATGGAAGTGTTATTTTAACAGTTTTAATGAAAAGAAAAATAAAGCGAATTAAGGTTAAAGATACAATTTCTGTTCTTTTAGTTTGTATTTTTATTAATTTTGTGAAATATTTAACTAAAGTTTAGGATATTCATTGTTCATCTGTGGTTTCTATATGTCAAAGAGGGTTTATTTGCTGTGTTGCTACTATTTCGTCATATGAGCTTATTAATTTTGAAAATAATAGGAGGATCCCTCTTTTTCCTATAATTCAAGGGAATGATGCTTTACATCATAATTTTTTACGAATATCTATGCCATTTTTAAAGCCTATAATTATAAGTATTTCTAAGTCAGAGTTTGCTGTAACATGTTTATTTAATGGAAAAAATTATGTTGGGTTATTTGTTGATATAAATGGTAATATTGTACGAGGGACTATTATGTTTTCAGAATATCCTATTTCTTTAGCTTCTGAATTTCCTTTTTTGATGGCTTTAATGGATAATTCATTTGTTGAAATACATAATATTATTGATCAGACGCTTGTTCAGGTTGTTCAATCTCCATTCTTAGGATCTATTACAAATATTTTTCGTACATTTGGTCATTTTTGTATATTTTCTGAATCTTTAATGAAGAAGATTGTTATGGTAAAAGCTATGTCTTCTAAAGATCCAGAAACTCAAGATCATGATATTCAAAATAATAAATTGTTAGAAGAGATGGATATTGCTACTAGGTTATCTAGTATTCCTTCAAAAGTTTTTTTAACTGGAGAGAATGGAATAAGTTGTTTAGTATTTGATTCTATTTTAGTTTATGTTGATGAGCTCTTGAATTCAAAAGAAATAGATGATGTTCTTATTTTTATAAAAGATATTACTAAAATAATAACACCAGAAAATATTCATAGTGAAAGAATTGTGAGTTTTTCTATTTTATTTGATTCTTTTAACTGGATTATTTAGTATCATGAAATTTCATACATTCGCCAGATATCTGGATTTGTTTATTTGGAAAAAATATTATTTGATGATGCTATTATTCAATTTGAAGAATCAGATATTGATCCTAGACTTGTTATTTCTCTTTTTCCTGTGTTTGATGTAAAATTGGATGGGATTATGGCATATAAGGGAGTTGATGAAATTATTTGTAGATTAGTGGATATTGATAATATAAGTATGAGAATTTAGGTAATAATTATATTATTAATAAACTTAGTTTCTTCTGAAATTATTGGAAAATTTGATTCATATGTGCAATTATCTCATGAAGAAACTGAAACTGCTCAGAATTATAGAAAAATTTTGTATCAAAATGCATTAAATACATTAAAGAAATATCTTCTTAAATATAGACAAAGAAAGGAATTGGGAAGTATAGGCACTGGTTATAAAAATAAACAAATATTTCAAGTAGTTGATCTAACCCTCTTGAAATTGCTTGTATACTTAAGTCCTGAGGAAGACTCAAATGTTTTATATAAATTAGTTGATTCAGGAATTGAGTGTTTTGATGATGCTATAATAATTTTTGAGGAAAACAAGAAATATTTTCTTTTAAGCAAATTATATCAAAATATGAAAATGCAAAATAAAGTTTTGGAAATTTGGAAAAATATATTGGATGGAAACATGTTTGATCATGAATTTATAGATGGTGAAACAAAAATGAAAGATTATTTATTTGAAGTGGACGATGATAATTTACGTATTGATTATACTATATGGTTATTAGAAAGAATGCAGCATATTGGAATTGAGGTATTTTTTATTCTTATATGTTTTAATAAGTATTGAAATTTTAGTTTTTTGTTAGCATTGACTCTAAAAAGCCATTTGGGTTTTCTACAGATGAAATGGTTAATATATTTCGTTCTAGGAGTAAAATATGTCTTAAGATCTATCTAGAATATCTTGTTTCAAATTTTAGTGTTTGTGTTGATTTTATTTATTGAACTTTTTATTTCTAATGAATTTAGAATTTGTCTTTTTTAAATGAGCTTTTACTATTATATCTAGATGAAATTAATAATTACTTGCAAATTCCTTTGATTAGAAATGCTACAGAAAAATCTATTAAAGATTATAGTGAATCCAATGACGACAAATTATCTTATTTTGAATATTTATCTACTTGCATGATAGAAAATGATGAAAGATATCAAAAATTTGTTTCTAATAGGATTAAATTGATTGAATATTTACAATCTGTATCTGATTATGATTTTGATCTTGTTTTAAAACATTTGCATTCTCAAAAAGATATACTTTTAATCGAATTAGTCATTTTATATGGAAGAGTAAGTTCAATCATACATACATATATGTATGTATATATATTATCTATCTATATATATATATGTATGTATGTATATATATATATATCTGATTTTCTATTTAGTTTTCTAGACATGAAGAAGCTCTCACTATTCTAGTTCAAACTTTAAGAGATTATAAAACTTCTGAAATTTACTGCTACCATAGAGGTTTGCTTGTTAAATCATATTATCATGGAAAAGACTCCAATGAATTCCTTTTACAACGAAAAAATCTTTTTAAAATATTATTAGACCAATATTTAAGACTTCCTGATTATGATCAAAAATTACATAGAATTTCTTTTCTACTAAAACATTGGAATATCTACTTAGATTCTGTCTATGTTTTAAATACTATCTCAAATCATTGGTCTATTGATAAATTTTCTGACTTCTTAATTACTATTCTACAAAAAAACTTTCACGAAAAATATCATTCATTTCTTATTAAGTCTTTACATCGTGGTTTATCTACAATACATGACTATTCTAATCTTATCTCACTATCTGATAACTCTTAACTACTATATTATATATATATTATCGATTTATTTTTAAGCTTAAAATTAACTTAATATTTTTAAGAAAATATAGATTTCTAGAGGTATGAGGAGCTTTATATAAGGAATAATGCCTTTAATGAGTCTATAATTGGTGGTTAAATAATTCTATGATAAGATAAGATATAAGGTTGTTGTGGATGAGTGTTTTAGATCTTTCAAAAAAAGGTTTTTTAAGCAATTTTTATATTATATGGGTTTTAATGAGGAGTTTAGTTGGTGCAGAGGAGAGTCTTAGGACGTTTCGGTTATTAGAAGGTGTGGAGAAGCGTATAGATTGAATATAAGAAGTTTGATAAATAACTAGCGTTTCGTTCGGGAGATATAGAAGCGGTTGATAAATGTTTTGATAATTATGAAAAAGAAATATCGGAGGAATGTACAAGGACACCATCTAGTTCTATTAGGGCATTTGATCTTTTTAGTCCTCTTATTCTTGCGGTTCAATGTGCATCAGTATCAATTGTTGAACATATTTTACATAAAAATATTTTTGATGTGAATCATAAAGATGATTATGGAAATACAGTAAGAATGGTTAGTTTTTTTGGGGGGATATTCTTATTAAAAAAGGCACTTCATCTTGCAGTTTATATGTGTCGTTTCGATGTAATTAAAATGCTTTTGCTTAACGCTAATATTAATGATACAATCCTCAATAATAATAGAAAACAGGCATATGAGTTATCTACGACTCCTGAGATATATAATTATATGATTGGTAATTAATATTTTTTTTTGAATTTTATAGTATATCTTAAATATATTAAGCTGAAAGAGCACGTTTTATTGAAAAAACAGAGGAGAAATTTTCCCAGTTAATATTTTTAAAAAAATTTGAAGAACTTAAAAAGATGTTAGAAATACCTCGTGTTTCTGCTTTACTTGATTTGAATAAAATTGATAAGAATGGTTCTACATTTTTGCATGAGGCAGTTAAAGGAAATGATATGGAAACTTTGCAAATTCTTATTGATCATGGAGCGGTAATTATTTTTTTTTTTATATATAGATGTAAATTTATCATGAAATAAGGATCCTTCAAAAAAAGATAAAAATGGAAGAACACCTAGCGATATTGCGAAAGATGACTTAATTAAACGGAAATTATTAGTTTCTTCATCTGATAGTATTGTTGTTACATTTCCTGGTGATCCTATATTTATGTCAGGTTATATGGATAAATGGACAAATTATAAATCGGGTTACAAGAAACGATGGTTTGTCTTGAGAAACGGTGTTCTTTCATATTATAAAAACCAAGGAAGGTTTTTATTTTTTTTCCGATATAATGTCTTATATTTGTAGATGATGCTGATACTGAATGCAGAGGTTCGATAAATATGCGAACAGCTAGAATTAATTATGGTTCTGGAGATAAAAGAGCTTTCGAAATTTTATGTTGTGATTCTGTTAAATATAGTGTAAAAGTAACGAATCCATCTGAGGCTCGAAAATGGGTTTGGGCACTTACTAATTCTATTCAATGGGCAAAAGATGAGAATGTAACTATTATTGATGATATTTCTAAATTTTCGCCTAAAGAACGGGGAAAAGCGCCTTTAAAAGAATCCGGGCTTTATCGTCCTCAATATTTACCTTGTAATGATTTGGATGATGATGAATCATCCGAAACTTGTGATCCTGGAGAATCTTGTAAAGACAATTTTTTGATAACTATGAATTCCTTTAGAATTCAATTGGATATTCTTTCTCAGATATTTGATGATATTTTGACCAGTCTCAATTTTATTCCGGAAAAAGCTTTGAGCTTAAAAATGGAAAGTTCTGTAGAATCGTTTAATCAATCTATTGATTCTTTGCGTGGATCATTAAGGAATTTGGATCAGATATTTTTAGATGCTGAGAAATATTGGAAGAGAATGATAAATAAGGAGAAACGTATGAGAATATTATGGGAGGTTTGTTATGTATATTGATCATATTATTGTTTAAATAATAATAATAGGAAAATATGCATAAACTTGCTAGTGAACAGGAAGAAATAGAAAGAAATCTTCAAAATGTTGAAAATGAAAGAAGACGTGCTAAAAAGGCTTTACGTGAAGCAAAACGTAAATTAAATTTTACTCCTAAAATCATAAGATCTAGCTCCGATGGAGTTAGGAGTGAAAATGACTTAGAAACACATGATTCTTTCTTGGATCTAAGAAGTAGTCAATCATTTCAGAATAGCGATATAGAAAATAATTATTTGGACGATAATGATAGTTCTTCAAGTCCAGATGAATTTTTTGATATTACTAATTCTATAGAAACTAAAATAGATAAAATCCTGACATTAGATTCCAGTAGTGAAAAAATATCTCAAAAAAAGAGCCTTAAGGAAATGCAAATTGAGCTTTCATATCATGGCTATGAAGATCCACTTCGTTTGAAATTAGATTTAATAGATGATAGACCAAAGCTTAGTTTATGGGGAATGTGTTTATAATTCTTATTAGTTTTTTAACATTCTTTTAGGTATTTTGAAAAGTATGATTGGGAAGGATATTACTAAAATAACCCTGCCTGTTAGTTTTAATGAAGCGACTAGCCTGCTTCAAAGGGTTGCAGAAGATATGGAATATATAGATTTAGTAGATATTTCTCTGACATTGCCTGAATCATATGATAGGATGTTATATGTAGCTGCTTTTGCTATTAGTGAAGTATTCTTGTTTATTGATATTCCACTTTTTTATTTATTTATTTTAGTATTCTAGTACTATTAATCGAGTAGCTAAGCCTTTTAATCCATTACTCGGTGAAACATTTGAGTATTGTAGACCAGACAAAGGCTATCGTTTTATAGTTGAGCAAGTTAGTCATCATCCTCCAATTAGTGCTGCTCATGCTGAATCTCTTAATTGGGAATATTGGGTTTTTTCTCTCTTATTATACTTAATAATCTAATCTAATCTTATTAGGGAGAATCTCGTGTTAGCTCAAAGTTCTATGGTAGAAGTTTTGATATTAATCCTTTAGGAACTTGGTTTTTAAGATTACATAATGATTCTGGTTTAGACGAATTATATACATGGAAAAAAGTTACAACTTCTGTCATTGGAATTATCACTGGTTGTCCAACCGTTGATAAGTAAGCTTTTTCTTCTCATTATTCTTTCTAATTTTTCTTAGTTTTGGTGAAATGTTGATAAAAAATCATTCTGTTGGAGATGTATGTACTATCGATTTCAAAAAGAGAGGATGGAGAGGAGATGGCGCTTGTGAGATAAAAGGAATCATAACTGACAGCAAGGGAATATCAAGATGGAGCATTGGAGGTCATTGGAATGATAAAATATATGCTAAAAGAATGAATGGTATTTCTGTAACTAGCGATACTGCTATACTCTTATGGCAAAATCATGAAAGACCTCCTGCTCCTTTCAATCTTACTCCTTTTGCTATCACATTAAATGCATTACCGGAAAAATTGAAGCCATGGTTACCTCCTACTGATACTCGTTTAAGACCTGATCAAAGAGCTATGGAAAACGGTGACTATGAATTTGCTGCAAAAGAAAAAGAAAGACTTGAAAATAAACAAAGAGCTGCAAGAAAAGAACGGGAACTAAAAGGTCAAACTTATGTCCCAAGATGGTTTGAAAAATCAATTAATAAAATTACCGGCGATGAACAATGGTTATTCAATGGCGAGTATTGGAAACTTAGAGAGATTTTGGGCTCAAATAATGAAAAATCTAACGCAGATTCTTGGGGTGTCACCGATATCTTTTAACTTATTTATTTATATTTACTTCTATCTTTAACCATTCATATTACTCTTCTCAACTTTCTTTTCTTCGGGCATATTAAACACTACTTACTTATTCATTTTACTTTAACTACTGCAAATATATATATAATTATGTATAGAAATGTCATTCTTAATTTTATAAATTTCCTCTCAACTCTATTTTTTGCCGTACATTTTTCGACCGTCTCTAAAGATGAAACTTACCTTTAAGAATCTTAATCAACAGAAATTTGTTATTGAAGATGTTGATCCTATGAATACTGTATATTTCTTAAGATTTATTAGAAATATTAAGATTATTATTAGATATTACAGGTTAAAGAAAAGATCCAAGAAGTACAAGGACATGATTCAAAATGCCAGAAACTTGTATATTCTGGTTAGTTTTATTAGGGTATTATATGAGGAATTGATAGGAGTAATTGACAGGAAAAATACTGGCAGATGAGAAGACAGTAGAAAGCTATAATATTAAAGAAAAGGATTTTATTGTTTGTATGGTTCAAAAGGTGTTTTATAAAGGGTTTAATTATATAAATTTAATTGTTTTTGAAGCCTAAACAAGTGGCAAGTAGTAGTGTTGCAGTAGAATCAAAAGTTTGTTCGGAAAATATACAAGATCCAGGGAGTGAGAAGACAAAAAGTGTAGAATCAAGTTCAGAAACAGCTACATCATCATCGGTAGCTTTTAATGACCCGAATTCTCTTGGTACGGGGTTAATATGTGTATAAAAATTGATAATTTGATGATTTTTAGTTATTGGACAGTTACGTGATACAGCAGTAGAAAATATGGTAGAAATGGGATATGAACGTACACAAGTAGAGAATGCTATGCGTGCGGCATTTAATAATCCTGATAGAGCAGTGGAATATCTTTTGACTGTATAAAATGATTAATTTTTTAAATGAATAATTTATATTTATGATAGGGTATTCCTGATCATTTAACTCAAGAGTTATCTCAACAAGTAACTCTTCCTCGGCCTGTATCACCTTCTCATCAGACGCTTCAGACTCATCAAGTGTCTCAACCTACAACTGTACCTACAACTGCGCCTACAACTGTGCCTACAACTGTTCCTACAACTGTTCCTACAACTAATCGATCTCAAAATTTATTTGAATTAGCTGCTCAAGTTTCTCAACAAGGAAGAGACCGTTTAAATTCTGGTTCTGGTAATTCTTTTGGGGGTTCTGGGGGTACAGAAAGTTTGGCTTTTTTAAGAAATAATCCTCAATTTCAAATGTTACGACGATTTATTCGAGCTCAACCACATATGCTTGAATCTGTCTTACAACAATTAGCTCAAGGAAATTTGCAATTGGCTACGGTAATTTTTATTTTATCTTTATATATTTTTTTTTTTACTTTTTAAAGCTTATAAATCAAAATTCTGAGGCATTTTTACAATTGCTTTCTGAAGATGTAGAGGGAGAGGATACTACATTGATGCCTAATATGATTCAATTAACAGAAGAAGAACGACAAGCTATCGAAAGAGTAAATTATTTCTTAATTATTCTTTAAATATATATTCATTTTTATAGCTCGAAGCTTTAGGTTTTTCTCGTGGAACTGTTGTTCAGGCTTATTTTGCTTGTGATAAAAATGAAGAGGTATATTTTTTTTTTCTTTTTTTTTTTTTCTTTATTTTTACTTCATAAAAGGTCACTGCAAATTATTTGTTTGAGCATGGTCATGAATCTGATGAAGAAATCTCTTGAACCTTGTACATATATTATAAAAATACCTATATCTAAATTTTTAATTAGGCTACTTTTGTCACTATATTAATATTCTTTAAAATCAAAAAATTCTATATCTTTTATTATTATTATAATAATCTTATTTTCTTCTATTAATAACTATATTAATCACTTATTTATAATGAATCTTGATAAGATTAGATAAGAACTTGGAAAAATAACTTTTTTATATTAATTTCTTGAGGACGACAAAAAAATAGAAGATAGAAAAATGGGTAAAATAACATGAAATTTATATGAAATTACTTATTTTTTTAGCTTTACGTGCTCAGTTTGAGAGTTCTAGCGAGTATGTCTTTTTTTCAGATTAAAAATAGGCTTAATATTGCCTTAGAATTGGGGTTTTTGGCAAATTAACAAATAGTTATGCCTTAACGGCAATTGGGAGCTCAGAGAACTTTCATAGGTATATATCTCTATAATCTATTATTTAATAAAGGTTTTCAGTATTATAGAGAGTGAACTTGGGGATATTAGTGAGTTTTTTGAGTTCTCCGGGTGATTTTAAGGGTTTTTAGTACCAGTATGTCATTCTAGTATATCAGGAGCTCGTATTATTGGTAGAATGATGGCAGGGAATTGTAGAGGTCTTTTGGTTCCATCTACAACGACAGTAATGATTTTATTATGAGGAATTGATATTTACGATGGATGGTATAGGATCAAGAACTTATGCATCTTCGAAATTCTTTACCGGATTGTGTTAAAATCCAAAGTATTAATGAACGTTTATCTGCTCTTGGGAATGTGATTGCATGCAATGATTATGTAGCTTTAGTTCATCCAGATATTGAGAGAGAAACAGAAGAAATTATTGCAGATGTACTTGGAGTGGAAGTTTTTAGACAAACTATTGCGGGTAATGTTCTTGTTGGGACTTATTGTGCCTTGAGTAATCAAGGAGCTTTGGTAGATTTTTTTGAATATTAGAATTTTTAGTGTCTTATATTTTTAGGTACATCCTAAAACTACTATTGCAGAGCAGGATGAACTTTCATCTCTTCTTCAAGTTCCATTAATAGCAGGAAGTGTAAATAGGGGTTCTGATCTTGTTGGTGCTGGCGTTGTAAGATTATATTTATTATTTAATAGATTGTAATTATATTTTAGATTGTTAATGATTGGATTGCATTTGCTGGGTTTGATACGACAGCGATAGAATTATCTGCTATTGAAAGTATATTTAAACTACATGTAAGATCTTTATAGCATTTTATATGATGATGTTTATCTATAAAAGGATGCACAAACTGCTATGGCAATTACGGGTATAAAAGATGCAACGATCGAAACATATTTATAATAAATATAATGAACTTTTCGTATTATTGTATGCTGTGTTATTTCTTGGTTATTATATTTAGATTTAAAATACATTTAAAACTGGATAGGGTTGATTTTTTAATACATATTTGAAGGCTATCATGGTCATTAATATGTAGTTTAATAATAGTTAATAATATATTTCATAATTTTTCAACTATATCTTATATATTTCCCTACAACTATACAATGATCTCTCTTTAGATATATTAGTGGTTTGAATACATAAAATATAATGTAATACCTCATATGGTTCAAGTGTAAGCTGTTCTTGAGGCTTAATTTTTTCTTCTTGCAGCTTCTTAACTTCACGTGAAAAGACTGTTACTGCTTCAACTGTTGAATCAATACAATTAGCTTTGATTGAAATAACAATTCCTCCAGAACTATAACTATTTAATTAAATTCTTAATTAATATATAACTCACTTCTTTAAAAAAGTGTGTGCATTCAGTGCAATAATTCGTGCTTGATCTGGTTGGGCAACATCCGCAAATACTATTTGCTTGTAAGCATTCCACATATCATACATGTACATTATAGTCTTCTTTCTACCTGTATCAACCATACCAACAAGCATTCGGTATTTTTGAGGATGACGTGCATCCTCAATAATAGGAATAACGTTAGTTCGTTTTTGTGCCATATGAAGTAAATCCCTTCCACTACGATGCGAAAATTCTACCGCATAAACTAACCCTTCTGGTCCAACAATATCTGCTACATGGCTCACTGATGTTCCACTCGCTGCTCCAAGATATAATACTTTTGCTCCTGGACGAATATAAATCTCATCAAGTCCACCTAAAATACCCGCTGCAAGCTTCGATCTAAACGGATTCCATACTCGATACTCTGTTTTTTTTCCATCTGTTTCTACCGATATCCTTTTTTCACCATATCTACATCTCTTTTTACTAAATATTCCTTCTACTATTAAAATATTACACTGATTCTCCTGGTACTAGACTTTTTGTCACTAAAAAATCCTCTTTTCCCCGTGCAACAAAAACACCTGCATGACGATGTGGTTCAATTATTACTTTTGTTGCTTTTGGTCGATTAAATCTTTTACGTATTGGTGCTCCACGAGATTTCATTCCACGAGAATCCCATCGTTTCTGTTTCTGCCCTCGATCAAAACGTCCTTTCTGTCCTTTTTGTCCTCTCTGTCCATATCCACCTCTTGATCCCATTAATTAATATTATTTATTCTTAATAATATAGAAATTCTTGATATTTTTTTAATAATTCTTAATAATTCTTAATATTTTTTTAATAATTCTTAATAACTCTTAATAATTCTTAATATCTATTAGAAATGTTAGTAATATTTGTTAAAAAAAACATATAAACCTGTTGATTATTGTTAATTTTGAAGTTCATCAAGTTATAAGAATTCTAGTCGTCAGGTTAGATATGAATTACTAGGTTAGGGTTTTGCCCTTGTTTGTATTTTATAGGTTAGGTTTGGGTTAGGTTTGAGTTGATGGTTAGGGTTAGGTTGTTATAGGGTTAGGGTTATGCTCTTAGCTTATACTTAGGGTTAGGGTTAGGGTTGTGATTGACTCTCCTCGTATATAAACAACTAGTCATGTGATCTGCTTATCTCTTTAACATAGAACTCGGACAACTTAGTCAAATAAAAAAAATGATTTGAAAACTATCTAAAAAATATTATGAAAGAAGGAATAGCCATATTAACATGTTGTGTAAGTTAATAAATAATGAAAAAGAGAAGTCTAATTGTATAATATAATATAGGTAGTTCATTTAATTCTTGGGGGATATTTTTTGTTAATAGCAGTTCGTGGAGGACCACCACAAGTGATTGGATTTGCAGCGACAGCAGCATTTTTGTATTTGCAGCTGATGATTGGAGATGCAATATTATTACCGGAACATGGGTTTAATATGTGTATAGTTGCACTTGGAACAATTTCTATATTTATAGGAATTATTTTCTGGGGATGGTTGTTTTTTTCAGGTAATGGTAATGCGGCAGTGAATGCAGCATGTGTATTTTTTCAGGAAAAAAAATGTAAACTACGCTGGTCGATAGAGTTTGCAGGATTTATAGGATTAATTTTATGGACTATAAGTGCGATTTCTCAAGTTTTTTTGTATTTTTATTTTATATATAATCGACCTCCTAAACGGTCTACAAAATTGCGAAAATCGAGATCAAATAATGTTTTAGATTTTTCTTCTATGTCTTATGCCAGTCATGGTACACCGAGTTTGACATGTGTATCAAACTCGTCTACTGATAATGATAAAACGACCTATCCTGCAGTGACTGCTATGTCTCCTGTTTATGAAGGAGAAGCATCTAGTAAAGAATGGATGCTTAAATTTTATGAGGGTTCTTTAAAAGATCAGTCAAAAACCAAAAAGAATCTTCAATTTCATAAAGACTTGAAGATAAAAAAAAATAATAGCCTTTCATCTTCTCGAAAACTTCGCTCTATTCGTCACTGGAAAAATTTTGGTCATCATCATTTTCCTCTATATACGACATGGCATGCTCCTTTTAGTCAGACTAGATATCCTTATTTTTCTAAAAAAACTCCTTCGTTTCTAAATATGAAGATTCCTTTGATAAACTTGCATTTTTCAAAAAATAGAGAAACTATTGTTGAAGGACCTGATTGGAATACCTGGGATTTTTCAAACTTTGACACGTCTATGTATTCGAATTCTTTTTCACAAGAAGCTATTAACTTGAATGATAATATCTATAATAATGAGTCTTCGTCTGCGCTCAATACACTTCATGCAAGTTTCGATACTCAAATGACACAGAGTAGTTGTTTTAGAAGATTTTTCGAAAACAACATAAACAATATTGACCTCAACAATTCTTCAAGATAATCTATTTGGTAATGTAATTTATAAATAATTTGTATATTAGTTTTGATAACTCGTATGATGTTTGCACCATTAATTTGAACGAATAATTTTTGATAACTATATAATTACTCTTTATTATATATATATTTCATCTATATTCCTGATATATAAACTTTGTTTAAATAATATTTTGCTTTTTATTAGTGTTTCTTTTAGACTTCGAAAAAATTAAACTTGTATTTTTATTGATTTATTCTTAGACTTTCTTAAGTTGTATTTGAATTGCGATAACTTTTTATACTTCAATATATTTCTTTTCATATAGGCTTTAGAAGTTTTTTTATGCGGAAAAAGAGGAAATTGGAAGCAAATGATATAGATATCAACGTATATATTTTTTCCTATACATATTGGAATTTTAGGAGAGAGTTGATAATATAGTTAGGTTGATTTGGATAAAGGGAATGATGAACGCTTGATTGTTTGCAAATTTGAATATTTTGTGGGATCACTGAAAGATTTAGTTGAATATGTATTACCTTTAAAGAAGGGACATTTTACAGGGAAAAAGACAGAAAAAATATATAAAATAGTTCTTCAATTGGCAGATATGATAAAGAAAGATCCTTTTTTTTTAGAGATGATGTCTTTGGTTCAAAATTCTTTAAAATTGGAATATGTAAAAGAGTCAGAGATACCTTTATTACCTGAAATAAAGGATCCATTATTGCTAAAGCAGGTTTTTACGCATAGGTCATATGCATACTCTACTAAGTCTTATAATGTTTCTGAAAGAGACATTTTAAAATTGCATAATGAAAGACTTGAGTTTTTAGGTGATTCATATTTAAATCATGCAGTTACAAGACTACTTTTCAATGCATTTCCAGATGCTCGTGAAGGAGAGTTATCTGTGATGCGTTCTGAGCTTGTAGGAAATACTAAGGCTGAAAAAATTAGTAGACTTTATGGATTTGATAAAAGGTTACTTTTGAGCGAATCTGCTGAAAGCGATAATGTTAGATCTTTAAAAAAAATCGTAGCTGATATATTTGAAAGTTATATTGGTGGTTTAGTATTGGACTCCTCTAATGGGGAAAGAATTGCTTTCCACTGGATTTCTCAATTAATGGCACCAGATATTTCTTTGTTTCAAAAAAAGCAAAAGAATTTTGTAGAGCTAGATAAAATGGCAAAACAAACCTTATATAATCGGATTGGAAGAGAATATCATACGGATGGACAAACACGAAAAAAGATTGAATATATTTGGATTGGTGGAGAAGGTGGAAATAAGGATGGATATGAATATAGTTGTAGAATTGATGGTGAAGAGGTGGGTCGTGGATGGGGCCCTAATCAAAAGATTGCTGGTATTCGTAGCGCTATGGATGCTCTAGTAATATTTTCTTTTTATTTAAATACTATTTTTAATATATATATAGGCAAAACTTCCTTCTGAAAACAAATAATTATTTCTATCAGGATTTTTTTAATATTTCACTCTTTTATTTACAATTTATCTAATATATTTGGTTAAGAAAAATACTGAAAATTGACTAAGTTAGCTTATAATTATTCATCATATAATTTATATATTTAACATTTTAAACAAATTCAATAAAGATTACTGGTATTTCTGATATTTTCTATATTAACAATGTATATAATAAGGATATCTCTTAATTTTTATTCTATCCAATACCATAAATTATATTATATCGTCAAATAATATACATAATATATTTACTATTTGCTTTTATTTTATAGCTTTATCTTATCAAATATTAAAGTCTTTGTTTTATCTATATTTTTCTATTTTTTTATATTTTTTTTAGATAATATTTATGGATCAATGACGTACATATTATTTTATATATTCTATTTGGAGGAAGAAAATAAAATTTGTTATATTAATTTTTTATTGAAATAATAGCTTTTGTACTTTTTTTATTATAATTTATGTGGATTTAATGTCAGATTCTTCAGAACTTAGTAGTCCTCCTTCATCATTACACTCAGTGATATTAAAGGAATCTGATAATGATTTATCAGCTGTTAAAAGTGAGAGTGTCTCTATAGCTTCTTCTAAAAGTTCTTCTGGTGAATCCGGTATAAATGAGTCATTTGTATCATCTTTAGATATAGCGTATATTGTAGCTTTTAGAAATCGGTTTTCACAGTTATTTGAAGGTATTCCAGATTTAGGACCGCAAGATATTGAACGGTAAGACAAGTTTTATGTTATGAATTACTTAGAAAATATAGTGGTATTTTAGGAGAACCTGAAGCATTGGATAAAATTGTTGAATTATTATGTAGACTTGTAACATTATGTTTAAATAGGAAAAGAGCAGTACAGTGGGTTATTTATATATAAAACTACTATTATTGATGTATACAGATCAAAACATTTTTCTCGTGCTTTAAGTGAAAGTGTAGATGTTCATATTAAACATCTTGATCCTTCTTGGTGTGGATATAATCCACTTCATAGAGAAAATGGATTTTATTCTCTTTGCTCTTCAGATAAGGTGAATTGAGGTAAGCTTTGTATATTTTTACTAAGTATGGCTTTTTATATAGCTTAAATTACTTTGTTGTCTGGTAGATTGGTGTCTGATGTCTTCAGAAGTAGTTCGTTCTTTTATTGATGAGAATTATAAAAATCGTGCTTCTGATGATAAGAGAAATGCTCTTTTAGTTCATCCATTAGGAAAGGATGGCAAAAATAGAAAACTATGGCTTATAGAAGGAAATGGTATTTATCTTTTATCATTTTTTGGTTTTAATCAAATCTTAGATACACCATTTCGTGTTTACCGTGAAACAAAATCACGGTCAGGATTTGTTAAATGGAAATCTATTGCAGGAACAGCTGATGAGCTTCGTCAGTATGCATTAAGTTTATCTAATGATTCTTCTTTAAATGCTATTGCTTTAGTTCCAAAAATATTGGAGCAAGTATGTCCTCGTGTAGAAAAAGCACAAATTGTATTTATGAGTTCTTTTGAATACTTCAGCTAATTTGATGTGATAGAGAAGAGATAAATTAGAGGCAAATCGTGCTCGTTTAGCTGTATGTATTTGGAATTTGATTATATAATTTATTGATCATTCATTTTTTATTTAGTCTTTAAACATAGAATCAACTTTATTAGGGATGCGAACACGTGGAAAACGAATAAAATATACTTTTTCTGATAATGATGATAGTGATAATGACATTCGGACCTCTTCTTTTAAAGATAAAGACTGTTTTGATTCTAATAATAAATCTATTCAATATACTGCGAGTGGACGAATGATAAGAAGGCCTAAACGAGGGGATTATGGAATTTATGAAGAGATTGATATGGCTGAAACTAGTGATTTTAGGAAAATTAAAAATATAGAATTATCTAAAAATTCATTTCAAGATGATAATTATGTCGAACTTGAAAGTGGATATCATACTACTTCGACTAGTTCGGAATCTGAATCTGGAACATTTTCTTTAAAAGTGCTTTTGAAATATAATCCTAAGAAAGTGGTTACTGAATTAAGTGATTTTCCTGAAACTTTTATTGAACATGATCATTTATTAAATAAAAATTCTTTAAACTAAATTATATATTATAATGTAATAGCTGATTATCTAAAAATTGGATTTCTTTAGATACCTTAAAAGATGAGATATAAACTCGATGTTATACTGGTAATTACTAATATGTAAATATTACTTTACGGGTAAGTATTCTTAAATAAAATCTGTGGTTTATTTATATGCTAGTTTTTTATAGAGTATATAACAATTATGTTTTATAAAAATTATATGATTTATATGGAATGCATTTCTGGGAATATGAAATGTTTATGGTATTAAATTTTTGAAAAAAATATGGAATTCCTGGTTTTTAAAAAATATCGAAATCGGTTGAAGAAAATATCATTTTGCAACTTTATTCTTTTAAATTTAGAATCTAGGCTTTTACTTTATTTTGTTAAATATAGAATTTTTTTGGATGTCGAGTGTAAAAATAATGTTTTTGATGGGATTATTTGCACACAATAATTTTTATTGAATATTAAACGTTATATATGTTATTTTTAGAGTTTTTCATTGCATTATTGTTTATGTAATTATTTTAGTTAAATAGTAATTCTAGAAAATATAAATACTTTTTTAAATAAGGTTATAAGGTTACATATTTTATTTTTTTAATGCATTATATTTTAGATAGTTTATTTATGGATATTAAAACTTCAAAATTTAAAAGATTTTATATAAAATATTTTATAATATAAATTATAAGTTTATGTCTTTTATCTTTAAAATTGCGAAGAGAATATTATTTTGTTATATTTTTAAGACTTAATTTTATCATTTGAATTAAATTTTTGAAAAGGTTGAAAAGAAGTAAAATTAGTTTAAAATTTTTTGGTAAAGTTGAATATATTTTTAAGATTTTTTGTAAGAACTCTATTAGAATTTTAAAAATGAGTTTTTTAGATATAGAAAAATGAATTGTTGAAATATTTGAATTTTTTCTATATTTCAAAATATTTAAAATTAACATTGAAAGAAATATTAGAAAAAAAATATAAAAGTTTGTATTTTTAAAAGAATTTTTAATAATAATCAATTATTGAAGTAAGAAAATAGTATTTATATAAATATGTTTTTGCCAATTAGTAAAGGTCTAGAAAAAGTATAAAATTCACATATTTTGTTAAGAAAAATGTATATTTTTGCATTACTGGTAGATTAAATTTTAAAAATATGAATAAAAATGTTATATAACATTATATTTTTTATTTTGTTATTATGTTAGAGTTAAAAAATTGTTTTGATTAGGAATGACTATAATGTGCTAATTGTTGTGATATTTTGTGCAATTCATATAATTAGATGATTTTTTTCTATATATAAAAATATGTAATAATTAAAAATATAATCGTATTCTTATTAAGTTATTTTTTTAAAAAAATTATGCTTTGTTTTTATATAAATTTTTATTTTGCAAATTATTATATACAATTGAAAGACTTGATACTTTGATATTAGATTTTTTAATATTTTAAAA